CAGTAGCACCGTCAGGCTCAGCACCTCCAGCCCCTGCAGCTCCAGTACCTCCAGTACGAGCACCTCCGGGACCAGCACCACTCCCAGCTCCAGTGACGGCAGTAGAAGTACCTCCAACGGCAGATCGCCGAGCTCCAGAAGCGCGACCCTGACGGCGACCGTACCAGACGTGCAGCTGCTGAAAGGTGAGAGGTACACGTGGACGAAGGCGGCTACTCCAAGGAGACTGCGCAACAGCAGACTCAGAACCCTCAGCGCCAGCACCCGCAGCAGCTCCAGGACCTCCTGCGCCAGTACCCTCAGCAGCTCCAGAACCTCCAGCTCCAGAACCTCTAGCACCAGCACCCGCAGCAGCTCCAGAACCTCCAGCTCCAGCACCCTTTGCAGCTCCTGAACCTCCAGCAGAAACAATTCCAGTAGCAGAGTCACCGGCTCCAGCGCCTCTCTCAGCAAGGCCCCTAGCTCCAACAGCGCGACCCTGATGGCCAACGTACCACTCACGCAGCTGCTGTGGAGAAAGAGGGAGTCGACGACGAGAGTGCAGCGGCGAGGTACCAGCGGAGCGACTACGGAGACGGCTGCCCCAGGGAGACCGCTCACCAGACGCCTCAGCGCTCCTAGGTGCAGCACCCCCAGACTCAGTACCCCCAAGCTCAGCACCCCCAGACTCCTCACGCCCAGACTCAGCACCCCAAGTCTCCGCACCCCCAAGCTCCGCACCCCCAGGCTTCGCAACCCCAGGCTCAGCACCCCTAGGCTCAGCACCCCCAGGCTCCGCACCCCAAGGCTCAGCACCCCCAGTAGCAGCACCCCGAGCAGGACCACCCTCAGCAGGACCTGAGTCACCACTGACCTCAACCGGCGCAGGCAAGAGAGGAGGGTCTACCTGAGACACACCTGAAGGAGCAGGACCGGGAGTGGGGAGGGGGTCTACCTGGGGAGCACCTGGAGCGAGGAAGAGCGGCAGGGGGGGGAGAGGGGCAGTGCGGTAGGGGAAGAGACGGTAAAAGGGAACTGACTTGTCAAACGTGACGTCCTGAGAGGGGAAGACACGGCACGAGGTGGGGTGGTAAAACTGCCAACCAGGCGCGTCAGGGACAAAGCCAAGGAAGACACAGGGAACAGCGCGGGCGGAGATCTTGTCCGCGGTGGTATCGCGGACAAAGGCACGAGCACCCCAGACCCAGAAACGCGACGCATCGCCAACCTTCCCCGTCCACAGCAGTGTGGGCGAGGTCTCCGGCAAGGAGACACGGGGCCAGAGGTTGAGCTGATGCGCGGCGTACCGGACCGCAAACGGCCACAGAAAATGGGGGGCAGCTACATGGATCATGGAGGTACGAGCGACCTCCATGACCAAGCCAATGCGGCGCTCAGCAACCCCATTCTGCTGCGGAGAGGCCGGAAGCGTGAACGACTGGGTGATGCCGTGCTCCTCACAGAAGGCTGCCAAGAGGTCGGAAGAAAACTCACCACCTCTGTCAGAGTGCAGATGCAGGACGGGAAACTCCGTCCCGAACCGCTCGCGGAGCTGGAGACGAGTAGCGCGGATCCAAGGGTTCAAAACATCAGGGACCTCACCCTTGGTGCGCAAGGAGAAAACCGTGGTGTAACGCGTGTAGTCGTCGACGACCAGCAGGAAGTACCGCTCGTGGCCCTGTCCATGGACGCGGGCTGGGCCCCACACGTCCAGGTGGAGAGTATGCAGGGGAGCCTCTGTGGGAGGGAACGAGGAGGAGTGAGGAGCGGCGCGCTGCCGCCCCTCGACACAGGGAAGACAGGGAGGAGCAGGCGAGGGTGGGAGGGGAGGGAGAACCCTGGGGAGACCAGAGACAAGGACACGACGGTGCATGCTGTGAAGGCCCTGCACCGAGGGGTGACCAAGGTGGTGGTGCCAAAGGAGGGTCTGGTGCGACAAGGCGCGACAAGAGCAGGGGGCCGACAACTGACCTGACGCAGATGCAGACGCAGACGCAGCTACCTGAGGGAAATCAGTGGTCAGTGTGTATAGGCCCGACCCCGGCTGCCGAGTGAAGGTAGCCAGGTGATGACCCGTCTGAGCACACATGCAGTGTGTCACACGCTCGTAGGCAGGGGTGAACTAGTGAGCACCCGCGTCCTGGAGCGCAAAACCCGCCACCAAGTTTGTAGAGAACGAGGGGAGATAAAGACCCGACAGTGTGTCGGACGGGACAGCAGGACAAGGGAGGACAGTGGAGGAGGTCGAACGGACTGGACCCCCAGAGGGGTCTGCCAGGGAGACTGGAACCGGCCGACTGAGCGGCGTGACGGTGGTGCTGTCACGAAAGAAGGAGCGAGAAGCACCAGAGTCAAGTGTGAAGGTGTACAAGGCCTGAGCAGGTGCAGTACCAGAGAGAGCAGACTCACCAACACCTGGAGCAGCAGCCTCACCAGTTCCTAGAGCAGGAGACACACTAGCCCCTAGAGCAGCAGCCTCACCAGCACCTAGAGCAGCAGGCTCTATACCTGGGTCAGGCGGTACGCACAGCTAACACGCACGGTCAGCACTAGTAGGCAATGCATACATGGCAGTGAGAATAGCATCATAGTCAAGAGCAAATATATCTACCCTCTGCCCAAGTAGCTCCACCCAGTCGGGGAGCTCAGCCTCGTCGCCAAACTCGGTACGCCGGGCGTCGCTCAGACGGGCGAAGCAGCGGGACTGTGTGTGACTAAGCGTCCCGCAAAGCCTGACCAGTCCGAGCACTAGTGCGAATGACGTACGGGCAGCGAACGGTACTCAGATACCCTCTAGTATGAGCGTACCACTCACGACGCTGCTGGGGCGTGTGAGACTCGCGCGGACGTCGTTGGAGCTGCATCTAGCCACCGCCAGTAGCAGCAGTAGTAGTAGTAGCAGTAGTAGCAGCAGTAACAGCAGTAGCAGCAGTGGCAGCGCGGCCACCCCTACAACCCCAACTAGCGTACCACTCACTAAGCTGCTGGGGCGTGAGGGACTCACGCGGACGTCGCTGGAGCTGGATCTGGCCACTGTCAGTAGCAGCAGTAGCAGTAGCAATAGCAGTAGCAGTAGTAGCAGCAGCAGCGCGTGCAGGGCAGGCGCGGCAGGCAGGCAGGCAGGCCGGCAAGCAGGCAGGCAGGCAGGAGGCAGGCAGGCAGGAGGCAGGCCGGCAGGCAGGCAGGCTGGCGGCATCGCACGAACAAGGTAGGTGCTCACCAGTGGCAGGCAGGGCCGGCGCTCGGCGGGGCCGCAACAGCGGCCGCAGAGTAGGGCCGCGTCGGCGGTAGGGCAGGTCCGCGACAGGTGCTGCAGGGCGGGGCCGTGACAGCTGCAGGGCGGGGCCGTGACAGCTGCAGGGCGGGGCCGCAACGGCGGCAGAAGGCTCCGCGGCAGCTGCTGCAGGGCAGGGCAGGACCGCGGCAGGAGGCTCCACGGCAGCTGGTGCAGGGTGGGGCCGCGACTGCGGCAGAAGGCTCCGCGACAGCTGCTGCAGGGCAGGGCCGCGACGGCGGCAGGAGGCTCCGCGGCAGCTGCTGCAGGGCAGGGCCGCGACTGTAGTACGGCGCTCCGTGGCAGCTGCTGCAGGAGCGACGGTGGCAGTCAGGCAGGGGCGGCGTCCAGGGGCAGCCGCGAGGAACAGAGGCAGCCGCGGTGCGCGAGGCTGCAGCGCGCTGCGCGAGCTGCGAACGCGGCGCGCGGGGCTGCAGCGCGATGCGCTAAACCCTAAACGCGGCGCGCGGGCAGCGAACGCGACGCGCGGGGCTGCAGCGCGACGCGCAGGCAGCGGGCGCGACGCGCAGGGCTGCAGCACGACGCGCGGGCAGCGGACGCGACGCGCGGGGCTGCAGTGCGACGCGCTTGCTGCGAACGCGACGCGCGGGGCTGCAGCACAACGCAAGGGCAGCGGGCGCGTCGCGTGGGGCAACGACCTGGCCTGACGGGCTTGCAGGGGCGGCACGCGGGCCTGACGGGCCTGCAGGGGCGGCTAGCGGGCCTGACGGGCCTGCAGGGGCGGCTAGCGGGCCTGACGGGTCTGCAGGGGCGGCTAGCGGGCCTGCAGGGGCGGCTAGCAGGCCTGACGGGCCTGCAGGGGCGGCGCTCTGGCCTGACGGGCCTTCAGGGGCGGCTCGCGGGCCTGACGGGCCTGCAGGGACGGCTAGTGGGCCTGACGGGCTTGCAGGGGCGGCTCGCGGGTCGTACGGGCCTGCAGGGACGGCGCGCTGGCCTAGGGCAGCAGTAGGCAGCGCGAGGGCTGCAGGACGGCGCGTGCAGTGCAGCACGTCACAAGGCGAGGCAGGCAGGTAGGCAGGCGCACGTGGCGTAGCGTGGTAACCGCAACGGTAGGTGGGCCCGAAAAAAACGGTCCTACGGACCTAGTGCTCTGAAACCATGTTAGAATCTAGCAGCAGGAATGGGTGCATTGCATTGAACCATGATGTGGGTACATATGCTAACCCTAATTTGGGTTGTACCCCTTATGGGCTACCCCACTACAGCCTACACAACACAAGCATTATCATAGTTCGACAAACAGTGCTGACTGTGGTGCTACAGTGGTGTACGCGCTGAGCGGGGACGCGAAGTAAGGAAAAGGAATTTTCCTTACACTTGCTAAACTTTCGTTATTCATACCGTTAAGACGAATGATGCTGGAGTCACAGCAATTCAGTATAACCAACAACAAATGACAGCGGGGAACTCTACCCTGTCATTTCCTCTGCATCATCTCCTGCTGTTGCAGTACACATGCACCAAAATCCTGAAACATATCTCATGGCAAGAACCAGCCAGTGTCCCTTGCCTTCTCTCGTGCCTTCTCCAGTGTGAAGCTACCACATTCAATAGGATATCAGCAACCAAATTTCTTTTTCCTTTCATGAAAACAGGCCAGTGTGTCCTGTCCTGTACCGTATTTTCTCGCATCTTCTCCTGCCGCTGCAGCACCAGAGGTTCAGGGCTACAGAAAGACCGTCAGCGCGCTGTCAAATTCCTTACAACCAGCAACAAGGAAAGAATCTCATGAAAACAGGCCAGTGTGTCCTGTCTTTTCTCGCATCTTCTCCTGCCGCTGCAGCTCCTTCAGAGGGTCAGGGCTCCGGAAAGACCTTCGGCGCCGGCTGCATACAAAGGAGTGAGAAAATGGAGGGACACAACGAGACATGGTGCAATGTAAGGCTGCCACGGAGAGAAACATTTACCATTCTGAAGGATGGGATGCGATAATTTACAGGCATACCGTTCTTTTTCATTCAAGATGGGAAACTCCGGCATGTCTTGCTGCGCCTTCAGCAGAGGCTCCTCCCTAAACCATGACTGGTTTGCAAACGAGTGGCACAATACCAATATGAAGCATGGGAAGAGAAGACAGGCGTACCGTTCTTTCTCGTTCAAGATGGGAAACTCGGGCATGTCTTGCTGCGCCTTCAGCAGAGGCTCCTCCCTAAACCATGACTGGTTTGCAAATGAGTGGCACAATACCAATATGAAGCATGGGAAGAGAAGACAGGCGTACCGTTCTTTCTCGTTCAAGATCGGAAACTCGGGCATGTCTTGCTGCGCCTTCGGCAGCGGCTCCTCCCTAAACCACGCGTGATTCGCCGCATCCGCAGCACTGATCCGACGGCTGGGATCGCACGCGAGCATCCGCGACAGCAAATCAAACCCCGCCTCTGACAGCGTCGGCTTCCCGCCAATCGAAATCGCCGGAAACAGCTCCCTCAGCCGATTCACCGTGAAAGACGGAAACCGGGCTCCCTTTTTGCACGCGGGCAGCTCCGAAAACCCTCGCCAGGTGTCGTCAGTGGGGGTGCCGAGGAGCGAGAAGATCTTTTGCAGCTGCTCTATTTCGGATTCTCCTTTGAAGAGTGGTTTCTTGGTCATTATTTCGGCCATGATGCATCCCATGGACCACACGTCGATGGCCGTGGAATACTCCTTTTGGCCCAGCAGCAGCTCAGGTGCTCTGGCGGGCGGTGGGTGATGGGTGATGGGAGGAGAGAGAACGAAGTGAGTGGGGGGGATGAGAAGAGAAATGAGCGCATTTGTGGAAAATCACCACTCACCCGTACCACAATGCATCCTAGAGACCACCCATCTATGGCTATTTGTGGAACACTCCTTTTGCCACAGCAGCAGCTCTGGTATTGGCATACTTGTGGCACAGTGTAAGGAACACTCACCGTTACCATAGGGTAACCACAGGCTGTGTATACAGGCGCAGCGGATTCCCATACTGCCGCACCAGACCAAAGTCATATCTTGATCCCCCCGGCATTGTTCATGAGCAGATTCACGCATACCATGCACCTGCAGCCCAGCACACCTATAGCAAAGAAGACTCCTGCAGGGTACCCCAGAGTAAAACTGAAAATCACCACTCACCGGTACCACAGAGTAACCACAGGCTGAGTGTACGGCCGCAGCGGCGGATCCCCATACCGCCTCGCCAGGCCATAATCACATATCCTGATCCCCATACCGCCTCGCCAGGCCATAATCACATATCCTGATCCCCATACCGCCTCGCCAGGCCATAATCACATATCCTGATCCCCATACCGCCTCGCCAGGCCATAATCACATATCCTGATCCCCATACCGCCTCGCCAGGCCATAATCACATATCCTGATCCCCATACCGCCTCGCCAGGCCATAATCACATATCCTGATCCCCATACCGCCTCGCCAGGCCATAATCACATATCCTGATCCCCATACCGCCTCGCCAGGCCATAATCACATATCCTGATCCCCATACCGCCTCGCCAGGCCATAATCACATATCCTGATCCCCATACCGCCTCGCCAGGCCATAATCACATATCCTGATCCCCATACCGCCTCGCCAGGCCATAATCACATATCCTGATCCCCATACCGCCTCGCCAGGCCATAATCACATATCCTGATCCCCATACCGCCTCGCCAGGCCATAATCACATATCCTGATCCCCATACCGCCTCGCCAGGCCATAATCACATATCCTGATCCCCATACCGCCTCGCCAGGCCATAATCACATATCCTGATCCCCATACCGCCTCGCCAGACCATAATCACATATCCTGATCCCCATACCGCCTCGCCAGGCCATAATCACATATCCTGATCCCCATACCGCCTCGCCAGGCCATAATCACATATCCTGATCCCCATACCGCCTCGCCAGGCCATAATCACATATCCTGATCCCCATACCGCCTCGCCAGGCCATAATCACATATCCTGATCCCCATACCGCCTCGCCAGGCCATAATCACATATCCTGATCCCCATACCGCCTCGCCAGGCCATAATCACATATCCTGATCCCCATACCGCCTCGCCAGGCCATAATCACATATCCTGATCCCCATACCGCCTCGCCAGGCCATAATCACATATCCTGATCCCCATACCGCCTCGCCATGCCATAATCACATATCCTGATCCCCATACCGCCTCGCCAGGCCATAATCACATATCCTGATCCCCATACCGCCTCGCCAGGCCATAATCACATATCCTGATCCCCATACCGCCTCGCCAGGCCATAATCACATATCCTGATCCCCATACCGCCTCGCCAGGCCATAATCACATATCCTGATCCCCATACCGCCTCGCCAGGCCATAATCACATATCCTGATCCCCATACCGCCTCGCCAGGCCATAATCACATATCCTGATCCCCATACCGCCTCGCCAGGCCATAATCACATATCCTGATTCCCATACCGCCTCGCCAGGCCATAATCACATATCCTGATCCCCATACCGCCTCGCCAGGCCATAATCACATATCCTGATCCCCATACCGCCTCGCCAGGCCATAATCACATATCCTGATCCCCATACCGCCTCGCCAGGCCATAATCACATATCCTGATCCCCATACCGCCTCGCCATGCCATAATCACATATCCTGATCCCCATACCGCCTCGCCAGGCCATAATCACATATCCTGATCCCCATACCGCCTCGCCATGCCATAATCACATATCCTGATCCCCCCCGCGTTGTTCATGAGCAACGACTCACTGTGCAGAAGAAAACATTTGTGATATGAGTTGGCTCGTACCTGTACCATAGGGTAGCCACAGGCTGGGTGTACGGCTGCAGCGGATCCCCATACTGCCTCGCCAGGCCAAAGTCACGTCACACCTGCAGTACACAGACACTTGTACCGCAGGGAAAAGAACACCTACCTGTACCACAGGGTAACCACGGGCTGAGTGTACGGCCGAAGCGGATCCCCATATTGTCTCGCCAGGCCAAAATCGCATATCTTGATCCCCCCCGCGTTGTTCATGAGCAGATTCGACGTCTTCAGATCCCGATGCAGCACCCAATTCGCATGCATGTAGCTTATCCCCTCTAGAAGCTGCTTCACTAAACACTTCACCTCCGCCTGCCCGAAGGGCCTTGGCATTGCGTCTAAAAGCACCTTTAAGTCATGCTCTACATATTCCATCACCATGAAAACCCGATCCATGGATGAATTAACTACCATCTCCTTCACCCCCACGATCGCCGGGTGGTCTAGAGACAATAGTATATTAATCTCCCGGAGCGACGTCAGCGGGAAACCCTCTCGCTCCTTCTCCATCTTGACTCGTTTGAGAGCATAAATCTCCCCGGTTTCTTTGTCCCGAGCGCGATGCACCACACCGTACACGCCCTCCCCGAGCACGTCGAGCCGTTCAAAAGAGTCCACACTGCGACAGCCGCCGAATATGGCTTTCACCGCTGCTGCATCGGCTGCTGCTTCTGCTGCTGCTTCTGCTGCTCCTGCTTCTGACAACGATGGATCATAGGGAAGAGGAGACGTGGAGCTCTCCCGGAACTTATCATCCCTCCTTCGATCATCAATCCCTTCGTTATCTCCTTTTCTATCCACATCACCCTCATCCTCGTCCTTACCCTCACCATCAGCCTCCCTCTCTGCCTTCTTCCTCCCCTCTTCGATACCTCCCCCACCTTCTCCTTCCTTCACACTCTCACCCCCTCTACTGCCAACCTCTTCACTATCACCACCCTCCCTCCACCTCCTCTTGCTCCTACCTCCCTCCTGCTCCTCCCCTTTTCCCTTCCCCTTCCCGTTCCCCTCCTCATCTCCCTCCCCCTCCCCCTCCCCCTCCCCCTCCATAGTATTAGCCCCCCCGTCTCTCCTTCCACCCCTATCATTAGGGGTATTATCCCCCGTTCTACCCTCCTCATCCGGGGTACTAACCCTCATTCTACCCTCCTCATCCGGGGTATTAACCCTCGCTCTACCCTCCTCATCTGCTCCCTCTCCTGCTCCTTCCCCTGCTCCCTCCTCCTCCTCCTCTTCATCCAACCATCTGCTACCCCATTTCGAACCACCCACTCCCTCCGTTCGCTCCCTTCCCTCCTCCTCCTTCCCCCCTTCCTCCTCCCCATGCCCTGCCGCCATATCCCCCACCTCACCTTCCTCTCTCCACCCTTCCTTCTCTCCCTCTCCGCCACTCATCTCCTCCTCTCCCCCCCTTGCTCTCCCCTTTCTCCCTTCATCCCCCTTTCCCTTCCCTTCCATCCCTTCTTCCATATCTCCCACTTCATCATCTCCCCACCTGCTCCTCTTTACACTTCCCCCTACTCTCTTCCTCTCCTCTCCTTCCTCCAATTCCTCTCCATCCTCCCTCCGACCTCTCTTCTTACCCCCCTCCCCCTCCCCGTCCTCCTCTTCCCCCTCCCCCCACTCCGCCCCTCCCTCCCCCGCCTCTCTCTCTCTCCGTGCCAGCTCAGCAATTAGCCTCATCCTCTCTCTCTTCCTAGCTTCCAATTCCTCCTCTACCGCACTTCTATTCCCCTTGCTCAATAACCCTGTTCCTTGTCCTCCTTCCGCAAGGGCACTGCTGCTCTTGTCATCTCCAGGCCTCAATCCCCCACTTCTCACATCCCCACTCCGCGCATCCCCCCCCTCCCTCCCTCCATCATAACCCATGCCTCTTGCCATACCTCTACCCATGCCCCTACCCATGCCTCTGCCCATCTCCCCATCCATACCACCCCCCCCCCTACCCCCATCCCTACCCATGCCTCTTCCCATTCCCCTCCCCAAGTCGTTCATACCCCCCCTCCCCATTCCCCTGCCCATTTCCCCATCCATGCCCCCCCTCCCCATTCCCCTGCCCATCCCGCCCCTCCCCACGCCCCACTCCCTGCCTCGCCCCCTCCCCGTCATAGCCCCATCCCCAGCCCTCCATGTTCCCTCCCCTTGCCACTCCTCCCCAGGCCTCCGGGTTTCATCCCCCTTCCACCCATCCCCGGGCCTCCTTGCCCCATCCCCCTTCCACCCCTCACGGCTCCTCCCTTCACCAGCCCTCCCCTCTGCCCACTCCTCGCCAGGTCTCCCATCCCCCCCTTGATCTCTCAAAAAGCTCCTGCCTCTCCCACCCACAGGCCCCCCTCTTCTCATCTCCCCTTCCTCGTCCCTCCGCTCGTCCTCATCTCCTGTGTCCTCTCCTCGCCTCTCCTCCCCTCTCCTCTCCTGTTCTCCTGCCTTTCGAAAAGAAGGCTTCTGAAACTCGCTGCTGCCGCCCCTGCCCCTCCCGTCCCCACTTCCCCTCCCATCCCCACTGCCCCTCTCATCCCCTCTCCCCTCCTTCTGTCCTCTCCCTTCCACCCCCTCTGACCCACCATGATCCTCCTCTGAACCATCCCTTCTCACTCTCCCCTCCCTCCTCTTCGCCTCCCTCCCTCTCTCTTCTCCTCCTCTCTCATCCCTACCCATCCCCCTCCTCCCTCTCTCATCTCGCTCCCCCTCTTCCCTCCCTTTCTCTTCCTTTCCTCGATCTTCTTTCACCCTCCTCTCCTCCTCTCTCCCTTCCCTCCCATGCTCTCCCCTATCCCTATCCTTCTCCTCCTTCCTCTTCCGTCCCTTCTCCTCCTCCCTCTTCCCCTCACGACCATCCTGCCCACTCTCTCGATGCCCAACCTTATGCCTCCCTTTCTCCCTCCCCTCCTCCCCCTCATCCTCTCTCTCCCTCTTCCTACCACCTGCCTTGTCACGACCATGCCTATCTGTTTCCTTCTCCCCATCCTTCTGCCCATCCCTGTGCCTACTTTCGCGTTCCTTCCCACGCCCGTCCCCACGATCCCTTGTCTCCTCACCTCCAACCATTGACGCCTTTTCCTTATCACTACTTCGTCCCCTTACTTCTCTCTCTCTGTCTCTCCTTTCTTTTGCTTCCCCTTTTGGTCCCTCTCTCTCCCTCTCTTTCTCCTTCTCCTTCAACCTTTCTTTTTCTCGCTCCCTTTCCTTCTCGTGGCCTTTTCCGCTTTCCCTCTCCTCCCTCCTCTCCCCTCCTTTCCCTCCATCCTTCTCCCTCCTTTCCCTCTCCCGCCTCCTCAACTCATCCCCCTTATCATCTCTCTCCTCCCTTTCTCTTTCCTTCTCATGCCCCTTCTCCCTCCCCCCCTCCTTGTCACGCCTCCTCTCATTTTCTCTACCCCTCTCATGCCCCCTCTCCTTCTCTCCCCCCCTCTCCCTCTCCTTCTCCTTCTCCCTCTCCTTCTCCTTCTCCTTCTCCTTCTCCCTCCCCTTCTCCCTCTCCCTCTCCCTCACCTTCTCCCTCTCTCCTCTCTCCTTCTCCCCGTCCCCCCTGTGCACTTCTCTCCTTTCCCTCCCTCCCTCCCTTCCTCCGCTCCCCTGCCCCTCATGCAGCTCCTCCTCTTCCCGTTCCAATTGCTGCAAGTCTCTTTGTGACCCCCGCCTCACACCCATGCCTTTCCCTCGCAACCCACCCCTTTCACCCTCCTCTTCCTTCCCTATCTTCCCTACCTCTTTTCTCCTTCCTCCCTCTCCTCCCTCTCCTCCTCCCCCCTCCCTCAGATCCCCTATTGAGCCTCTCCTAACGCCCATGCCCCCAACCGCCCTTGCACCAACCCTCTCGGCCTCCTCTCTCACTTCCCCTGCCTCTCCCTTCCGTCTCTCCTCTACCTCCTCTCTCCCCTCTCTACCCTCTCTCCTCTCTCTCTCCTCTCTCTTCCCTCTTTTTCCACCCTCCTCTCCCTCCCCTCGCTCTAACTCATTCAAATCTCCTCTGGAGCCCTGCCGTATTCCCATTCCTGTCGTGTTTTGGATCGACTCAAAACACAACTCCTTTACATCTCCTCTGGACCCTCGTCGTACACCCATTCCTGTCCCACCACCCCTTTCACCAGCACCCTTATCGTTCCCCTCATCCCTCCCCTCACCCCTCCCCTCACCTCTCACCTCACGCCTCTCCATAGCCCTCCCCCTCCTCCACGTCTCCTCCCCCTCCTCACTCGCCTCGCTATCACTCAAATCAGACGCAGACAAAGACATCTCCGATGATTCCTCACTGCTACTGCTGCTGCTACTGCTCCCGCTCTTCCTCCTCCCAGCCTCTGCAGACCTCTGTTCGGCAGCCACACCTGCAATGACCTCCCGTCCTCCCTTCTCAAGAGAAACTTCTTTCGAGTCTTGTGTTGGGAGTTCCCCCTGGCCTGCAGGTGTAAAGCCTTGTTGTTCCAAGTCAGCCCTCTGCTGCTCCTCTTTCCCGCTTGCACTGCCATGACCCTGCCCTCTCTCTCCTCCTGCTCCACTCGCTTTCTGAGGTGCCTCATAAGCTAAACCATCGTGGTTCGAACCCCTCTCTCCTCCTGCCCTACTCGCAATGAGCACGTCACTGTCTCTGTCTCTGACTCTAGTCCTGTCTCTTTCCCCGTTCCTCTCTGCACCTTTCCCTTCCCCATACCTTTCATCCTCTCCTGCTACCCCTGCTGGAATCTTCCTAATTCTAGCGTCCTCACTCGCCGCACTCTCGTCCCCTCCCCCACTATCTCTTCCCCTCCTCATGTCGTCCTTCACGCCACCCAATTCCCGCCTCTCCTCCCCCTCTGATCCTCCCATCTTTCCAGGATCTCTATTTCCTTCTTCTCCTTCTCTCTCTCGCTCATTGCCCCAATAACCCTGCTCTCCCTCGTCTTCGCTCTCTCCCTCCCCCCAATCCACCCTCTCCTCCTCCTCCCCCTCCTCCTCCTTATCCTCCTCCCCCTCCCTCTCTCTCACTCGCTCTCCCCTGCCTGCCTCCCCCTTCGTCTTTATCTCATTTCCTCCTATTCCCTCCGCCTCCCCGTTGCCAACCCCCGTTTCTATCACCCTAGCCCTCTCCTGCGGCTCTTGCTCCTCTTCCAACTCGTTTAGGTCATCCATCCAATTCTTCTCCGCATTATCACGCTCCTTACTATCACGCTCATCCCTATCACGCTCATCCCTATCACGTTCCCGCTCCTTACTATCACGCTCCTTAAAGTCACTCCCCCCGCCTCCATCAAACTCCCCTTCCTCAATCTCCCCCTCCTCTCCCCCCACCGCCATCCCCTCTTTCTCCTCCCATGCCCCACCGCCCATCTCCCCATCCTCCTCCTCATCAATACGATCATCACCACTCCCAACCGCATCTCTTTCCCTTCCAACCCCCACGTCACCCCTCTCCACCCTCTCCTCCCTCACCCCCTGGTCCTCAAACCCCTCGTACCCCCCTCCCCTGTTCTCGCCCTCCTCCCTCTCCTCCCCATCCCACCCCATCGCTTCTTCCCCTTCTTCTAGTTCCCCAAAACTCGGCCGCACTATAGCCTCCGCTCCCAAACGGCTTCCATTGAACTCCCTTCCCCTCTCGCTCCTCTCGCTTCTCTCGCTCCTCTCGCGTGAACCGTCCTTTGAATAAGCGCCTCTTTCTCGTGACTTGTCTCTAGAAGAAGCGTCCTTTTCTATCGAGTTGTCTTGTAACGAAGCACCTCTAGCTGCACTCATTTCCACACACAGCGGGCTCCGACCAGCCTGGAAGCTCCTCACTCTCCGCTCGCTATTGTCACGCCCGTCAGAATCCCCCTTGCTCTGACTGTGACTGTGATTGTGGCTGTGCGAGGGCGAGTCCTTCTGCCAGTGGTGTGGGTATGGCCTACCCTCCCTCTCCTTCTCCCTCTCTCTCTCCCGCTCCCTGCTCCCTGCTCTCTCCATACTCCCCTTCCTCTCTCTGCTTCCCCAGCTCTCCACACTCCCCCTCCTCTCCACACGCCCCCTCTCCTCGCTTCTCCCCTCCCTGCCGCCCATATCACTCCCTCCCCGCTCCCTGCTGCTTCCGCGAAGCTGCTCCTTCTTATGCGGACTGCCGTCCGAACCCAATCGGGACCAGACCCCTTTACGCGTTACAGTGTTACCATCCCCATGATCCCGCTCATCCGTTCTCTCTTCCCTTTTCTCCTCCCTCCTCTCCTCCCTTCTCTCGTCCCTTCTTTCCTCCCTCTCCTCCCTCTCTTCCTCCCTTCCGTCCACCCGCCCATCCCTCCCACCTCTCACGTCGCCTTCACTCCTCCCCCCTCGCTCCGCCCAATCAGCCCCCCTGCTCCTCCCCATCCCCCGCTCGCCAGCCCCCCTTCCGCTTCCGTCCCTCCCCCACCGCCCCCCTCTTCCGCCTCTAAATCCGCCATCACCCCTGCCCTCCCTTCCAAATCTCCCCCTCCCACCACCCCAATTCCCGTCGCCGCCCCTCTCCTCCCTACCGAACCTCCCCCTCAGGCCTCCCATTCCCGAACCTACATCCCCCCTTCCACCCCCCCCACGGAACCGCGGCTCCCGGTCCTCTCTCCCCTCACCGCTTGCCTCCTTTCCCCCGTCCCGCGCCTCTCGTTCCGCACCTTGCAGATGCATCAGCGGAGTTCTTTCCCCTCCATGCGGGCGCATAGGCGAATCCCTGTCTCTGTCCCTGTCCCTGTCTCTGTCTCTGTCTCTGTCTCTATCCCTTTCATGTCCAGTGGCCCTCAGTCTCTCGCGGAGATCTTCATTTGAAACCCTAACTCCTCCTCCTCCTCTCCTGTCGCCGGGACCTCTCGGCGGTAATCCACGGTCGTCCTTTTCTTTGACACTTCTCGCCAAATCTCCACCGTCCCTTGGATGAGCTGAGGCCATTACCGGATCCCTCGACGAACGTTCCTGGTAGTTTCCCCTCCATTTCTCGCCATCGGAACAATCGACACCGTCCGATCTCCGTCCTCCCCCGCGCGTATCTCCAAAACTCCTCCCAGCCGTCGATCTGTCATCGGAATGATGCCTTCCAGCAACTCTGGCCGTTAATTCAGCAGACAGACCTTTTCGCTCTGGAGGTTCCGGATCCATCAAAACCGGGATCGGGAAACCCTAATGCACAAATTGATTAAAAAAGGAACAAGTTGGCCCACACCGAAATTAGGGAAATTAATGGAAAAATTAAACTAGGAAAATTGCAGGATCCACGAAAGCTAGTCAAACGTACATGGCCTCCAGTACGCGTCGGATCCGATCGGACGGTCCCGATTCAACCTCCGCCGCTCGTCCTAATCCAAGGCTGTTACAAACCTCCAATGCCCGCCGACGCAGCCAAGGGAAATGGCAGTATCGAGAAAAGAGACGCGTACGGATAGGATAAGAAAAGAATCTGGCGATTCAGAAGACCACTATTGACCAGAAAAACGAATTGGTAAGAGGAAAAACAACGGATGGTGGTGGATAAGGTAAGGTACAAATTGCATGCCCTGAGGTCAGAGTCTCAAGCAGGCTTCCCCAGCCCGGTGTCCTTCGACTTAACTCGCCTGTCGTGTGGAGAATCTTGAGGTTGGTGCAAAAGTTTTCAACGGGTACAGAGATTTTCCTCGTTAAGTAATTTTCACACTCTAAGAACTACGATGAAGCTGAGTTATAATTGATTTTACACTCTAGACAGCACATGCATATACATGGGATTTGTTCCTCTTATTGAACGATGCCTCTCCACAGCCTAAGTACTCTAGAAGTGAAATTCCTGCATGCTAATAACCAGCACAACAATTAATACAAATGTCATCTTTCAATTTCTAGGTATTCAATTCAAACTTCACTCACAAAACAGGATCAGCACTTATTCACACTATGATGGTCACTTCGTGTGACTCACCCTACACTACTGCACCATTCTAAGCAAGTGCGCTACAGTAAAAGCACCATCTCAGGTTTATAATCAAGACTATCAGGACACAAATCACACTCCATCTGAAACATGGACCACTTCGTTCCAGGAAGCTTCATGAGCTTCCAACATACCATTAGAAAACCATCGTCCTGTCCTTTTCTTTTGAAGGACCCAGCTGGAGCTAATTTGTATTACTCACTACTAGCAAACGGTCAGCTTCCTTAGCTGTCCTAACTATTTGCTGCTGGGGCAGCAGCAGCAGCAGCATCTGCAGATGCATAATTATCGTACTCATCCCCTTTATTGCCTCCCTCGTTACCATCCTCACTACTCAGAGTAGCTGCTGGTACATCCTCTGCAAGTTCATTGCTACGGTCATGAGGGTCATAGGTGTCGTACAGGACGGGCTGATTCGAGGTTTGAGAGGTCTCAAAGAGGGTGTTGCTGGAGTCGGGAGGATTGTACGTGTCGTATGGAAGGGGCTGGTTTGAGAGCAGCAGGGATCCGTAGGGGGAGTTGTCAGTGGTTAGGGTTGAATGCTCCTGGTCATGCTGTGGGAGGGGAGGTGGGAGCGGGTAGGGAGGGAACAGAGGGACGAGGGATGAGGGTTAGAAGGTTAGGGAGTTTAGCAGCAGTGTCAGTGGTTAGGGTTAAATGCTCCTGGTCATGCTGTGAGAATGGAGAGCGGGGAGGGAGAGCGGGGAGGAAGAGAGAGAGGGGAGACAGTGGAGGGAGGAGATTTGAAGGGAAAGAGGAGGTTTGTGCACTACAGTCACATGAATTACTACAACACAACACTCGATACAGTCACACTCACCAGAGCCTCCATTCACTCACCCTACTTGCATACAATGCTCCAGTCACACTCGATACAGTAACACACTCACTAAAGTTACACTCACCAAAGCCTCGAGTCTCTTCAACAGCTGCACCACCTCCCCCATGGGGGGGCAGTCTGTCGGTTCAGCTGCCTGCCATACACCTGCCTGCCATACACGCCTTACTCATAGCAGTCACGCACATTACTTGCACACAATGCTCCAGTCACACTCGATACAGTAACACACTCACTACAGTCACACTCACCAGGGCCTCTAGTCTCTTCAATGACTGAACCACCTCGCCCATGGGGGGTCGGTCTGTCGGCTCAGCAGCCACACACGCCTGTGCCACGGCTGCTGCTTGCTCCAGATCACTAAGTGACACCTGGCGGTGCGATGGGAAGGGGGGGAGCATTATACAGATGAGACTGGGGGCGCATTCCTGGTGTGTGGAGGGGGGAGAGGGAGGGTTCGTTGCCTGTCGGTTCAGCCGCCACACACGCCTGTGCCACGGCTGCTGCTTGCTCCAGATCACTGGGTGATACCTGATGGTGTGACAGGGAAAGGGGGGAGCATGTACAAATGAGAACAGGGGAGGGGAGGGAGTTGCACATTGATCAACGCCCATCAAGCCCGTACACAAAGGCATTTGGCCAAGCAAAATTGGTGGTAGCCTCATGGAGCGCATACCTACCTAGGCAAACAAACAGGCCACCAGAGTCAAGAAAATCCAAGAGAGTCTCACCTGGGAAGCAATCTTGGGGTCCAAAAGCTCGTCTAGTCTTCCAGCATTCCCCAAGCGAGGCCGCGCCCACGTGACTAGTCTTCCAAAACACCTGGGAAGCTCGTCTAGTCTTCCAAAACACCAGGCAAACACCTGGGAAGCTCGTCTAGTCTTCCAAAACACCAGGCAAACACCTGGGAAGCTCGTCTAGTCTCACCTGGGAGCGTCTCACCTGGGAAGCAATCTTGGGGTCCAAAAGCTCGTCTAGTCTTCCAGCATTCCCCAAGCGAGGTCGCGCCCACGTGACTAAGTTCTCATCTCCAGGGGGTTGGCTCATGTCGACGGGCTTCCTCCCTGTGAGCAGCTCCAGAAGCACCACGCCATAGCTGTACACGTCACTGGCTACCACGAGATGCCCCGTCATTGCGTATTCTGGGGCCACATAGCTGGGTAGAGGGAGAGGGAGGGGAAGGGAAGGGCAGGCCGCAGGGGGGGGGGGGGGGGGGGGGGGGGGTGATGTCCACAGGCTTCCTCCCTCCTTGTGAGCAGCTCCAGCAGCACCACGCCATAGCTGTACACGTCTGATGCAACCACCAGGTGACCCGTCATGGCGTATTCCGGGGCGACATACCTGGGAGGAATGGGGAGGGGCAGGGGCAGGAGTGGAAGAGGCGGTGAGAGTGGGGCAAGGGCTGGCTCATGTCGACGGGCTTCCTCCCTGTGAGCGGCTCTAAAAGCGCCACGCCATAGCTGTACACGTCTGATGCAACCACCAGGTGACCCGTCATTGCATACTCTGGAGCGACGTAGCTGGGTAGAACGAGAGGGAGGGTAAGGGAAGGGCAGGGGAGGGAGGAGGCAATGACGGGGGCGGCTGGGACATGTCCACGGGATTCCTGCCTGTGAGCGGCTCTAAAAGCACCACGCCATAGCTGTACACGTCACTGACAACCAGGAGGTGACCCGTCATTGCGTACTCTGGCGAGAAAACTGTTCTCGATGAATAGTTGTAGGTAGAGCCACACCACAGGCATTGCAAAGGCTTCCCGCCTTCCTGCGTCTCACCCAATCACACATGCCCCTCACTGACTCACCCGAACGTGCCCATGACTCGGGTTGAGATGTATCCCTCGGGTCCCTCCGGTGCAGGTTTCGCCAGCCCGAAATCCGCCACCTTAGCGAGAAAGTCATTCTCGAGAAGGATGTTGGAGGACTTGAGGTCACGGTGAATGACGAGCGGCTGAGAGTCCTCGTGCAGATACGCCAGCCCCCTCGCTGCCCCTAGCGCTACCCTCATGCGCGTTGCCCAATCCAGCACGATCTCCTTGGAGAAGGAGCCTGGTGGGGGAAGAAAAGGAGGGGAGGGGAGGGGAGGGGAGGGGCAAGGGAGGACTTGAGGCCGCAGTGAATGGCGAGCGGCTGTGAGTCCTCGTGCAGATATGCCAGCCCCCTCGCTGCCCCTAGCGCTACCCTCATGCGCGTCGCCCAATCCAGCACGATCTCCTTGGAGAAGGAGCCTGGTGGGGGAAGAAAAGGAGGGGAGGGGAGGGGAGGGGAGGGGCAAGGGAGGACTTGAGGCCGCAGTGAATGGCGAGCGGCTGTGAGTCCTCGTGCAGATAGGCCAGCCCCCTCGCTGCTCCCAGTGCCACCCGCACGCGTATTGCCCAGTCCAGCACAATCTCTTAGGAGAAAGAGCCTGGAAGGGGGGGAGGTGGAGGGGAGGGAAGGTGGAGGGGAGGGAAGGTGGAGGGGAGGGATGCGGTGGCAGCAGGGGAGAGAGAGAAGGAGAGCGAGTAGGGAGGTTGGCGTGAAAGTCGTTCTTTGGGAGGATGTTGGAGGAGTTGAGGTCGCAGTGAATCGGGGGGGGCTGTGAGTCCTCGTGTCGATAGGCCAAGCCCCTCGCTGCCATCGATGGGATGGGAGGGGATGGGAGGGGGTGGGAGGGGGTGGGGGGGGATGGGAGGGGATGGGAGGGGATGGGAGGGGATGGGAGAGGATGGGAGGGAATGGGAGGGAATGGATGCAATGGGAGGGAGCATGGGACAGTAGCCTATGAGCTTCACGAGGTTGCAGTGGTGCAGGCAGCTCAGCATCTCCTCCTCCACCACAAACTCGGCCAGGGAGGGGAGCGTACCCACCCACCCACCATGCAATGAGACATATCCTGAGACCTAGAAAAGCAAAATGCAAGGGGAAGGACACCCACCATGCAGCCAGGCTTCCAGGCTGCCGTTGGAAACGAGCTCATAACACAGCAGCTGGTGGTGGTGGGAGGCGCAGTAGCCAATCAGCTTGACCAGATTCCGGTGGTGCAGGCGGGTCAGCATCTCCACCTCCACCACAAACTCGCTCGGGGAGGAGGGTGGTGGGGCACCCACCCATTCACCCACCCACCAACCCACCCGCCCACCTACCCACCCAGCCAGCCGCCATGCAAGCAGACGTGCTAGCAGCAGGAGGAGGAAAACATACCATGCAGCCAGGCCTCCAGGCTCCCATTGGGAACAAGCTCGTAGCACAGCAGCTGGTGGTGGTGGGAGGCGCAGTAGCCAATCAGCTTGACCAGATTCCGGTGGTGCAGGCGGCTGAGCATCTCCACCTCCACCACAAACTCGCGCTCGCCCTGCCCGCCCCCTCCGCCTCCCCCCTTGGCGCGCCCGCTGCCTGTCATGCGCAGGCGGGTGAGCCGCTTCACTGCCACCTCCTGCCCGTTCTTCAGCCTCCCCCGGTATACTCGCCCGAACCCTCCCTCCCCTAGGTAATTGGCGTGATCAAAACTGGGAAGATTCAAGAAGAAAGGGGGAAGGGGGGGGGGAGGGGGGGATGAGGAGGTGACTCGCAGGCGGGTGAGCCGCTTCACTGCCACCTCCTGCCCGTTCTTCAGCCGCCCCCGGTACACGCGCCCGAACCCTCCCTCCCGTAGATAGTTTCCGTGGTCGAAACTGGAGCAGGGGTGGGGAAAGGAAGAAGGGAAAAGGGGGTGAGCTGAGGGGGTGCTCCCGCTGCCGGTCATGCGCAGGCGGGTGAGGCGCTTCACAGCCACATCCTGCCCGTTCTTCAGCCTCCCTCTGTACACGCGACCGAACCCGCCCTCTCCCAGGTAGTTGGCGTGGTCGAAACTGGGGGGCAAAGGGAGAAAGGAGGGAGGAAGGGATGAGGGGGTGGGTGGGCGGGTGAGGCGCTTCACTGCTACCTCCTGCCCGTCCTTCAGCCTCCCTCTGTAGATGCGGCCGAACCCGCCCTCCCCTAGATAGTTCCCGTGATCAAAACTGTGAGGGGGTTGGGGAGTAAACGAGGAAGGAGAGAGGAAGGGACGAGGGGGTAGGTGAGTGTGTGAGGCGCTTCACTGCAACCTGCTAGCACCGTACATAATAGTAGCCTCTGCCAGCACCGTACATAATAGTAGCCTCTGCCAGCAACGTACATAATAGTAGCCTCTGCCAGCACCGTACATAATAGTAGCCTCTGCCAGCACCGTACATAATAGTAGCCTCTGCCAGCAACGTAACTATTAATAGCCTGTGCCAGCACCGTACATAATAGTAGCCTCTGCCAGCAACGTACATAATAGTAGCCTCTGCCAGCACCGTACATAATAGTAGCCTCTGCCAGCACCGTACATAATAGTAGCCTCTGCCAGCAACGTAACTATTAATAGCCTGTGCCAGCACCGTACATAATAGTAGCCTCTGCCAGCACCGTACATAATAGTAGCCTCTGCCAGCAACGTAACTATTAATAGCCTGTGCCAGCAACGTACTTAATAGTAGCCTCTGCCAGCAACGTAACTATTAATAGCCTGTGCCAGCAACGTACTTATTAGTAGCCTCTGCCAGCTCAGCAAATGTGAAGACTCGAACGCTCATTGGCCGAGGGAGAGAGGACTGATTCGTTGACTCGGCCACTGGTGTCTCCTGCATTCCCATTCCACTCCCCCTGTCAACCCCACTGCCACCACCACCGTTCCCTCCACCTCCCTCTCCCCCTCCTCCTCCTCCCCCTCCTCCTTCTCCACCTCCTCCTCCCTCTTTTCCTCTTCCGCTACCATTCTCACTGTTGTCACACCCGTGATAGCCATCCGCAGCACCATTCCCTTGGGAACCTTCCTTTCGCTCTGACGCATTTTGGGCAGCAGCAGCGGACGAAGCTTCCCTCACCATCTGACGAATCTTCTCCTCCTCCCCCCCTTTCTCCATGTCCCTACCGCCTTTCCCCCTCCCAGGCACGCAGCAGCAGCAGTATATCGTGATTATAACGATCAGCGCTATAAGCACCGCCGCCCCTGCCAGTAACCCTATTAGTGCTACCGTGCTTATACCGCTGCTGCTACCACTGCTCCCATTGCCCTCACTCCCGCTATTACTGCTACTGCTGCTCTCACTGCTACTGCTGCTGCTGTTGCCGCTGCTCTCACCACCGTTAGATTTGTTATCTGTGCCATTTGAGTTGGATTGATCCGACGGTGGCGCAGGTACGGGGGCTTGGGGTGGCGGAGGGGGAGGCGGAGGGGGTGGGGGACCTGGCGCAAATGGGTAGGAAAAAGCGGCACGAGGGGGAATGGGGTCATAAGGGGGAAGGGGATCACGAGGGGGAAGGGGAGCATAAGGGGGGAGCGGAGCACGAGAGGGAAGGGGGGGCATAAGGGGGAAGCGGAGCACGAGAGGGAAGCGGGGCATAAGGGGGAAGCGGAGCACGAGAGGGAAGCGGGGCATAAGGGGGAAGCGGAGCACCAGGGAAATGCGGGAAAAAGGACATGCGGGGGAAGAGGAGCACGAGGGGAAAGGGGGCATGGGGAGGAAGGGGAGCACGAGGGGAAAGCGGGGAAGGCAGGAAATGAGCGCGAGGGGGAGCGGGAGCGTACTGTGAGGGGGTGGTGGCGGCGGCGCTAGTTGCACCAGGCTGATCAACGTGTAGTTACTGAATTCGCTGGGGTCGAGCAGCACTCAGCAGCTACTCAGCACAGCGGGAGGGAGGGTGCTTACAGCGGAGGTGCTTACTGTAAGGGGGTGGCGGCGGCGGCGCTAGTTGCACCAGGCTGATCAACGTGTAGTTACTGAACAAATTCGGGTCGAGTGTAACTTGTCGTCGCGAAAGCCGCTGGCGAGTGCTGTTCACGAACTTTGGCGAAAACGTGACGTCGTGGTTCGGCAGTAACCATAGGGTTACCGCCGCGCTGCTACCATCGGTTCGCTGCAGCGCATTTCGCTGGATTTGATCTTCCTGCAAGGATAGCTCCCGCGCAAGAACCTGGATAAACGGCCGGAAATTTTTCTCGATATCCGACGCGTTAGCAAACTCAATCTTCAACTCCAACGGCCGCACGCACGAGCAATTCCCCTTGGTCGCGGAGGGACTCAGCGCCTCCCACTCGCGGTTTCCGCACGCGCCCGCGCAAATATCCGCTGCTGTCGCTCTTTCCGCGAGAGAGCGGGGCCGCGTCCGACCGTTTGAAAAGGAATCAGGAGTAAGAGAGGGCTCAGATACAGACCCAGGCGTCAATGCGCTTCGGACGACGGGTACGAGGAGGGATAGAAGCACCGGGAGCAGCAGCAGCAACAGCTTCAGCCGCCGATTCCGCCATGGACCGCGGTTTGACTCAGGATGAAGACAGCCTCGGGAGCTACGACCGCTATATACGCTTCTCGGCTTATCAGAGCTGGATCGTCTGATGTTCCGATTAGAGCTGCTTCGATTGTGGGCATTGAGGCTCGAGCAGAGCCCAGCCTTCTTAGATGCGTCATGAGAATTAACACTTACGTTCTGACACTTAAACTTAAGTGCGTAACAATCTGAGGCGACATTGTGGCTGGAATGTTCTCTACTGCTGGAACTTAACTCAATTGCATCTCTCTTAGATGTAATGATCTGGTCGACAACGAGGCGTGGCACCGTGACAGTCATATGGCTGCTTTTCCAGGCGCCTCAATAAACGAGCGGCAACGCGGTTGTATCAGTCATATGGATGCGCCAGGGTGGTCCCTGGTTACGGACAGATTGTCCAAACAGGGAGTCGGGAATTGCGAGCTAGGATACGGGTGGGATGCACCGATGGGATGCACCAGCGCACCAACAGCGCCTATACAACGCGAATCGAGCGTACAAATCGCTGTTAGTGACGACGGGCTAATCGTGCGCGAACGTATTTACTATAAGACAGTAGGTCCTACTAAGAAAAAATATCTGGGCTCTGGAGTTTCGGGCTGTGGTATAGACAGGATAGTCAGGACACCACGTACGGAAATAGAACCTACCTGTCGGGCACGCAACAAATAAATTTACAGATAGAGACTAGTCAACGATCATGAATAATGTGGTCACAGGATTCAGTACAGTTTGTGCTTGAACGCCCCAGCACATAAGCCAGTCAACTCCAGGTCCAGCTTCCTACAGCATGGTATGACAATGGCAACCCCTATGTTGTGGTATATGCACGGTGAACCAGAGCAACCTAGGGGATGGGGGCCTGGGGCTCGAAATAAGTTCCTACATGCGAGTACAACTGTTCCGAACAGCGGGTGACCTTGGGAAAGGGCTTTGATTTGGGCCTTTCAGGTCCGTTTCCGGACCAGCCCAGCCGAACCGGAAAGGAATAGAGAATGAAACTTTCAGTACAACTCAGGTGGTGGCGCACGCACCACAAGTTCAAGAATTTTCTGCCCAGAGCCTGCGCTTCGTCTATTCAACAGCGGGAGTAGGTAGAACACCAAAATTTTGGCCCACAACGAGTCGTTCTGGCAAGAATTTGACAATGGGGGCAGCGACTTCCGCCAAACCAAAATCCTGGTCTGGGAAGGCGCCGAATCGCGACAACATTGGGCTTCGCGGTTCGAGCAGTTCGAGCGGCTGCCGCAACAGAATTCCACGAAGCACCCCCCTCCGCGTACTGTATCCCTGCGGTGGGAAACCGACCAATCACTGTTGAACGACTGTGATGAAGTGTAGTGTTTGAGGTTGTTACGAGTGCAATGGAGTAAGTGAACGAGAATTGCACTACCTAAGCAAAAATACAATGAGCGAAGGCATGAGCGAAGAATATATAGCGAAACTACAGTGGTAACGGTAATGGACTGTGGTTGTCGCGTGACGGGCCTGGGACTGAGGTTTGGGAAAGTGTCGAAGCGGAGGCCCGGAGCGCGGGTTACCAGCCGAGCCGTGAGGTTGGGGTGCGATGTGCGAAAATGGCGGGCTGATTGTCGATGCGAGGGTCGCGAGTGGTAACGGTGCTGACTGTGGTGCTATAGTGATGTACGCGTTGAGCAGGGATGCGAAGTAAGGAAAAATGATTTTCCTTACACTACCCCTAAGGAGGTCTTCCTTACGAAAGTGCGTGGACGTCCCTGAAGTTTCGGCTGCGCAGATATTCGGTGAGAACAGGGTGGTTTTCGATTCTGTCCAGGGGAACCCAATTGTCTTCGGTGGGTGTACGGTCTTTCCAGCGGATCAGGAACCCGATCTTTCGGGCTCCTTGAGGGTCACGAACTCTGTGGCTCAGGATTTTGTCGGGGGCGATGATTGGTTCGGTTGGCGGTCGTGCCATGCTGGCTGGGCGATTGCGTGGGAGTTGGCTTGTGGATGGGACGTAGGGGCGAAGCAGGCTGACGTGGAACGAGGGGCTGACGTACCAGTCAGCAGGGTGGAGGAGGTGGGCGGTGACGGGTGTTATCATGTGACTGATACGAAATGGCCCACGGTATCGGGGGCGGAGTTTGGGTGTGATGGGCAGTTGGAGGTTCTGGGTGTCGAGTAAAACTAGGTCGTCGGGCTGGTAAGTGGAAGGTCTACGGTGGCAGTCGGCGTTACGTTTAGCGATGATGTTCGATTTTTTTATTGCGTCTGCTGCCCTGGTCCGTGCCGCTTGCAGAATTTCAGCGAACTGTTGCGCGCGTGGAACCGGGTTGTCGGGATTCGGGGTCATGGGTACTGTTGGGTCTTGTCCGTAATTCAGGTAAAACGGTGACTGTTGGGTCGTGGCGGGTGGGGCGTTGTTGTATGCGAATTCGATGAGTGGCAGTTGTTGCTCCCACGTGTTTGGATCGTCGCACGTGGCCCTAATGAGTTGCTCCATGGTTTGATTTGTCCGTTCTGTCTGTCCGTCTGTTTCGGGGTGATACGATGAACTAAACTGTAGTCGCGTGCCGAACTGCTGCCACAGGTTCCGCCAGAAGTTGCTGGTAAACTTCGTGTCTCTGTCGCTGATGATTGATGCTGGTATCCCGTGCAGTCGAACGACGGTAGAGATGAAGAGGCGGGCTATTTCTTCGGCTGTGATTGATTTCTTGCAGGCTGCGAAGTGTGCCATTTTCGTCAGTCGATCAACGACGACTAGGATCGCGTCATTCCCACTCGCTCCAGCCGGTAACCCCGTGACGAAGTCCATCGTCACCTGCTGCCAAGCACACTCTGGGGGTGGGATTGGTTGCAACTGTCCCGCCGGCCGCTTCCGGGTTGACTTCATGATCTGGCAAGTGGGACACGATGCCACGTGTCGCTGTACGTCGGTCAACATTTCGGGCCAATAATAATACCGCTGCAGCTGCTGCCGTGTTTTCTCTACTCCGAAATGTCCCGAGGTAACTCCGTCATGTGCCTCCTGTAACAGTAATTCCCGTAGCAGTGTGTACCCTGGTACCCAGATGCGTTCGGTCCCAGCTTTTACATAATAGATTCCCTTGGCTGCTGCAAATTGCTGCGAGTTTCCTCCTGTGAAGAATGGGTCCGTTTGGTATCCGTGGGTAAATAGTCCTGTCAGTAGCGGGCTGGTCTGGGCGAGTAGTATCGCATGGATCTGGGCAGTAGGGCGGGTCAGTGCGTCGGCGATATTCGAGGCTCCTTTTTTATAGGTGACCGTGTAGTGGAAATTTGACTCGTGGAAATCGAGCCACCGAATCTGTCGTGGGTTGAGGTGGGGCTGTGCGCGGAGGTATTGTAGGGATCGGTGGTCTGTCCGTACTGTCACGTCTGCGCCGGTCAAGTAGCCGCGCCACACTTTGAACACATTCACGATCGCGAGCATTTCGCGGTCGTGTATCGGGTAATTTCGTTCGGGCGGATGCAGTTTTCGTGATTCGTATGCGATGGGCTGTAGGCCGTTGCCGAAGTCCTGCAACAGTACGGCTCCAATGGCGATGTCGCTTGCGTCTGTAACAACTTCGAAGGGGCGATGTGGGTCAACGATGCGCAGGACGGGTGGAGAACAGAGAACATTTTTCAGGGCAGAGAAGGCAGTATGCTCTTTCTCCCCCCACGTAAAAACGACCCCCTTGCGTAGTAAGTCTGTCAGCGGGGCTTTTAATCGTGCCATGTCGGGGACGAACCGACGAACATAATTAACGAACCCTAAAAAACTCTGCAGTTCCGTGATGTTCGTCGGGGGACGCCACGCTTTGACCGTATCCAGCTTCTTGGGGTCGATTTCGACTCCAGCCTCCGAAATAATGTGCCCTAAAAATTCTAGCCTGTCCCGAAAAAACTCGCACTTAGACCCTTTGGTGAGTACTCGATGTTCCTCTAAAATTTTTAACACTGCTTCGAGATCTACTAAGTGCTGCAGCTTGTTGCGATTGTAAACGAGGATGTCGTCGAGGTAGACTATCACGCATTTATCTAAGAGTGGCCTAAACGCCTCGTTCATGGTCATCTGAAATGTTGCGGGCGCGTTGGTCAGCCCAAAAGGCATTACCGTGTACTCGAACGACCCGTACCTAGTCCTAAATGCTGTCTTGGCGCAGTCCGACGGTTCGACCCTAATCTGATGGTAACCCCCCCGTAAGTCTATTTTCGAAAATACCCGTGCTGTTCGTAGTTGGTCGATCAGTTCGTCGGCGCGGGGAATGGGGTACTGCGATTTGACTGTTACCCTGTTAAGCGCTCGGTAATCGATGCACATGCGAAACCCTCCGTCTTTTTTTGTTGTGAACAGTATCGGTGCGGCGAACGGTGACGAGCTCGGTCGGATAAACTGCTTCTCTAACAAATAATCTAACTGCTTCCTTAGTTCGTCGAGCTCGGGCTGTGTCAGCCTGAACTGGCGCTGTACAGTTGGCGGTGCCCCCGGTTCTAACTCGATCCTATGGTCATGCGCCCGCTGAGGTGGCAGCCCTTGCGGTAAGTCGTCTGGAAAAATCCCCGGGTACCGTTTCAACAGTTCCTGAAGTTCGGGCGGTACTGCTGCCAACAGTTTCTGAAAATCGCTCGGCTGCTCCTCTTTTTCCACTAATGCTATATCCACTGCGTACACGTCAGCTCCAGCGGCGACAACCCGTTTCACCGTGATGGCGTTGACGTGGACCGTTGAAGACTCGGGTGATCGCCAGCGAGGTAGTTCGACCCAGTTACCACTACTTCGCACGGTGCAGCTACCCGTCGTCCAGTCAATTCGCGGGTTATACCGTCGCAGCCAATCACGCCCCAATAAAATATCGTGCCCATCCAGTGTCGCTGCGAGCATTTCCTGTGTAAACCCGAAGTTCCCTCCGCAACGGACTTTTACTCGCTCCACCTTTTCCCGTATGGCCAGTGGCGTACCGTCGACTAAGCGTGCGTCTATCTCAGGTAGGCAACGGTTAAGTGTTAACTGTAGTTTTCTTGCGGTTGCGGTATTAACTAAACTGTGACTCGCTCCTCCATCAATAAAAATCTTCACTGCTGCTCCCTGTATTTTCCCGTGGATCAGTACTGGGCAATCCGTCGCTGTACCCTCCTTATTCATCCGAGCCCGATCGATGGCGTGAATCGGTACTGTGACTCGGTGAGGGTCGGTGCAGTTGGGCGAGCAGGCAATCTCGTCAGTAGTTGTCCCAACTTCTACTGACTGCTGGCGTTTCCCTGCCTCTGAGACTCCCTCCCCTGCTCTACTCCCCGGCGCCTCAGCTCCTCTGGGCATTCGCTCTTGCGATGGCCCGGCCTGTTGCAAGCAAAGCAGCGCCCCTTAAACGGTGCGGCAGCTACATTCGTTGCAACGACGTGTACAGTGGCGTGCTCGGTCGGTCCCCGAGGGCGATGTCCGTAGTAGGACCCCGGTCTCGGTCGGCGTAGAATGTCAATTTTCTCGGCGAGCGCGAGAATCTCGTTGAAGTTGGAGAGTCCGCGCAACATGATTTCGTGCGAGATATCCGGCTTCAGCCCTCCGACGTAACGGTCCACCCGCTCCGCTTCGTGCATGTAGCCGACCTGGTCGCAAATTGCGAGAAAACCGCTCGTATAATCTTGAACCGACCCGAGCTGCCGCCAAGTGCGCAGTCTCTGACGCGCCGAAATGGAAGCCGCAATCGGCTCGAAGCGCGCACGAAGCCCTGCGCACCACGCATCCCACGTGCTGTATTGGGCGGTCTCGCAGAACGAACTCCAGGTGACAGCTGGACCCGTGGGCCCTTCCTCGTGCGACGGTGGCTCGTAGGCGCGTGGTGACGTCACGATGACTCGCCACCAGTCCATGGCGGGGCCCCTTAGTAGCGAAACTGCATACCGAATCTTCGCGGCGTCCGACTTGACGTAGTTCGCGTCGAAGAAGACGTTCATCGTGAAGACCCACGATTGAACCGTCGTACCTCCACGTTGGCTTGGGTCGAAGCAGGGCGAGCGTTGTGGCTTGAGCGGCATTGGTGCCATAATGGCCTGTTCGCCACTTGTCGCCGCGAATTCCACGTGCCGACGGGCTTCACGGGGCTCCCGCGGGCTTGGTACGACCCCGCTTCCTCCCATGCCAGGCATCGGCTGGGCGACGCCATCACTGGCTGCGCCTGAGCGTTGTCCCATGCTCTCGTGTTGCGTTGGTGTGCCGGACGAAATGATGATCGGCTCGTCTGATTGTGCAGATGCATTTGGTAGTGCGTGTGATGTCGCTAGAATGTTCACCGTGGATTGTTGACGGGCGGAGTCACGTTCCGCCGTGAGCGTCGCGATTTCGAGCGCCGAGTCTTCAAGTTGGCGCACGAGACGATCAAGCTGCTCCTGCGTCAATGTGGCGAGCGTGAAATCGGCCATGGCGGGGGTGTCGGGCGAGCTCAGCGAGAGCCTCGGTCGTGGCCGTGCGTGCTTACGAGAGAGCACTACGAGCGGCGGTGCTATATCGCTGAGAGACGTCTACCCCCCCCCAAAAATTGAGATAGCGGGGAAGCGAAAATGTGGGTGCGGTCCGAGAGGAGATCGTAGGCTCTGAATACCAAGTGTTACGAGTGCAATTGAGTAAGTGAACGAGAATTGCACTACCGAAGCAAAAATACAATGAGCGAAGGCATGAGCGAAGAATATATAGCGAAACTACAGTGGTAACGGTGATGGAATGTGGTTGTCGCGTGACGGGCCTGGGACTGAGGTTTGGGAAAGTGTCGAAGCGGAGGCCCGGAGCGCGGGTTACCAGCCGAGCCGTGAGGTTGGGGTGCGATGTGCGAAAATGGCGGGCTGATTGTCGATGCGAGGGTCGCGAGTGGTAACGGTGCTGACTGTGGTGCTTTAGTGATGTACGCGTTGAGCAGGGATGCGAAGTAAGGAAAAATGATTTTCCTTACAGAGGTGAAGCGAAATACACTAGTGACGGGGATATGGTGTTGAAAATAGTGGAAACGGAGCAGCAGCAGGTAATACCGGTAACCTCCTCTCCTTCTAGGGTACCGGTAAGTGAAGCCTTGTGAAAAGAATAGCAAATTGCCAGGCTCCCATTAGCACATACGGTACTAGTTAACACCGTACTTCTGTGGCAGTCCATGACACGCTTTATATCCCGCAAGCAGGACACTGTAACACATGTTAATGAGGCACGTGTTTTGCAACCAGACCACAAATTCTTGTATCAAAACTCCAGCCACACCGGATCTTGAATATGCTTAATCAGAATCCTTCTTCCCAGCATCTCCACTTCCCAATCCGGTCTCCAAGTCTCTCCGTACCTCCCCTCTCCCAACCCCGCCAATGCTACCCACACCCGAACCTGATCTCTGTGGCCGCGACTGCTTCGGGGACTGCTTTGGCACAAGACCTACCGTGCTACCAGCGGCGCCGCCGCTGCTACTGCCACTGACTGCTGCTGCTATGGGAGATGAGGGGTAGAGGAGAGAGGACATGCCCACTAGCTGTGCCACGACTGCACATGCCATCACATAGGTCTTCCAGCCCTGCACGGTGATGGGATGTACAGATGATTAAGGAACAAGGATGTTCTGCCCTTTAGCTGAGATTGTGGGGAGAGATGTGTAATGAAGGATGACAATGGGTTGGGGTGTGCACATGAGAATTGGGGCGGTGGGATGATAAGGGGATGAGATGGCGGGAGTGTGGGATGGGATGGGAAAATGGAATGGATTGGGAGATGGGATGGTGGGGAAATAAGGAGTTATGGCAGGATGGAGGCTTTCTCACCTTATTGCGAGGGTTTTGTGCATCGAAGATCTTGAGAGCGAGGATGATGGCGACGAATGCTTTGAGTCGACTCGAAACACACCCGGATACAACGCCACGTGTGGGTTGCCACTCACCTTATTGCGAGGGTTTTGTGCGTCAAAGATCTTGAGAGCGAGGATGATGGCGATGAATCCACAGATGATCACCAGCCGTCCCACCTGAAAAAGGAGGGAAAATGGGAGGGCAAGGCGGGAGAGGAGGGGGTGTAGGAAGTGGAGGAGAGAGAGATCTTGAGTGACTGTTGCTTCGCAGCATGTGTATCCACAGCCTCGATTGAGGCATCAATCTTGAGAGCGAGAATGATGGAGATGAATCCACGGATGATGACAAGCCGACCCACCTGGTGGGGTCAAACAGGGGAGGGGGGGAAGAAAGTGGGGGAGAAAGAGAACATCTGCGAATGTTGCTTAAAGAGAACCAATACCACGCATGAAGCATCAACCTTAAGATCGAGAATGACTGATGATGACCAGTTGCCCTACCTGTGGGGTCGAACAGGGCAGGAAGGGAGGGAGCGCAGGTTTCCAATAACCACCCTGGAGTTGCGAAGAGTGTTGATGTACAACAGACCCCCAGCCATGCATGCGACATGCTCAACTGCGCCTGTATGTATAGCCACTCACACGCACCCAGTGACCACCACCCACCACTCCATGCGGTGCAGAAAGTGCAGACTCCCAATGAGCGCCCTTGAAATCCGCAGAATGTTGAAATACAGCAACACGCCCAGCAGCCCGCCCAACTCCGCCAGGATCACAGCCGACACACCCAGCACGCATGCGGCGTGCTGAAGTGCGCCCATACCATACCAGGCACCCAGACCTCACCCACCCACCCACCATGCGGTGCAGAAAGTGCAGCCTCCCAATGAGCGCCCTTGAGATGCGCAGAATGTTGAAATACAGCAACACGCCCAGCAGCCCGCCCAACTCCACCAGGATGATTGACAGCTGACATGCACAGCCATGCATGTGGCGTGCTCAAGCGCGCCTGAGTACCCTTCAAACAAACCCACCACCCACTCACCATGCGGTGCAGGAAGTGCAGTCTCCCAATGAGCGCTCTGGAAATCCGCAGAGTGTTGAAATACAGCAGCACGCCCAGCAGCCCGCCCAGCTCCGCCAGGATCACAGCCGACACGCCCAGCCACGCGTGCGGCGTGCTGAAGTGCGCCTTGAGGCGCGCGTGGCGGTGGGTGAACATGGCGAGGGTTCCTGCTAGTGCTAGGACGAGGCCGGTGAGTTGCAAACCCAGGTGCAACCGCATGGCTTCCTTGCGCCGCTGGGGGGGGGAGGAGAGAGGGTAGGGAGGATGGGGAACGGGGAATGAGGGGTGTATATGGAGTCAGCTGAAATGCGCCTTGAGGCGTGCGTGGCGGTGGGTGAACATGGCGAGGGTGCCGGCTAGCGCCAACACGAGCCCCGTGAGCTGCAGACCCAGGTGCAGCCGCATGGCCTCCTTGCGCCACTGGCGAGGCAGGTGAGGGGGGGGGGGTGGGGGAAAGGTGGGGAACAAGAAACGAGGGATGCATATGAGAGGCGCGGGGCGGTGGGTGAAGACCCAAGTGCGGCCACATGGCCTCCTTGCGGCGCTTGGGGAGGCAGGGGAGAAGGGGACGCATATCCGTGAGCGTAAGGCGACGATATTGATATGTCTTCGGGATAACTACAAGGTGGAAAGCCGGGGGAGGGGGAGAGTGAGGGCAATGGCTGAAACACCTGAAAGAAAACCGCTATGAGGTAGACACGAGGCACCAGCCCGAGGAACACTTACCCGTGAGGCGACTGAAAATCTGTATCCAGGATGATTAACGCAAGGGAGTGATGCGCAACTGGAAGTGGAGCGTGAGCAGTTGAGACCGACCCGAAGCGGAGACCTAGAGGGATGATACATACCCGCGAGGGCCTGGCGACGATAAAGACGCCTTCAGGGATAACGAGTAGGAAGGCCAGGGTCATGAGTGCCACGTGAACGGCGAAGAGTGATTTTTCGTAGAAGGTGACTGTAATGAAGATCGGCAAGAGCACCGCGAGGATGTGGAAGAGCCATGGCAGATCCCCTGCTGCCATTGGCCTGACTAAAAATAAGAAATACGATTTATGATCTCTTTGATTTAGGGTATGATTTATAGCGACGCGAGTTTCAAACAGCTAGACGAAAGCCTGACTGAAGAAGGTTAGACGCGAGGACTAACGCGACGATCGAACGTGGTCAAAAAAACATTGCCAGAGTGAAATCAATCGTTCCTCTCACGACTGCGTCGACGACCTGAACGCATCAAGGCTGCTGTGGGTGTGGTGTGGGTCCAGCAGCCCCGTGTGGTTGCGAAATTCCTCTCGCTAGTTGATCAGGCATGAGGTAGGAATGAACACGGGAGTCCTAACGTGCAGTCTAGACCTGGAGTAGCGCATGAGTGTCTGACCTCGATAAAATACTCGCAGCAGAACACAATAATGCAGGAGTTCCTAAGATGATACAGCAAAAATGAGTTTTGGCGCCTAACAAACAGTAACAAAGGTTGTGTAATTGATTTGTCAATACATACGTGGTTCAAGAAATTGTTTGATACACAATATAGGATCTCCGTCCTTGTAACGTGGATGATAACCATGTGACGCAATACCCTGACCTGACCCGCTGAATGGAGGAAAACTTTCCAGCGACTTCGACTGGCGAAGTTTCGTGCTGTGACGAATTTTCGTCGAGCTGTCTCGGAAATTCTGCCTTCCGCGTCGCTGATGGCAGCGAAAAGTGCATCGCCGCCACGCCTGCGCAAATCACAGCCAGGGAGATCCGCCGCTGGGTTACCCAGCCACTCGCTCGCAACACGACTGCTGGCGTGTCAACAACGCTACAAAACCAGCTCCCGCCACACAATATCCCTCCAAAAGTTCGCACGGGCAGCCCCACAAAAACCGCAATGTTCTGGGACAAAGAACTTCCACAACCTCAACTTCGCATGGCCGTTTTCCTCATTGGCTTAGACTGCTGAAATTCCTCAAATTATGCACTCAATGTCAAACCTTTGAATCTGGCCCATCCTAATCCAACGGTCAAAAGGCACACACGGTCAGACATCCCCGTTCCCAGAACGGAGGGATTGATTCACTGTACCCAGCCACCTGCCCGGCACCTGAGGTTTACGGCTTGCCTGCCCCACCGCGGATTTGATCTTCCCCGCGGGCAACACTGGGAGGACCATCGCGCTTCCGCGCGGAGCCCATCCCCCTTCTCACCCTAACTTCCGCCAATACAACTGCCACAGCTGCTTTGGTGTGGTTACTCCATGCTCCGCCATTCACATATATCAGAATCCAGCAATCCGCCATAGCTTCACCATTATCAGTTTTTCATTCCACTCCTCATTTCTCCGCCTTCGCTGGGATCAGTTACGGTCTCGAATAGTAGCGTGGTACCAGCTTTCCAACCTAGGTATCTGGGAGCATTTTCATTGTTGCGAACACATCCATTTGTCTACCTCGACCTATTTGTCAGCTTCCTCTGGCTGCACAACTCACTGCTTCAACCAAAAGCTTTACCATACAATCATATAGCCAGACTAAGACCAGGGCTCCTGTTAGGTTACCTTCTTCCCTTAACGGATCATGGCTGCCGTGAACACCCATTCAAGACGACACTCGTGGGGTCAACTTCAAACGACCAGCCTAACTGCTGACCATGAATTCGTTCATCCGCCTTATAGAGTTCCCCCAAAACCATCCACGCTATCTTCAGCTGTCTCCACACCATCACCAGCGATTTTTAGGAGCAGCCGGGGTTTCAAGCTCCCCCCATCGTCTGTTGTGGTCGATTCTAGGTCTCTGGCCTTTCATTCACCCGCGTCTCTCGCGGGAAGTTTGGTTGAGGATCGACTTCAGCGAAACCCTAACGAAGCCGCGCGACCTCTTGTTTCTCGCGCGCGAAACGCCTTTTCCGCGGACCTCCCGGTATTGTCCTTTTCGATAGAGGAACAAACCTCGTTCGGTGTACCTTCCGTCGCTTCAATAAACAGAGGCCTGAACAGCTCAACACGCTTGACCGACCCGCTACGGGGAAATCCATTTTCGTCGGCACTAGATAATCTCCGCTCGTCCGGTTTATCTCAGCTGATCGACCAAGCATCCGGCCGGTGGCGCAGCATCTCACATTCCGCCTTAGCTTCAGGAAAGGGATTCTCTACTGGTCTTCGGAAGGAGGGCTTAGCTGATCGAGGGCTGACCGTTGATGGAGAGGGTGGCGGGGGAAGCTTGCGCGGAGAGCGCGCGGAGAGCTGGCGCAGAGAGCGCGCGAGCATGCGCGCAGTGTTCGCCGCTCTGGACACCGACGGCGACGGGATGATATCCGCGGACGACCTCCGCGCGTACTCCGCGCAGCGCGGGCTTCCCGCGGGGTATGCGCTGGAGTTCGTGAGCCGCGCGCAGCATGGGCGGAGGGGTGCGGAGGAGCACTTATACGGGGAGCGGCGGACGGATCCGCAGGTTTTGCGCAACTCCCTGTTCGGTGGCGGATGGAACGGCGCGGGTTGCGCGGCGGGGGGGCTCCAGGCGGGCGGGGTTGCGGGAGCTGGCATCGGCGGAATGCGGATCCTGGGAAGCGGAGACGGAGTGGCGTCATGCGCACAGGAGGGGTCGGGCGGAACGAGCGGAGGCAATATGGCGCTGTGCCGCGCATCAGCGGGGTTTGCGGCGTCGTCCTCCCAGGTAGCTCTCACCTCCCAACGAGCTTCAGTGTCGATCTCTTTGGTTATACAGGGTGTTTCTGAGCATTTTCACAAACACCCTGCTCTTTTTTTACGCCCCATACCCGGACCAGTCGTCTCATACCTCCCCTTCCCGCCATCCCTCCCTCCCCCCAGGCGCTACCGCCCGTGGATCTCCCAGCACTGCTCTCCTCTGCCGCGCAGCAGCTTCACCGCGGGCTGGGCTCGGCGCGCTTGCACCTTAGCAGCTTCAGGGGCGGGGGAACCGGCGGAATAGGTGGCGGAAGCGGCGGAAGTGGCGGAACCGACGGCGGCGGCGGTGGCGGAGGGGGGTTTGGGGTGTCGTATGCGGCGTTTGAGGAGTTCGTGGATGCGAGGGACAGGGCTCTGTGGGACTCGTTTAGGTGCATGGACAGTAACGGGGATGGCCGCGTGTCGCAAGCAGACCTCGAACGCAGCATGAGGGTGCGTGTTACGTGGCACCTTCTCTTCTCCCCTGTGATTTTTTTTCTTTTCTCATCCGCAAGGGTGTGGGTGTTGGCTCCGAGCCCCCACTCCACCATTCCCGCTTGTGTTCTGCTCGTGTTTTTCCACGCCCACTGCCACGCTTCTAGTGCTGTCTGTTCAATCACCCTCCCCTGACGCACTAATTTCCTTTGCCCCTGCCCTTCCCTCTTCCAGATCCTCGCAACTCGCTGCAGTCACGCTGCTAGTGCCACCCCTGCAATGGGCATAACAGCATGCAACTCCCCCATGACCACTGGAGGCAACACCGCCACCTCTGCAGCCGTCACCACTCTCAGTGGCAGTACTCGAGCCAGCAGCACCAGCGGCAGCGGTAATGCCGAGGCAGCACGGCCTGCGGGGCTAGGTCAGCCGTGCTCGGTGGATTCCGTAGGGCGGGCTTGTAGCGGGAAGATGGTGAGAGCCGTGCAGCAGCAGCAGCAGCAGGTTTTGCAGCAACAGCAGCAGCAGCAGAATGGAGTTCTGCAGCGGATTAGGCTGCAGGCGTGCAGTGGCGTTGCTGCTGGGGATCCGTTGTCCCAGTCCGTATCATTCGAGGTATGTAGCCCACTTAGCCCACTGCTCATTTGATTGTAAGATTCCACGTCCATGTCTCTGCCCTGTAACCCTCTCCTCCCCACACCACCCCACACCACCCCATCCCACCCCTCCTTGCTACGCCATCCCCGCCTTCCGCTCCTCGTTCTCACGTCCCTCGGCTCTCTGTCGTTTCTTGCTCTTCCTCGGGCTCAGTCAACAGAGTTCGTGATTCCCCCCCTACCCCTCCTTGCAGGAGTTCCGGGACTACTTCACGCTACTCCCTACATCCGACCATCTCTTTGACTACTGGATCTCCGCCTCCTGCCCGCTCGCCTGCCACGCTTCTTCCGCGCCACGACCATTCAACGCGCGAGAAGCACTTGAGGGGGCTTCAGCAGTAGTAGGCACGGCTGCCACAGCTGCCGCTGCGGGAAATGCGTTGAAAAGGAAGGTTCCACGAAGAGGGTCTTTGAGGGGAACCAGCAGCAGCAGCAGCAAGGGTGCTGGCACAGGTGGCGGCAGCAGCGGCAGCGGCTCCAGCAGGAGAAGTAAAGGGGCGGGTGGCGTATGGCGGCATCTAGTGGCGGGCGGCATGGCAGGGGCGACATCCCGCACAGTGACTGCCCCTTTGGAGACCCTCCGCCTGCGCATGATGGTCTCGTCCGAACATGGCCTCCTGCAAACATGCTCTGTAAGTGCAAACATCCGAGCTCCACTGCTGCAACAGTGCCATGTGACTCTTAGATACACTCCACCAGTTACAGTCACAGCCCCTCTGGAGAGCCCTCCGCCTGCGTATGATGCTCTCGTCTGAGCATGGGCTGCTACAAACGTGCTCGCTTAGTTGATGCACCATGGTCTAGACTATACTCTGCCCCTTTCCGTGTCTCATCCCTACCCTCCTCGCAATCTCTCCTCTTCCCATTGCAGCAAGTGTGGAGTGAAGCGGGCTGGAGGGCATTCTTCCGCGGCAACATGGTGAACGTGGTGCGCTCGGCCCCTCAGAAAGCAATCGACTTCTTTGCTTTTGAGGCATTCAAACAAGCCATCGCCACTGTCTTCCCCACGGTAAGTTCGTGGTTCACCCTACCCCTATGTTACAGGCACGGGTCGTATCTGGGATCCAGTGGCAACATGGTGAACGTGGTACGCTCGGCCCCTCAGAACAAGGCAATTGACTTCTTTGCTTTCAAGGCCTCCATTGCCACAGTGTTTCCCACGGTGCCATTGCCACAGTGTTTCCCACGGTGCCGTTGCCACAGTGTTTCCCACGGTGCCATTGCCACAGTGTTTCCCACGGTGCCATTGCCACAGTGTTTCCCACGGTGCCATTGCCACAGTGTTTCCCATGGTGACTCTTTGTATGCTCCCTCCCACATCACTGCTCCTCGCCATGTGCTCGGCTTGACTTGCTGTGCCACACCACATCGTAGCCCTCGCAAGGCCATCCACTTGCCTTGGCTTGGAGGCTTTCTGGCAGGCCTTTACCACCGTCTTCCGCACCGTCTTGACTTTTGATTCGACTCAAAAGTCAGGCCTTTACGACCATCCTCCGCACCGTGCGTGCTCACACCGATGCTGAATCCCTCCACTAATCTCATCTCTCTTTTGAGTCGACTCAAAAGCCGATGCTGAATCCCTCCTCAAATCTCATCTCTCCTCCCTCTCCCGGCCTCCACTTTGCCAGGGCCCTGCGGGACTTCAGGTGGTGACAGCAGGTGCTTTAGCAGGTGCCACGTCCACTCTGGCACTCTATCCTCTCGATGTCGTCAGAAGCCGCCTCACTGTTGCCGCCCGCTCCCAGGTGGGTTGTCTCACTGTTGCCGCCCGCTCCCAGGTGGTTGTCTCATTGTTGCCACCCGCTCCCAGGTGGTTGTCTCATTGTTGCCACCCGCTCCCAGGTGGGTGGATTTGTTGTTGCCGCCCACCCTCAGTCATGTTGACACACTGTTGCGGGCCGCACTCAGGCTGTTCACAACCATTGCCACCAGTGGGCCGCACTCAGGCTGTTCACAACCATTGCCACCAGTGGGCCGCACTCAGGCTGTTCACAACCATTGCTAGGTGTCTCTCTCCTTTCAACCACAGCTGCGTCACGCCATCTCAACAATGTTATCCATCCTCCCGTTCCTCCTCTCCCCACGTCCCCTTCCACAGTGCACAGGCATCGCCCATGCCCTCACCACAATAGCAAAGACAGAGGGAGTCCCAGCACTCTACCGCGGCCTGGGCGCGTCTCTCCTCTCCATCCTACCAGAGGACGCCATCACATACGGCTGCTTCGATCTGCTCAAGACCGCCCTGCAGCACTCCACCGGCCGCACCGTGGGAGTGCTGCCCGCCCTGGCCTGTGGCGTCGCCATCACATCCACTCACTTTCTTTCCTTCCTCCTCTGTTTCATCCCTCACCTTCCACCCTCCATTTTCCACAGTACACAGGCACTGCCCACGCCCTCACCACGATAGCCAAGGCTGAAGGAGTCCCAGCCCTGTACCGCCGGCTAGGAGCGTCCCTCCTCTCCATCCTACCAGAGGCAGCCATCAAATACAGCTGCTTTGACCTGCAGCACTCCACTGGCCACACCGTGGGAGTGCTGCCCGCCCTGGCCTGCGGTGTCGATGTTTCTCACACACACTCACTCCCTCTGTCCAACTTCCTTTTCGCCTTCCACCCTCCCCAAACCACAGTACACAGGCATCGCCCATGCTCCAACCACGACAGGAAAACCAGAAGGCATGCCGGCACTCTGTAGAGGCCTCGGTGCTTCTCTCCTCTCCATTCTACCGGAAGCCGCCATCACATACGGCTGCTTCGACCTGCTCAAGTCTGCTCTGCACCGCTCTACTGGTCGCACCGTGGGAGTGCTGCCCGCCCTGGCCTGCGGCATTGCTGTACCCGTCACACCCACTCACTCACTCTCTCCATCCTCCCATCTACCCCCCGCCCTTCCCCTTCCAACCCCCCAGTACACAGGCATTGCCCATGCCCTCGCAACTATAGCCAAAACCGAAGGTGTCCCAGCCCTATATAGGGGTCTCGGTGCGTCTCTCCTCTCCATCCTACCGGAAGCCGCCATCACATACGGCTGCTTTGACCTCCTCAAGTCCGCCCTGCAGCACTCTACTGGTCGCACCGTGGGAGTGCTACCCGCCTTGGCCTGCGGTGTCGCCTCTGCATTCACGGGCCAGCTTGTCGCATACCCTCTCGAGCTCGTTGCGAGGCGCCTGCAGGTCTCTGCTGTTGCTGCTGGTGCTGCTGGTGCTGGTGCAGTTGCAGCAGGGGCGGCGAAGCAGAATCTGGTTACCGTTACCAAGGCGATACTGGCGGAACGGGGAGTGGCAGGGCTGTATCAGGGTATCGTGCCGGCCTCCCTGAAGGTCATTCCCATGGCGATTGTGAGCTTTGGAGTGTATGAGTCGGTTAAGTTTGCTCTGGTGCAGCTGGCTGAAAGGGAGGAGGGGTGGCGGGAGGAGAGGGAGAGGAGGCGTGAGGAGGAGGGGAGGAGGAGGTGGGCGGAGGAGGAGAGGAGGTTGGTGGAGGAGGAGAGGAGGGGGAGGAGGGTGTGTTTGCCGGTGTGTAAGGCATGCTGTCGGGAGGGAGGGTTGTGTGGGAGGCAGAGGGGGAGCGCACTGCTGGTGGTGTGACGGCGGTGTGACGGCGGTGTGGATGCTCCGATGGTGTATCTCACGCCAGTAGGGTTGGATATCATGGGAGTGGGGCTGGGTGTCAGGTGCGCCATTGTGGCTGATTGGAGGTGCCAACAAGACATGCAGTGAGACTACAGTCGCTGCACAGCATCTGGTGTATGGTGTAGTGCACCTTATGAATCTCCCACAGCAAAAGCTGCTCCAAGTGTACATACGAAGGCTTTTCGCAGGCACATTGAAGTATGCTTTGGTGCAAGCATAATATGTGTGTGCTGCAGTCTTAGCTTGCTACATTGGCAAGCTGATATGAAGCATTGAACGTTGCCTGGAGAAATGCTATTTTCCATTATAATTTTGTTCTTTGGGTTGGTCCTGTCATGTGTATTGCTATTCTTATGTCTATTATACAATTATAACGGTTTTCGAGCCTTCACCGTTTTTACTGATTTCAAAATTTGTTAGGTTGCCAAGCTTGGGGTGTAAGGAATTTGCCAATTCCTTACTGTAGCCTTGCCTTAACGGGTACAGCCCGAGCACTTCGCATCAGGTGGCTCGGCCTACATTTCCGCACCGAACCAATGCCGAGTCGCCCCGCACCAATCGCGACACATCCAAACCATCCACGTTCCGAGGTCCTCGCCTAGCACGGTTTCGACCCTATAAATGCGTGCTCCTTAATCGTTCTTGATCATTCAGTAATTCTGTAATTCTCATTCTCGTTATTCGATATTCTGCGCACTCTGCAAGTTCATTCATAACATGGGGCTTGCCGAACAGCGCCGAAAAAATTGATGGACAGCCAAGCAAAGAATGCCTTCCTTTGCAAGGCTGGAACCTGCCGCAGCCCCTGTTCAAGAGAATAGGTACTTGTTCCTAAAAGAAAGGAGAGTGCCTCGTTCTTGCGTTGCAATCTGCGCCAAGGCCACGAGGGTACTTAGGGTCGGAGGAGTCCTCGTTGCTTTAGACTATGGCATTCTAGATTTTGTCGGACGTGACGCACGATACTTTCTAGGGTAAAGTTGCATCTGGCGGGATTAGCACTGACTGAGCTGGTGGGAGATATTTATTAGGTGGTGTTTCCGTGAACATAGTGCTAAGAAGGATCTTTGAAGTATCATCCCACCTCTTCGGATTCTTCGAGGAATTGGTCATGGCGACAACTAGGAAAACGGCCTCTCGTGACCGGCATCGGTTATCCTCGTTATTGCTTATGCTGCACGTGCTGGCGACGAGTTTGGTTTTGGCGAGCGTCGCGAGGCTCGCGAAAGCGAGTAACTTGGGCTCCGGCGAAGTTCGCCGACCCGAGGAAGTCACTCAGGGCTTCGAGACCATCTCAACGGACATGCAACGCGTCGTCGAAATGCCGGAAGTTTCGCAGAAGGTTCTCCTGGACGGCATGGGTCAGGCGCTCGTGTCGTCCGGCATGTGGCCGTGTAACATCTTCGGCGGCGTTAAAGCGTGTGTCGCGGTGCCTTCTAACGGAGCGTTCATGCAGCAGTGCGCGAACGTCGCCAAGTCGGAGGTGGACTGCGCTTATAACCGCGAGACGCTGAGTGACATTAACGAGGATCCGAATGTGATTATGAAGGAGAAGCTCGAAGAAGCAGGTGTGTACAACTGAAGAATATTGAGACGTCTCAAAGAGACGCTGAGTGACATTAACGAGGATTCGAATGATTATGAAGGAGAAACTTGAAGAAGCAGGTGTGTACAACTGAAGAATTTGGAGACGTCTCAAAGAGACGCTGAGTGACATTCACGAGGATCCGAACGTGGTTATGAAGGAGAAGCTCGAAGAAGCAGGTGCGTGTAACGAGCGAGGGAAAAGCAAAAACAATCGAGAATTCTTTTGAATCGTCTCAAGAGACACTGAGTGACATTAACGAGGGTCCGAACGTGGTTATGAAAGAGACTCTTGAAGAAGCAGATGAGTGTAACGAACGAGGGGGGAGCTGAAAGGAGAGGGGTATGTGGTTGCGGGATGAATTCCTACTCGCGTTCAGGCTTCAAGGCGTGCCCCGCTGCATCGCTTTCAGTGCAGGCAGACCTCATTCCTCGGTCATAGCGTCTCTTCCTCTCACCACCCTTCCCCTCTCCCATCTCTCTCCCGCCTCTCCCCCGCTCCCCGCGCCCCTGCGCCCCTGCGCCCCGCTCTCCCCCCTCGGGCCTCGAGGCATATCCCGCATACCCCTCATTCCTCGGCAATGCATCTCTGCCACTCCACTCCCCGCCCTTGCCCCTGTTCCCACCCCCCTCCCTCCCTCCCAGGCTTTGAGCCGTATCCCGCGTGCCTGGATGCGCTCCATCACTTCTGGTGCGTGCAAGATCTCATTCTTCGGTTATTCCATCTCCTCCTCTCTCCCTCCCGCGGCTTCCCCTCTCCTCCCCCACCAACCAGGCTTCGAGCCATGTCCCGCGTGTTTGGATGCGCTGCACCGCTTCTGGTGCGGCCAGACCACCCCCACGTGTGGCACCTTCGCTAAAGTGGTTGACGAAATCTTGGTGAGGAGGGAAGAGGGATGAGCAGGGGAAGTGGGTGCGTAGGGAAGAGGGAAGTGGGTTAGGAAAGGAGAGGGGTGAGAGATAGAGTTGTTTGAGAAAGGGAGGGGGAAGAGGGATGGAAGGGATTTATGAGTGCGTGGAAGGTGGCGGTTGAACCGCTTATGACCCCCCCGTCAGATGGAGAGGGTGGTTTGAGGGGGATGAGGGGATGAGGAAGGGAGGGAAGGTGGTGGATAAGGAGGGGAGGGGGTTGAGGAAGAGGGGTTGGAGCGGGTAAGATGGAGGGACGATGAGGGTGGGCGTGGGAGTTGCAAAGGCATCAATAAGGGGCTGTCAGCCTGAGATCCAAAAGGCCAGTGCAGGCAAGGTTAACCCCAACCCATCGTTCAATCAAACATCCCTGTCCGCAAGCTCTTCTTTCTCTGGGGCTTTGAGGTTCCACTCTTTAAACCTGCGCTCCCTTCTTTGCCCATCTTCGCCCTTCTCTCCCTTCTGCTCCCTCCGTTTCCCCGCACCCCTCCCCACCCCTCCAGCCTGAAATGAGGCAAGTCAGTGCTGGCAAGTTGAAGCCAGACGAGCTCGTTCAGTCAGCCCTGCCCCGCATGCTCCAAGCCTTTTCTCTCGGGCTGCCCTGCCGCAAAATGTGCGAGGCGGTTACCGCCACCTGCAGCTGCGGCCGACCGGCCACGTTCGGGCAGATGATGAAAGTTTTGGAGCTGAAGCGCACGCAGCAGCAGGCAGAAGGGGAGGGCGCGGCGGGCAGGCCCCTGGCGGAGAACAAAGATTTGATTCCGTTTGGGTTCAGTACGAACATGTCTCTGGCTACTGCTGTGAAGATCTTCAAAGGGGTGTGGGACCGACCCGTCTGCGACTTGTTTGCCCCACATGTAAGAAAGAGGATACTATAAGGGGTTTGGGAGGAGGGGAGAGATGGGGAGGGGTCTGAGACATTACTAAGAGTGGGGTCAGCACGAGCATTTCTCTGGCTACTGCTGTGAATACCGTCAAAGTCGTGTGGGACCGGCCCGTCGGCAATGTCTTCGCTCCTCATGTAAGGAAGACCGGGGGGAAGAGGAAGGGTGTGGGAGAGGGAGGGGGGGGGGGTTAGGTGGGGGACGGTCTAAGAGGGGCGAGGGGTTTGAAACATCACAAACAATGGGTCTGCAATAACACGTCTCTGGCTACTGCTGTGAGGATTAATCAATCCCACATCTCCCCTCCCCTCCCCCTATTTCTCCCCTCCCCACGGACAGGACGCGCCTGGCTTCCAGGGCGTGTGTGAGACGTGGTGGGCGGGGGCGGACAAGAACCAGACGACATGTCGCTGGTGCGAGTCAAAGCAGCGGCCAGAGGACATGGACGAACAGATAGTGGCTCAGATCGCGCAGTCCGTGTCCAGCATGATGCAGGTGGGGTGTAATGGTTGCTGAGTCTTTGAGCAGAGGAGGATTGAACCTGCTGGTACGGTAGTGTTCTTAGGTGCTGGTGTGAGCAACGGAGGGGTAATCTCACGTCGCTGGTGCAAGCCAAACCAGCGGGCAGAGGACATGGACTAGCAGATTGTGCCATATCCATGCATGTAAAGTTCTGGGTATGCATGATCCTGTAAGTTCTGGTGTGCCGCTGGTGCGAGCAAGTACAAGGATGGGCGGATATGCAATCGGTGCTGTCGGTACTTAGTCGACTCGAAGCTCAAGTGTGTCCTTGCACACGTCTCTGCTTTCCATGTTGTTTCCATATTGCAAACCTCTTTCCCTTATCATGTTGCTAAGGCCTTTCTCCCTTTCATCTTGCAATTCCTGTTCCTTTCCTTGCACACGGCCCCCCGCAGGCTGGTCTCGAACATGTTCTTTTTGCTGCCGCCTTCCCGGTTCCCACCCTAAACGCTGCCCGCACCACCACCACCACCACCCCCTCCTCGTCCTCCTCCTCCTCCTCCTCCTCCACTTCCTCTGCTGCCTCTGCTTCTGTCTCTGTTTCCAATGCCAGCCCTGCAACTGCAACAGCTTCTGCTGGTGCTGCTAATGCTGGTGTTGCTGTCGCTGTCTCTCCTGCTGTTGCCCCTGTAGCTGACACGGCTGACGCAGCAGCAGTGGAGCAGGCAGAGGAGGAGGTGGAGCAGGAGGAGCAGAAAAGCTTCGACTGGCAGGACGACCAAACCGGGCTACCCAATCCCGAGCCTGTTCAACTACCCCCTGACACTGTTCCTCCCAAGCTTATCGACCCTACCGCCGAACCTGGTGCCAAGCCTGCCGCTGAACCGGGTGGGAAGGCTGCAGCCGAGCCTGGTTCGGATGGGCCGGGGTATTTTAGAGAAGCAGCGCCGGGGGATTGGGGGTATAAAGAGTCAGACGAGGAGAAAATGGCAAAGATGATGCGAGGGGAGGGGATGGGAGAGGAAGAGGGGGAGGTTCCATCTGGGAAAGGTGGTACCGCGGGTGGAAGGTGGGAAGAGGTGATGAATGGGATGATGGGGGGGAGGGGAGGGCGAGGAGGTGAGGGGGGGCGAGGGGAGAGGGAGAGGGGAGAAAGGGGAGGGGCAGAGGGCAGAGGTGGTGCATGGGAGGGGGGTTCCGCTAGAGGGGGTACGATGATGCGAGGGGGGCCGGGAGAAGTTGAGGGTGGTGAGAAGGAAGGAGAGAAGGAAGGAGAGGAGGAGGGAGCGGTGGAGCCAGGAGATTCCAGGGGTTCTGCTGTTGCAAGCGCAGGCACGACTTCTCCCAGTGCTTCGCGAACCGAACCTTCCACCGAGCCTGGAGAACCGGAGCGGCCACCGGTTTGGGAGAAGAAGGAATGGCAGGAGAAGGGAGGGGAGCCGAGCTCCGAGTGGCGGTCGGAAAAGCCGGAGGAGCCGGTGGAAGAGGGTGGGGGGAATGTGTGGTATCGAGGGCATGGGGATGATTTGCCCATTCCGCCAAGAGAGGAAAAACGCGGGTCGCCTTTGGTGGCGACGATTTTTATTTTCTTTGCGGCTGTGGGAGTGGTGGCAGGGTTGGCGTTTTGGAAGATGAGGAGGGAGCGGAGGGCGAGGGATGGTGGGTTGCAGTATATTGATTTGCAAGAGATGAGCTATCGGCCGCCGGAGTTTTAGAGATTGGTGTGGGTTTGAGGATGAGGCACGCTAAACACATCATCAAACATGTTCGCCTTTGAGGCGAGTGTTCCTCACCTTTGACCATTTTTGTAGTTCGCTTTCTTCTCTTGCCTTATTGCAGTTCACCAGGAGATCTAAAGATATTTCTTTCACTGGAGTATCCTCTCGTCTTCGTTATAAGTTCAGTGAAACATATCACCTGTCGCTGTCTGTCAGCTGTCTGTTCCAATGGTGGTCCTGTCCTGACGGCTGACAGGCGGAATTGGCGAGATGCTTGTCACTTTCACCCGTCCGATGTTGACTCAAACGCCCAATTTCGGGAAAACGACCCTTCGCGAACACACGTGCCAACAGTCCAATGGCTCGCGAGCGACTCCGCGAGCCCACATCTTTCCGCTCCCTATCTTGCGCGATTCGTCTTCTCAATGTTTTCCCGACATCGCGACTCGTGTTCCCCTCCCCTCGCAAACGCAATCTGCTCGAATTTCTCCCACCATAAAATTCCGCACCTTGATGCTTTTCTCGTCACATCCACCCCCAACGCACTACCAGCTCACCATCCTTCCCGCGTCTCTCCCGCAAACCACATATCAGCAGTGATTCCCAGGCTCAAAACCACAGCTCAATAAGTGTTTAGTGTTCGATTTCGAATTCTATTCCTAGATTACATAGGCTCGGGAAACATCTCGTTTCCCGCCATTTTGGTGCTAAGTGAGAAGCTGACGACGTGGAGCCAAGAGTAGCCATGGCTGTCAGCATGGGAGCGCGCGTGCTATCGCTGGTTATGCTAATCCACATGACCATATCTTCAACGGGTAAGCTCCTGCACGCCCTTCATTCGTTCTCATGTACGGAAATCTCAAGTGTCTTTTCCCAGGTTTTAGGCGCTATTTTTATATTCAATTTTGAGTCTTACCATTCTGATGTATCCGACTCTCTCTTTCCTGTTTTCCTGCCCTCCTTTCGCCCCAATTCCTTCTCATTGACCAAATCCGCAACAGCTCAACCCATCCCCGTGCCACGAGTCGCTGACGGCCCGGCAGCACTGGTGGGAGGCGCCGCCAGCTCAGCACAGTCCGCGATTGGTGGCGCTGCGATCCCGGTCCAGAATCTGATTGGGGGCGCCGCGAGCGCGGCTCAAAACGCAATTGGCGGCGTCACTGGTGCGGCTCAGGGCGTGATTGGCTCTGCAACCACCGCCGCCCAGACCACGGCCGGCAATCTTGTGAGGACCGTTGGTGGCGCTCTTAACGGAGTTCAAACCACCGCTGGTGGCGCCGTCAACACACTTCAGGGCATCGCTGGTGGCGCCTTGAACGGGGTTCAGACCACTGCTAGCAGCGCGCTCAACGCTGTTCAGAGCACTGCTGGGGCCGCGCTGAACGGAGTGCAGACAGCAGCTGCGGGAGCAGCGGGCGCGGCTCAGCGCACCCTCGGATCTGCCCTCAACACGGTTCAAACCATCGCCCAAGACCCGCTTGGAGTAGTGCAGAGCACGGCTGGGGGAGCACTTAACGCAGTCCAGACCGCTGCCCGAGACCCACTTCGTACAATCCAGAGCACTGCTGGTGGCGCACTCAATGCAGTTCAGACCACGGCTGGGAGCGCCTTGAATGCCATCCAGAGCACAGCTGGTGGAGCTGTTGGTGTGTTGCAGACTGCTGCTGGTGGCGCTCTAGGGGCGGTGCAGGGAACAGTTACCAGCCTGGGAAACGCTCTGACTGGCACTGCTCAGCAGCTCGCTACTACTGGTCCCGTTAACACTATAAGAAACGCTGCTGGCACAGCTGCGAGCAACGTGGGCAGCACTCTGAGCGGGCCTGCTGGGGCGATTCAGGGAGTGGCTGGCGCTGCTGTGGGCAATGTTGCGAGTGCGTTGCGCGGGCCTGCTACTGCTGCTGTGAGTGCTCTGAGCGGACCTGCTGGGGCGCTGCAGGCGGTGATGATGCGTCAGGGAGGTGTGTTGAGCCGCCCGCTTGAAAGCGTTCAGGGGGCTGTCGCTGGTGCTGCTGGTGCAGTGCAGAACGCCGCTGGGGGAGTGCAGCAAACGCTGAGCCGGCCGGTTGAGAGCATTCAGGGCGCTGTTTCAGGTATTGCTGGGGGCGTGCAGAGTGCGGTTGGGGGAGTGCAAAGCACACTCGGCAATGTGGGATCCGGTGTGCAGAGCACCCTTGGGAATGTCGCTGGGGGCGTGCAGAGCACCCTGGGGAATGCTGCTGCTGGTGTGCAGAGCACAGTGGGCAATGTGGCTGGCGGTGTGGAGCAAACTCTGGGGAGCGCCGCTGCTGGTGTGCAGGGCACTCTAGGTAACGCCGCTGGCACTGCTGCTACTACTGCGGGTGCAGGTGCTGGTCCTGGCGTCGTTACTACTGTCCCCGTGGCAGCACGCTCATCAGCAGAGAGTGAGCCGAGAGAGCCAGGAAGGAGGCTGCAGGGCAGCCCGGCAGGTACAGGCAGCACCGGCTCTGCCGCTATTCCCACTCCCCTCCCCACCGCCCCCATTCCCACCATCCCCACTCCCACCACTCCCGCCACCACCCCTGCTGCGAGCACCAGCGCTGGTCCACTGGGTGCAGTGCAGCAAGCACTCTCTGGCGCCGCCTCCACCCTTCAGGGCGTTGCCTCTGGCGCCGCCTCTACTCTTCAGGGCATCACTGGGTCTGCCGCCCAGCAGATCACGTCTGCTGCGGGCGGCGTGCAGAGCACTCTCGGGAACGTCGCTAACGTTGCGCAGCAAACTCTGGGCAGTGCTGCCGGTGCTGTGCAGGGCACGCTTGGGAATGTGGTTGGGGGAGTGCAGCAGACGCTGAGCAATCCGGTGGGATCCATCCAGGGCGCAGCTGCTGGTGCTGCTCGCGGGGTGCAAAACGCCGCTGCAAACGTGCAGAGCACTCTCGGCAACGTTGCTGGGGGAGTGCAGCAGACTCTGGGTAATGCCACTGGGGGCGTGGCTAATGTGGCGCGTGCGGCAGGAGGGACTGTCTCTGGAGCTGCTACCAGTGCACAAGCAGCACTCTCCGGACAGCTCTCTGCTGCCCGGAACGCCCTGTCTGGCCCGGTTTCCGCAGTGCAGGGAGCGCTGTCAGTCCCGGCTGGTGCCATCCAAAGCGCTGCCACCGGCGCGCAGGCAGCAGTTTCCGGTCAGCTCTCTTCAGCCCAGAACGCCCTGTTTGGCCCGGTTTCGACTGTTCAAAACGCACTGTCAGGGCCTCTTTCCACGGTGCAGGGGGCAGCAGCAGGGGCAGTGAGGGGCGTGCAGGGAGCGGTGTCAGTCCCTGCAGGCGCCATCCAAAGCGCTGCCAGTGGCATGCAGGGTGCAGTGCAGGGAACAGTCCAGGGGGTTCAGGCCGTTGTGCAGGGAGCCGTGCAAGGGGCGCAGGGCGCCGTGCAAGGGGCGCAGGGCGCCGTGCAAGGGGCGCAGGGCACAGTGCAAGGGGCGCAGGGCACCGTGCAAGGGGCGCAGGGCACAGTGCAAGGGGCGCAGGGCGCCGTGCAAGGGGCTCAGGGCACAGTGCAAGGGGCTCAGGGCGCCGTGCAAGGGGCTCAGGGCGCCGTGCAAGGGGCTCAGGGCGCCGTGCAAGGGGCGCAGGGCGCCGTGCAAGGGGCTCAGGGCACAGTGCAAGGGGCGCAGGGCGCCGTGCAAGGGGCGCAGGGCACAGTGCAAGGGGCGCAGGGCACCGTGCCAAGCGCTGCCTCTCTGCCCACAGCTGCCTCTCAGCTTCCTGCCGCTGCCGGCACTGCTGCTGCGGGTGCGAGTGCTGCTGCTGGTAATGCTGCTGGTGCTGGTGCTGCTACTACAGTCCCTGTGGCAGCACGTGCATCAGCAGAGAGTGAGCCTAGTCAGCCTGGAAGGAGGCTGCAGGGCAGCCCGGCAGCAGCTGGTAGTGCTGGCCTGACTGCTGCAACTCCCAATGGTCCTACTTCCACCGTTACCCCCACTCCCCTCCCCATCCCCACCACCACTACCCCAGCTCCCACCACCCCCATCCCCACCCCCACAACTCCTACCACCCCCACACCCACCACGCCCGCCACCACCGCTGCAGCTGCCACCGGTCCACTGGGTGCTGTGCAGCAGGCGCTCTCTGGTGCAGCCTCCACCCTTCAGGGCGTTTCCGGGTCTGCCGCCCAGCAGATCACGTCTGCCGCCCAGCAGATCACGTCTGCCGCCCAGTCGCTCACAGGCACCGTCCAGGGCGCAGCTGCTGGCGCTGCTGGCGGGTTGCAGAATGCCGCTCGCACTGTGCAGAGCACTCTGGGCAGTGCGGCTGGGGGTATGCAGCAGACTTTGGGCAGTATCGCCGGGGGGGTGCAGCAAACTCTGGGTAATGTCGCCACCGGCGCACAAGCAGCACTTTCCGGACAGCTCTCCGCAGCCCAGACCGCCCTGTCAGGCCCGGTTTCCACGGTCCAAACCGCACTCTCCGGACCTCTTTCCACGGTGCAGGGCGCAGCAGCAGGTGCTTTGAGGGGTGTGCAGGGTGCGCTGTCAGTGCCTGCTGGGGCGATTCAAAGCGCTGCTACCGGTGCACAAGCAGCACTCTCCGGCCCGCTGTCTGCAGTGCAAAGCACTCTGTCAGGGCCACTTTCCACGGTTCAGAATGCAGCAGCAGGGGCAGTGAGGGGCGTGCAAGGAGCGGTGTCAGTCCCTGCTGGCGCGATCCAAGGGGCGGTTAGTGGCGTGCAGAGCACCCTGCAGGGATCCATGCAAGGCGCACAGGGCGCGGTGCAAAACGCTGCCCCACTGCCCACAGCTGCCACTCAGCTTCCTGCTGCTGCCGGCACTGCTGGCAATGCTGCTGCTGCTGCTGCTGGTGCTGCTGATACAGTCCCTGTGGCAGCACGCTCGTCAGCAGAGAGTGAGCCTAGTCAGCCGGGAAGGAGGCTGCAGGACAGCCCGGCAGGTACAGGCTAGCAGCACTGGCTCTACCGCAACAACCCACAGCAGCCCCACTTCAACCACCCCCACCACCCCCACCGGTCCACTGGGGGGCGTGCAGCAGGCGCTCTCTGGCGCTGCTTCCACCCTTCAAGGCGTTGCCTCTGGTGCTGCCACCACCCTGCAAGGCGTTGCCTCTGGTGCTGCCACCACCCTGCAAGGCGTTGCCTCTGGTGCTGCCACCACCCTGCAAGGCGTTGCCTCTGGTGCCACCACCACTCTCTCTCGAACCACCACTGGCGCTCAGTCCCTCGCTGCCTCTGCCGCCCAGTCCCTCCCCGGCACAATCCAGTCCGCAGCAGGGTCGGTGCAGGCAGCAGCGGGGGCGGCAGTAGGAGCAGCAACAGGGACTCTGAACCGGGTAGGGGATGCACTCACACTCCCCCTGCGCCAGGCTGTAACGGCTGTAGCACAGCCTCTTGTAGGGGCAGCCCAGGTTTTAGCGCAGCCCTTGGGAGCGGCTGTAGCGAGCGCTGTGCAGCCGGCTGTAGCAGCTCTGCAGGCGGGGGTTCAGGGGGTTGGGGCAGGCGTTTCAGGGGTTGCTGGAGGGGTTGGGAGTGTAATGCAGGCAGCAGGGGCAGGCGTGCAGAACGTAGGGAGAGGGGTGGTGGTAGGAGTGCAGAGCGCAGGGGCAGCAGTGGGGGAGAGGGTGCAGAGCCTTGGAGCGGCAGCAGCAGGGGGGGTGCAGAGCCTAGGAGGGAATATGACTGGGGCGGCAGCAGGGGCGGCAGAGGCGCTAGGCAGGACTGCTAGTGGTCTGGGCGCCGGGCTAGGGAACACCGCAGCTGGAGTTCAAGGGAGTATTGGCCAGGCGCTCGGGGGAATTACCCGGGCGGTTCAGGGCGGGCCCGGGAATCTCGGGCAGGCGGTGGGGCAACTTACCCAGGGAATTCAGGGCGGACCGGCAGTGCTAGGGGGTGTGCTGACCCGGGCGGCAGACGCGGTTACTGCAGCAGTGGGAGGGGCGGCAGGGGCGGCGGGGAATGCTGTGACTGTAGCGGTGGATGCTGCTAGTGGCACGATTCGATACAGCATTGAGGGGATTGGGAATGCGTCAGAGCTGGTCTCTGCTGGGATCTACCAGGCTGCTGGGACGGCAGGAGGTGAGTCGATGAGTTGTTTCAGCTGCTAGGGTGTGTCACACCCGCTCACACACACTGAGAATGCTCTATGTGAGACAGCAGGGCACACACCTACCCTTTCTCAATCCTTCTGTCTCTACCCTCATACCCCTTTCCACATCACCCAACATACATACTCCCTGTCTCTTTGCTTTACTCCCTCCTCTCTTCACGAACCCAATTTCGTCTTCCACAAATCAGGAGCTGCCAGGTCAGCAGGAACCCAGGTGGTGAGCCTGTTCAACCAGGTCAACCCAGTCAACGCCCTGTCAGCAGCGGGCGGCGCACTCACAGGCACAGTAGCCGCCACGCCCAGCGCCATCGCCAGCCTGCTGCAGAACCCAGCAGGCTTTGTCCTGCAGGCCACAACCAGGGGAGGTGCATCTGCTGCTGCTGGCACCAACAGTTCTGCTTCTGGGGCCACCGAGACCCGTGTGGCGCCACTGAGTGTAAGGATGACTTCCCCTTAATCAACCGGCAGAGTGATCCTTCACCCTCAGCACTAGACTGACCCTTCAGGCTGACCAAGATCCGTGGTTCAGCCCTGGCTGATTCAACAGTGGTGTGTCGCGCGGCACTAGCAATGTCGGAGAAGTGACAGGAGCACAGTGTGTAGCATGAGACGTGCGATTGTAGTAATCAGTGTGTGATGCAATGAAGCTAATGGAAATCGTTTCAGTGTGTCTCTCTGTTTTTGGCCCCTCCGTTCTCCTTTCTCCCTACTGCACCGTGCTCTTACGTATCGCTTACACTCTTCCTTTCCTCCCTTTCGCCTTCCATCTCTTTCTCCCCCCATCCCCACCAGATCCTCGCGCCACTTCTTCCATCGACAATCACCACCACTCCTCTCCCCGCTGCTGCCTCCGCGGCTCCTCGGCTCGGTGTTCGACGTCAAGGTGAGACCTGGGGGAGGCATGGAGGCGAATTAGGGGGAGTGGGAGAGTACTGGGCGTGAGGGGTGGGTGAGGGGGAGGCATCTCAAGGCAATCCCCTCCCCGCTGCTGCCTCCGTGGCTCCTCGGCTTGGAGTTTGGCGTCAAGGTGAGAGCTGATTCCTCCTGCTGGGTAGCAATGTCTTCTCTGTGTTCTGAGCTGCCGATGCAGTAACGTGTACCTTCTGACAGGAATCATTGGTTCCTATCTTTGTCTGAGGGTGTGTGCGTTTGAATGATGGGGTGCATGGACGTGTGTGTGTGTGTGTGTGTGTGTGTGTGTGTGTGTACCTGTGTGTGTTGGCATGACTGTCTGTGATGCATGTGTGTGCCTGTGTGTGTTGGCATGACTGTCTGTGATGCATGTGTGTGCCTGTGTGTGTTGGCATGACTGTCTGTGATGCATGTGTGTGCCTGTGTGTGTTGGCATGACTGTCTGTGATGCATGTGTGTGCCTGTGTGTGTTGGCATGACTGTCTGTGATGCATGTGTGTACCTGTGTGTGTTGGCATGACTGTCTGTGATGCATGTGTGTGCCTGTGTGTGTTGGCATGACTGTCTGTGATGCATGTGTGTACCTGTGTGTGTTGGCATGACTGTCTGTGATGCATGTGTGTGCCTGTGTGTGTTGGCATGACTGTCTGTGATGCATGTGTGTGCCTGTGTGTGTTGGCATGACTGTCTGTGATGCATGTGTGTACCTGTGTGTGTTGGCATGACTGTCTGTGATGCATGTGTGTACCTGTGTGTGTTGGCATGACTGTCTGTGATGCATGTGTGTGCCTGTTTGCCTGCACATGGGAATGAAATCCAATGTTCCAGAAGTAACTCCAGCTACCAGCGCCACCCCTTCGACAGCTGCAAGGGGCCCAACCACCCTCGCCTCCTCTCGTCCCACCACCACCACCGCCACCCCAAACCCCACCACCTCCCTAGCGTCTTCCTCCCCAACCACCACCACCCCCTCCACTACCTCTACCATCAACCCCTCCTCTGTCTTCTCCTCCTTCCCTTCTTCCTTCCCATCATCCTTCCCCTCCTCTGTCCCTTCAACCCTCCCATCCTCCCTCCCCTCCTCCCTCCCCTCCTCCGTCCCAACCTCCACTCCCTCCTCCCTCTCCTCCACTCTCGCCAACCTCCCCACCAACACCCCCACCACCTTCCCCACCTCCAACCCCCTTCCCGCAAACACCCCTCTCCCCGGAGGCTCCACACAATCCTCTTCTGCTCCTGGCATGCTGCTGGGCATGGCTGGTGACACGGTAACCAATGCCGCACTGCAGCTTCTGCGGGGAATCCAGGGGGCCATGTCTGGCTCTGGTGGTTCCAGCAGTAGAGGCGGTAGCAGCAGTGGTACCAGTGGTAACGCAGGGTTTTCAAGTGGTAACACTGGGTTTCCTAGTGGTACGACTGGATCTGCCTTCCCTGCAGCTTCTCAAGGAGGTTCTTCTGGGGGAGGTATTGACTGGGCTGCTGCGTTGCCGCTACTTCAAACCCTTGTCCAGCAAGCCACAGGCGGCGGTGGTAGTAACGCTGTTAGCCGTGGAAACAATGATGGTACACTGAATGTGGATTTGAACGCGTTGTTGCCCGTGGTGGAAGCTCTTATGGGGTTGGAGACAGGGGGTGCAGTTGGAGGGAATGCAAACCAGCTGGACCTTGGGATGCTGATGAATCTGGCCGGGGCCCTTGGCGGTGCCGTGCTTGGTAATCCATGAGCGGTGGAAGCTAGGAAGTGTACGTCCCAATATAGTGCTTGAGAAGATTGTTGTTTTGAGTGTTCTTCCATATTTTATGTTATTTCTAATGCTGCATTGGCATATGGATAGCTGAATTTCCCTTCAAAAAGTAATTGTTTCTGTGCCTTTTTTCCCAATCATGAGAAATAAGCAAGGATATAATTCTCTGGGATGTGAAATGTGTACTGTAAATGGAGTGAAATAAGTGCGTAGCGAGTTCTTGTTCAATAATGCTTGGCAGCGTCATATACACCCTGTTTCTCGATGTTTGAACAATCGGGAGCCCGGCTACAGTGCGCACGTGTGCTTGGATTCAGCGGGCTGGTGATTGCAACCGAAATGCACTTCAGGAGAACGGTAGACAGCGGTTTATGAAATCAAACGTGCTTTTAAGTTTGGTTTCGTGCGGCAAAAGTGCTTATACGGTATGTTATGGGACCAATTTGGACGCATTGATGTCAGTACAGCCAGCTTGTCAATATGGCGAATGTCAGTGTGGCGCGAAACAAGGTGTACTCAGGTTGGGATGGGACGCAACCATCATACACGATGTTCCCGATTAGAGTCCACGTGAAAAACACGCGCGCTGCAGGCCTTTGTGGAAAACTCACAAACCCCGGGCAAAAGGGAACTTATAGTCCCATATAAGAACAGTTGCATGAAGAGAGATTATTCTTCGCTACTATTCGTGTTTTTCTGGCACATACGTACATTTGGACTACGCTGTCTTCAACTTCTCGTCGCACGGTTCGCCGCGTTGATCAGTGTCGCAGGACAAACAGGCAGAAAAATACAAAATATATTATTTTTAAGGCCGAAAGGAAAGACAACATTTTTGTTTTACACTGTAAGCGAGATTAATGAGGTGGCATCGTCGGAGCTTGCGGGGAACCGCGCAACAGGATTTCGACACAAGAGCGGTCAAGATAAACAGACAAACACAATGCAAAATAAATAAATAGTGAATCAAAACTTCCTTTCGTTTTAGTTTCTCTAAATGTTCTGACAGGTTCGATTTGCGTTCTCTGATTGGCTGCGGAACTGATTCGTGAAATGATTCAGTCAAGATTCAAGATTTCCCGCCAAAAACGGGACTGTAGAGGAGGGGATACACCTAGGACTTATGTGAAAAATCGACTCTTTTAGGAAAGGCTTCTAAGCCAGAACATTTGTACCCTGCATGTGGTTGGAAGTGGGTTGAAGTATATCACATTCACAGAGCCTGAGCTCGGCTTATCACCTTGGCGGCTCGAGTTTTGTGGCAGATGCCACGCTGGAAGAGGTTGTCAGGCTTGTCAAGGTCTGCAGTCAAATTGAGTAGCCAATAATGAACCTTTGCGACTGGGGTGGAAAGCAGCAGATTGCAGAGCTCACCTGGCCGTGGTCAGAGGTGGTGGGTGACCTGTTACGAAAGTGCTGATTGGTTGCCGCCAAAGGTTGCGGAACTCAGATTGGTTGGAAAGGGGACGCCTTCCCGCCGACTCCTCCTCGCGCAGTCAAACGACGTGTAGAAAGAGATCCCCACAAGCTGTACCATTTCCAACCATTTAGAAAATATATCGTGGAAGAATAAGGGTCGTGAATTGAAGGCAGTGGCATATTTCAGTTATACAGCCAAAGCTTACACATAATTACATATTTCGGAGCAGAATGGCAGGAGTAAACATTTTTGGAGAAGGATGTTTGTTGCGCCAGCACCATCCCACCCGTGTGGCGGCTGTTGTGGACTGCCGCCAGGTGCACCCCACCTGTCAGCGACTTTCTTCTGCGATCAGTCGCGTGGCATCGCAAGAACGACCCTCATTGGGTGTTACACTTTTCAGGCAGTCTGTCTGCGGGGGCTGCCGCCGAGCCGTGCGGAGAATTCGTGCTGGCGAAGATGTCATGGCGGCCGACAGGTTTGCGTGGGTGAGCGGAGGGGAAGTTCGAACCGCATTTTGCGGTGACCTCTCTCTCGTCTCGTCACCCTCTTGGCCGCAAGTGCTCGAGAGAGGTGAACGGGCATGCAGGTTGCAAGCCACTGATGTGCCGAACCGAAAATCTTGGACGTCGCACGCGTGTCTGCGACGTTGTCATGTACAACCAGGCTCGGCTGGAAAACCCTTACACCCCAGTTCGATACTTGGGTTCTGCGGCTGCGACGACAGAAGGCGGCATCGCGTAGTTTTCGGCTGACGGTGGTGCCCCCTTCCCCAATCTGAGTCGTAGGCGTTATCCACCGCCCAACCGCCAAGCGGACGAACTTCCGCCGTTCCGTAACCCAAGACTTTCCAGTCCCCAGCGGATTGCGGTGTGCCCACAACAGAGCGCACATCGTTGCGTCCCGCGTACATCTGCTTCCCTGACTGAGCACGAATCTCCGAAATTATCGAGTCGCCTAAGCTTTTCCGGCTTCTCATTCCTTCGCACACGACTTCACGCCCACTCCCCTTTCCTCAAACCCAATCACCCGATTGACGGAATATCCTCTCTTTGCTGCTCCGCCTCACCCAACCACACACCTGCCCAAACGTGCTGACGAATCACAATCGTTCGCGCGGCTTGTACCTTGCCTTGCTTGATGTCCGTCCGTCGCCATGTCACACCAACCATCCATCGCAGCTGGAACCATTTCCTAGGAGGTCGCTCTCGCAGAACCTTCCGTAACCAGCCCAGCCAGAATCTCCCCCTAGCTGCCCATGAAAACCCCTTGTCCGCCAAGATGCCCGCGGAATTCCCAAAGAGCTCCTGACGTCCCCCCATTGGTCCCGGCGCCGAACCAGCAGCATCATTCCGCCTTTTCCCCCGCATTTCGATTGATCCCACCTGGCCCTGTGACGGCGTCACTTCCCCGTCTTCCATTCGCCACGCCGCCAGCCGTCAATCTGTCTGTCGATGGGACGAAATTCGCTTCCCTCAACGCCCACCGCCATTTCATTCTCCCTCCCTCCCTCCCCTTTCGTCGCTTTCCCTTCCCCGCTGGTTCTGCCGAGCGCGCTGACTCAACTCCCCCTCGTCGCACGCAACTGCCTGAGTTTCTCTCCAACTTTCAACTGAGCTGCGCGGACCGACCCACTGTGCTCTCAACTCAAACCCTTCATTGGTGTTTTCCCATCTCATCACCAAAAGAAGTCAGAGGCGTTTCGTGCTCCAGCCAATTTTCACTTGCTCAGTCACATCTGAATCCTTGACCTCTCATCTCAGTTAGGACGCTGCCTTCAGAAAAAAAGGGGTTGCGTTACGCCTTGCATATCAAATTAATCCTCCTCTCCGTTGGCTTCCCGAAGCGGCAGATTCCCTGTCTGCTGCAGATCGAAGCTATCTCACATCATGGCTGGTCTTTCATTAGACCTCTCCCTCAGCCTACTCTCCTCTGCACCTTCCTCCTCTCCGGTCGAGGCCGTCACAAACCTACGGGATTCTCTCTCCAGCCCGCGGAAGGCGAAGCGCCACTGCCAAATAGATCTTCGTCAGTCGCAACCGTCGCACGTCGTCGCGCTTCCCATGAGGCACGTGCAGTCGCCGGGTCTGTCGCTAGCAAGCAGCCTTGACGCGGAGACCGTCACCGAGCCCGTCGCCGAGCCCGTCGCAGAATCCGTCGCCGCGACGTCGCAGAGGGATAACGTAAATTCTTCCTTCCACCTTCTTGACTCATCTCCCTCGTCGTCTCCCCCGTCTACCAGCTCCTTCTCACCCTCATCCCGCGGTCCTTCCGCCTTCACCGCCCTCGCCTCCCTTGCGCACGCTCCGCCGTCCCACTGCATGCCGGCGCTCACTCCGGCGCCTCCCTCCACTCCGCCGCCGCCGTCGCACCAGCACCGTGGTTGGTTCGGCTCCGCCAACCCCCCTGCAAGCTGCCCTCCCGCGATCTGCCCTACTGCAAGCTACCCTCCCGCATGTTGTCCTCCCGCCGCGGAAGCCGTCTGCGTGACTCGGCTAACGATGCCGCCCTCCGCTTCTTCCTCCGCTCTTACCGCCCCGCATCTGGCCACGTCACACTCTCAGCAGTCAACAGCTCCTGCGGCGCCATATGCACCAGTGAACCCCAGCGCGGATTCGGGGGCCGCTGCAGGTCCCGTCGCGGCTCCAGCGCACCCGATTGTCGCGGGAGCGGCACCGATGGCTCCGACGGCGGCGCCGGCGCCACCGGCCGCTGCGCCGGGTCCGAAGAAAAGGAAGAGCATGAAGGACCGGAAGTTCCGCGGAATTCGCGAGGTAAGGAAGGAAATCTACGTCATGACTTTTGCGCATTGACATAAACGGCGGATTCTGAGATCAGATCTAGCTTCTTGCGCGCCTTTTTTTCGTCCTCTCTTTTTCTCTCTCGTCGTTTTGCTCCTTGGTTCTTGTGCTTGTGCCTCATTCTGAACTTGTCAAGATTGATTTTTTCCGTTGCCTGTCTGTTCTGCAGCGTCTGTGGGGTCGCTGGGCCGCGGAGATTCGGGATCCCCGAACCAAGAAGCGGATCTGGCTCGGTAGCTTCGACACTGCCGAGGCTGCAGCCCGAGCCTACGACGCAGCCAACCTCCGGCTTCGAGGAGCCAACGCCCGGACCAATTTTCCCCAGCCCGAGCAGCTGGTTGCCTCGGAAAACAATCCTGCCGCACCTCGCCAGATCGAGGCTCTGCCGACTCCGATGCTCGAGGAGCTAAGTCCAACTGCCGGATCAAGCTCGGATGGTGACGGCGAGATCGTCGCGGGCGGGGAATCGTCCGCGTTACAAGAGGAGGCGGATGTGGTCGCAGCTGCGGATAGCCTGTCTCTACTCGCCGCGGCGGCGCTTGCGGAAGAACCTGCTCCCGCGGCAGCGCCCGCTGCTGTGCCTGCACCCGCGTCTGCGCTTGCGCTCGCTCCTGCGCCTGCGCCTGCACCGTCAGGTCAGGCGGCTGTAGCACCAGCCGCGACAGCAGCTCCAGCGCCGGTGGCAGCTCCAGCTGCTGTGTCTCTCTCCCCTGCAGCTACGATCGCTCCGCGTCCCACCCCTATCGCGCCCGCTCCCGTTCAGTTCTCTCCGGGGCAGCCTGGGCCGTACCCGTTTGTGGCTGTTTCGCAGTGGCAGTACAACGCGCAACGCAACCCCCACCAGCAGTACAGCAACAACGTGCAGCAGTACCCGCGCGCGCAACAATACCCCCACTCCCACTCCGCCCAGCCGTCCTACTACCATTCGGCGCAATCAGTGAATGCTCGCTCCGCGCCTCACCAACAGCAGGCTGTAGCGGGAGCGCAGCCGGCGCTAGCCGTCCCAGCAACTTCCCCCTACCCCACCTTCCCCGGGTCCTGGGGACATCCCAGCCATCCCAGCGCATCCGCCCAGTATCAGCAGAGCCTGGCTCCGCTGTCCGCGTCCGCCTCCGCGCAACACGTGTCTCTCTCCGCGCCTGCGTCCGCCGCGCTGGCTGCTGCGGCAGCCGTGCCTTCGCACCGGTCTCAGGCGGCGTACCCTGTGTCGCAGCATCCGCCTCCTCCCAACACAGGTGCTCCACGCACAGTGGTTGCACAGACAGTAGTCACTCCGCGTACTGTCACACCGCACACTGTCACATCGCATAAAGCGGCGCCTCTCATGGGGCTGCTCCAGCTGCCCAAGTCTCTCACTGGACCAGTCCCAGCCGGCCAGCTGGCAATGCCGGTGGCAGCAGCAAAGCCTGCTGCTGCTACTGCACAAGGAGCGGTTATTGTGAAAGCATTGCCAGGACCAGCAGCAAAGTCGACAGGAGCAGCAGCTGGAGTTGGAGCCATGTGCACATCTTTGGTTCCCCAGGATCAGTCGCCGTGCACATCTGTCCCTCCATCGGCCTCTCTTCCTTCTCACTCATCAAGCAGCAGTAGCTATGCTGGAGGCTCGGGTGCGGATCAGTGCACAGCTGCATCTGCTGATGGCACTGTTGCTGTTGTGGATGCGTCCACTGCTGTGGCTGCTGCTGGAGCTGATGGTGCTGCGCAGAGCGAGAAGAGCGCAAACAAGAAAGACGGCCGCACTCGGCTTTTCCGAGGTGTTCGCCAGGTAATTTTCTGAGCTTTACTGCGTTTTTTATGTCCTACATCTGCTGTACCGTTTGTCTGATTTGATATGTGTTTGTGGTGGTTGTGTTCCTTATCCTAACAGTCTTTTTTCTCTGCTGTGTTTCTCCCTCCTGCAGCGTCCTTCTGGTAAATGGGTGGCCGAAGCCAGGGACCCTCACTCGCGCCGTCGCATCTGGCTTGGAAGCTTTAACACCCCAGAAGAAGCTGCCCGGGCGTATGATGCCATTTCGAGGAAGTTTCGGGGATCTGCTGCCAAGTGCAACTTTCCCGAAGGAGCTGATGGGATTACTGACAACAATGTTTTGTTGACTGAGCTGATGGATGTCAGGGGGCGATCCATCGCTCAGGCAGCATTGACATTTGAACGATACGGACCCGGTGGACGGAGACCTACATACATAGACCCAGCACTGCAAGTTAGTGCTCCTAACAGTGTTCCCAACAGCGTGACTAACTGATAACCTTGGATCTGAGTTTGTGACAGTAATATTTTAAGAGTGTACCTTTTAAGAGTTCCAGGGTTTGAAGTCACTTCACAAGGTTTTACTGTACATACTGCTCGGTTGGGTAAGCTACGTATACGAAGCAATGAATGCTAATGTGAAAAGTCCGATACACTGCCCCCCCCTCTAGGGAGTGATACAACTGCATTGCGGTTTACGTAGTTGTTTGGCGGTACGACATGGTACGGCTGTGCAAATAAAATCCGTAGAACGTTCCCTCGAAATGTACGTGCTCAAACAATTTTCGAATTCGAAAAGTTCAACCCTTCGAATTCTACGACCACGAGCTTTCTTTGAAGTTGTCGCTGCTCGACCCTGCCAATTTCGAAATGACGAGCCAACGGCAAGCTCAAGGTTGGCTATGCTCCCGTTTTGTCAGCAAAAGTAGACCACCTCTGTTGACATTTAGTCGAATAGCTCTACTAGTTCCTTACATTCTCCTGCATCCCTCTGTTCATGCTCCTTCTCGACCCAGTTAGCTGAAGACACGACTCCAGGTCATTGCTTGTCTATTGATTAACCATGTTCTACTCAAACTCCTTGCTTTCGAGGAAAAGTCCTCTCGGCCAAATATGGTACGGTTCAGAGTCCACAAGTTTGTTGCTGCACGTCATGCTTTCGGCCAGCTTAGCAAACACCTGTTTTTCCTCAACAGGATTGCCGCTATGATGCAAGGAAGCATAAACAGGAAGAAGGCTGCACTTATTGACATTCGAGACATCTGCGCCCGGATATTAGAGCCTGAACTTCCACTTGCTCTCCGTCTCTCCGGGATTCTAATGGGTATAAATTGACGCACGTGTCTCTGAAATCGCGTCCAGGGACACGATACTGATTGCATATGGTTTTGTTCTACAGGTGGTGCGGTCATTGTGTATTCAAAGAAGGTCACATTTCTTCTGGAGGATGCCAAAGCTTTCATGGTGGGAAGAGTTTTTGATTCTATTTCGCTTCTCGTGTGAGAAAATACGACTAACGCCGCGGTGCTTTCTGCACAGGCAAAGATTAACGCGGCCCTGGTTGTCAAGCGAGATGACAAAACGCTGCCGAGGGAGAAAGGCCAAGCAAGGTTGGTTGTTTGACCTATAGATATATTTCTGTTGTTCTCGTCATTGCAGCTAACCATTAGCGTCACAGATTTGAGAGTGTTACGGTCGACTACCAGTTTGGTAGCTTCAACGTTGACGTCACTCTTGATTCTGGTCGTGCCCCTGGGGACGAGACAAATGTAAGATGTTCCCAGGCTATTCTTGTACGCAAGAATGCAACATCCATTCTCAATCATGAATGCACTTTTCAGGAGTTCTTTGTACTTCCTCAACCAGAAGTTGCACGTGATGGCCGAAATGAGCACACTTTGGGTGAGCCTGCAGGCTGCACTTGCTCAATTTGAACTGTGGGTTTTCGGCTTAAGCTAACTCATTTGATGTTCCAGCGACACCTGCGGACATTACCCTTCCGGAGTTTCAACATGACAACGAAGGCTTCAGCAGGTGAGATTCGAAAGTTGTTGAGACAGCTATTCCTTTTCAAATGACTTATCTACACATGCATCCGCAGGTTTGGGGTTGGTGATCAACCACCTATGACATTTCAAGACGAAGGTGCTGCGGACGCTATGTGGCAAGACATTTTGAAGGGTATACCAAGCTTGCTGTCTGCCAAGATCCTGTAAATGTTGTTTCTAAGTTGCGCTCTGAATCAAAATTCCAGGAATGAATTCGCCGAAGCCGAGCACCCCTCAAGGACCTCATCCGGAAACCATCATTGAAGACCAGCAAGAAGCAGGCCAACCACAAAATATTCGGGATCAGACTGCTGCACCTGAGTCGGTATGTAATGGGTTCGCTTTTACTGATATCGCATTAAGCATTGCAGTCTAATAACGCTACCTGCAATGTGGCAGCCTGAACAAAATGAGGCTCCAAAGCGATCAAGGCAGCTTAAACGGAAGGCGCGTCCAAAGAAAGTTGTTATGGATGAGGATAGGACAGAGGTGGCCCCAATGGAATTCAACCGATGGCTGCAAGACACGTCAAAAATTGTTGGAAGAGTGAAGAAGGTATGACCGGATTGTGAACCTTTCCCAGCATGTGGACCACTTCTAATGTTTCTGCCAATTCTAGGATCGGAAGGCGCTTTTGGAGAAATCCATTGAATCTCTTATTGACCTTCCCTTGACTGGAAGTATCACAATGGATGGGTTTGTAGCTTCCAGATGGTCCAAAGGAATGCTGCGGACGTGGAACAGATATGTACGAAAGGATACATTCAGGAGCAATCCTGAAACAGACGGTAGGTGTCGTCAACTTCCACATCCATTGTTTTTTTATGGAGTTTTCCTTGTTATTTATCGAGGTTGTCTGACCTTTGCAGAGATGCATGCCTCGAAGAAAGCTCACATGGAAAGTGGAAGTGATAAGGTACCATAAAGATCCTCCACAGTTTGATTCTGCAATACTTTCTCTACCTCAAGATCAGTAACAATCGTTTGACCTTGCAGGACCCTGAGATGCCAAATCAGGCCATGCTTGATGATTTCGGATCTGCTGAAGCTATGAGGGAAAGAAATGAGACGCCAGTAGTGGCAGGAAATGGCATAAGACATGATGACGTGACTCCACCTGCTCAAGGTAGGTCATTGTGTCGTGTCGTCACCTTATTGCACAAGCTCCATCCATTTTCTAAAGCTTCGCCTATCACCCTGCAGGGCTTTTGGATCTTGAACGAACAAAGAACTCTTCGGGTGGGGTCCCACTTCCAATGGAGGAGGAAAATCAACCAGACTTCTATAGAGGGTGAGTCTGACTTCTGCACTTGGTTGCAGTATTGTTGCTGCTTTGTTCTTACTAAGCCACTTGAACTGTGATATTGCAGAAACCGTCCTCAAAACATAGCAGATTTCTTGATGGAAGGCTCGCCACAGATTCCTCAAAACTTGGCTGATGATTTGACTGCTCAATTTCCCGGGCAGAGTGCTGAAAAGTATTCTTCCAAACATAGCAGCAGTGGACTGCGAGGTGCACTGAGCCAGTTTGGTGAGTACCTTTCCTGCTTTTTTGCGCTCCTTTGTATGGAATCGTATAGAAACCACTCTTATATTTCAGGTGTATCCGAGCCCCTGCAAGAAACGGATGCAACACAGACACAATTCCCTGCAACTTCCATTGACAAGAGGACAGCATCTCTTGCTGGGTAAGCGGGACTATATCCCTCTGTAACAGTTGCTGGCTAAATGTGTCAGTCACTCAGGCTTTGTGCTTGCAGATTTTTCCGTCAGCAAGTCTTCAGCAATCCAGAAATAAATTTCGCATCACTGCATGAACTTTTAGCAGACTGCAACAGGCAGCAAGCAGCCCGCATCTTTTACCAAACATGTGGTAAGTCTAGCACACCTTTGCCCCTTGCCGTGATGCCAATGCTTGCAGCTTGCTTTCATTTTTCATGCCTAATAACTTCGTTCCTTGGCAGTTCTTGCAACGATGAACTACCTCAAGGTCAAGCAAGCCACTCCTTACAGTGATATTGAGATTCTTGCGGGAGGATTTTTGTGAGAGCCCCTACTGTAAGCGAGAGTTCATGCACGGTGGATATCATTGACACTCCTGTATCATTTACGGTATTTGAAATGCTTTCACTATTATATCAAAGAAAAATGACCCTTCACCTTAAGAAGCAGTGAGTACCATCAAGTGTCCAAGCATGAGCATGCACTAAGCAGCCAAGGGTTTCATCTGCTGATGCACTAGTATGTGCTGATGCATGCACACCTGAGAAATGTGATACTGTACATCGAGATTCTTGAAAGATGTAATTTTTTCTTTAAGTTAAACAATTTGAGGTTTGTGATTCTACTAGTAGAGGAGTTTGCTGTAAAGGAGACAAACTCCTTGACATTCCTGCAGGTCTCTCAGACCTGCCACCTAGTCTCATTTGCATTTTCCAGATCTTGATTTGCTTCCCTCCCTCCCTAGTCCCAACCCCCTTTTATCGTAGACTGTTCTTAGTACGTAGCTGATGATTGAACCAGCTGTTGTTGCCTATCAGAGTGTGCTGTATAATCGAGATTTGTAATGCTATGACGAGCTATGATGACAACACTGCACACTCCTCAGAGAGTCGTATCACAAAAGTCGTTCAAGAGTAACCTTGAAGTAACAAATATATAGATTCCTTCATGCATGCTCAGCTTTGCAAACGTGCCAGCATGAAACCGCATTTTGCACATCAGAAGAGCAACTTAGCCCTCATAGCTGCCCAACTCCCCAACATACTCTGCTACATCATCCATTGCCACTCGCTCCAAATCAAATGACTCTGCCAACTGGACCACAGCCACACCCTCCTCTCCTCTCCTTTCCAAAAGTTTCCCAACCTGCCCTCGGTTCGTGCCACAAAGAACCATAACGCGGCCACCTTTCTTCGGCAGAGCTGTTTCCATTTCCTGCTCCTTCAATCCCTGAACCAAGTTGCCTCTGCTGCTAACCCCATTCCCACTCCTTTCACCAGCTTCTGATGACCCAGAATCCAGCAGCACGTCACAAGTCGTTGGCGTGACAACATCCACAATTGTCCCCTTCTTCAAGTAAAGTCTCCCCCCATGTATGCGCTTATCCACAATGCGCACTCGGATATGCGGCATTAACCATGGTCGCCGACTGGGAGGAGGAGTTGAGAGAGATGGTTCTCGTAAGGCCCGTTGCCTAGTAGAAGCCTGCTCTCGTTTATCTTCTTTCCTGCTGCTCTTCTCTTGGTCAGTTCTCCTGTCACGGTCTCCCCCCCTCTCCCTGTCCCTGTCTCTGTCACTATGCTTGACCCTCTCTCGCTCATTCTCCCTGTTCCTGTCCCTCTCTCTTTCCCTGCCTTGTTGTCTATCCCTTTCAGAACCTCTTTCTCTGTCCCTTCCTCCATCCCGCTCCCTGTCTTTGTCTCTGGCCACAGATTGATCACCTTTTCCCTTCTCTATGGGCTTCTCAACCTCCCTCCCTTCCTCCCGTCTCCCTCTGCTCCTCTCTCCACCCTCTCTCTCCTCCCTTTCCAATCCCTTCCTCCTTCCCGCATGATCTTTCTCTTTCACCCTCCTCTCTTCCCCATCCCCAGCCCCCTCACCCCGTATCCTCTTCATCGCCTGTTCTTCCTCCCACGATCCCATATCCACCACCTCCTTCCCTTTCACTACAATCACCTCCTCACTACTCACAAGCACCAGCCTCACCTGAACCCCCTTCCCTTCTCCCAATTCAACCACTTCCATCACCTCCCCTGTCAACCCCTCATGCCGTCCCTCTACTATCCTCATCACCTTCCCCTTGGCCGGCCCAGGCCTCACCCTCTCCACTAGCTTCTCCGAAATCGGCTTCACATGCCGAACCTTCCCATCTGGTCCGACCGAAGCTACCAGGTCCGGCTTGGGCCCTCGGGTCTCCCCGGGCTTAATCAGCTTCTTGTTATTTTCCAGCAGCTTTGGAGTAGCTCCTAGACCCAGGCGTCCCTGTCTCGGAACAAACTCCACAGGTTCAGCCAATCCCTTGGCGTTGCGACCAATGGGCTTGCCTTTCTGCCAACCCATCCCCGTCAAAAGCGCAACTCCAAAGTCCTCTACAGGCATCGACTCGTAATCGTCCAAATTCGATTCGTCTGGGAGACGATCAAGATCCTCCTGTAGCTTCTGCGTTTCAGGATCCATAATTGGCCGTTTATCCCGCTCGTCAAACCTTTCCGGAGCAGATCTGACGGTCAAACCGTATCGAACGCCACCAGAAGCTTCGTCTGCTCCATCACCTTTTACCTTTTCTTCCCCTCCAGGTAAGGATCCCGCAGTACCCATATCGAACTTATTTTCCGGACCTCCCATAATCTCCTCCATTTCCGGATTTACACTCTTCATCCGCTTCTCCGGCTTCCACGTGTCCTCTAGCGGAGAAATGATCTTCGGCCCGCGCTTCGACTTGGAGTCGTCCTTAGCTACCAAGCCAGTGAAATCGACGGCGGTGATCAACTCGCGCTGCTCGCTCTCCTCGTCGTTCTTCTCCTGCGTCTTCCGCGAAACCTTCGCAGAGCCTTTCATCTTGCCTAAAGAGAATTTCATTGGCGCGGATTTACCCTCCTTAGGACCTTCCATAGTCTCCTTTTGGCCGTTCGTAGCCGTCTCCTCCGGGTTCGCGGAGGGTTTCTTAAACCCGTCGATTTCCTCGCCGTCCATATTTTCCTGTTGCAAACGCAGATGTAGCAAGTAAGATGGACACTCCAAAGAAAGGAAAACGGAAGCTTGAGAAGGGAAGTGGAAAAGGAGACTAGGGGAGGACGATTAGTCAAGCCCTGTCAGCCCTGCTGCTACGGTCAACGTGAAGCTGAGCTCGTGTCACAGAAGAAATTTCGATTCAGTACGGTTCAGAATATTCATCCATTGTGTAGGAGGGTTTGGGTACGGTAATGAGCAGAATCCAGTTCTTCGCGACAGTCAGAGGTGTGTGGTGGTTGTGGTTGGAGGAGGGAAGTGGCTTGTGAGAAACGAACCACCAGGTTCGGAAAACCTGCCCGTACTTCCGCTGGTGGTCAAGTGCGTTTCCAGCAAGATCCCACACGTTATAGAGTGGTTCTCTATTCCGCCGTCCAACCAAACAAGCCGAGTGGTTTGGAAACGAACGCGCAAAACGCCCTTAACAAGTCTGGTAACCAGCCTCTTTTGACGCTGGAGTGCAATTTGCGCGCCAAACTTGGTACTCTGACACCAATCGCTTGGCCCAGGCACGAAGAGCACCCATCTGCCTACTAATATATTTGAGACTTACATAAGATTTCCTGGCCCGTGACCCATCTGCCTTCTTTCCACTCGCTTTCGAGCTTGTCTCGAGCAAGAGGTAGTCCTAATCCGAAATTAGTTCTCGAGATGCGGTAACTCTTTTCGCATCACGCGCGCATGGCTCTCGTCCGGACCTTCGTCGGCACGTTCCTGGCCAACGTGGTGTTTTATAACAAGGCCGTGACGAGCTTCTTAGCGGGGACGGTGGTGGGGATATACGTCGGACAGAATTACGACGTGCCGAACGTTGAAGAGAACGCGCGCAAGTGAGTCTTTTGCAAAGGAGAATAGAAAGTTCTTGAAACGCTATTTGTGATTATTATCTGCGATTGCGACTGGAGGAAACCACGTGATGGTGGTCCGTTGTATAGTAGGGCAGCTCGAACAATGATGAAGAGAGCCGGAATTTCGTGCATGCCTTGCTTGGTCGGAGGTGGGGAGGGAGGCGTGCGAGCGAATCCGGTTTTGACGTGAGCAGGGATCGTGTCAATGAGGAGGTTCGATTCCTTTAATTCGTTCTAGAAGGGAGGTTCATGAAGGTGAGGAGGGCCTGTCGTGGTTCATGCGCCAAGGTTGGGGGGAGGCTTCCGGCGGTGAAGGATTTTTCAGTTGTATGGGGAAGGGCTTCAGGTTGGAGGGGAAATTTCAGGCTGGTGTGTAGACTTCAGGATAAGGGGGAACTTTCAGGCTGGTGTGTAGACTTCAGGATAAGGGGGAACTTTCAGGCTGGTGTGTAGACTTCAGGGTAAAGGGGAACTTCCAGGCTGATGTGTAGACTTCAGGATAATGGGGAACTTTCAGGCTGGACATGGGATCTTCAGGAGGTGTGGTGGGGAAAGGGGTTTCAGAAGGTAATGTGTGGGATAGGATAGCACCTCATTCGGATCTTAGTGGGGACAGGTGGGTGGATGGGAGGGTGGAAGAAGCTAGGTTCGACATGAACATGCAACTGCATGACCTACCGATAAGAATGATGCATGTGCCTCAACAAACCCATGCATGCGTGTCAATGCATTTGTGTTTAATTCCATCCATGTGCTTCAACCCCATGCATGTGCTTCAACCTCATCCATGAGTGTCAACCCCATGCATGTGCTTCAACCCCATCCATGAGTGTCCCCCATGCATGTGCCTCAACCCACCCGCTCCTATCCATGTCGCTGGTTGCCTGTTGTAAGGTACCGTTTGTCGTAAGGTAACTTATGTATTTTCCCACTCCTTACCATGTATGTCTGCTTTTCTCCTCTTGCTGTTTCCTCTGTGTGCTCCTCAGAGTCCTTGCATATGCTCAAGAATTACATGACAAGTACCGCAGGCAGCCGTAATTGTGTAACTCGTATGCTCAGGTTCACATAGGAGTGTGCATGTAATATGGAAATACGGTAATTGTTTGGAGCACATATTGAAGCCAGCCAACCTACCATAAGAAAATCTCATGCTTCAACGTCTTAGGCAGATGACCTCATTCTGTGAAAAATGTCTTGATAGACAAACAGAGCAGTCAACCCACCTTTTACTGCTAGTAAACTACAGAACTCTCTTCTCTAGCTATCTGAACTAACCATTGCCACAAAGCAGTTACAGGGTGGTTACTTGGCCCTGGGCTATAAGGGAGGCCATGCTCGTTGCTCAGGTTATCCTACCTGTTGTCTGGTTACCCTGTAAACTAGGTTCAGGGCTTCTCACTGATGCTGCTGCCAGCTTCAGCTTGCCAGCCAGTCTGCAGCAATCTATTGCTGCTGCACTGCAGCTTATTTCCTCTCCAGACAGCAATCTCCATCCTACAAATCCCCACTACCTGCATCCTGACAGGTGGGGGCACGTTGCTTGAAAGGTGCCACATGGATTGCCATTGCCTTGACGTCACCTACTGCTCCGACTCAATAAGTTTTTCGGGCAGCTCATCCAGTTTAGCTGCTTGCACAGTTTAACTGGGGCACAAATCATCACTTGCTGTCAGCCTCGCTGGCTCACCCCAGCAACTTGACCGAAGCGTGCCGTTCATTAGAAGCACTCAGGCTTGTTATTGAGGAATGATTGACAGAGCTGCCTCGATGTCTTCCATCGTTATAGTCATGAGCTCGTCCATGTCACAGCAGTCAAGATCCAGCCGTTCGTCAAGTCGATCCCGAGCGTCCATTAGCACAGGCAGCGCCATCCCACCGTTCCTCTGCCTTCGCTGCTCCTCTGTGGTTGATCGGGTGATAACAGCTGCTAGGGACAATGGAGTTATGCTGGAATGCAGCCTGCAGTGGAGAGCAGAATACAAGTCAGGAGGGAGAGGAGTGAGGTGCAGGAAGGAGCAAGAGTGTACACTGTATGACAAGAATGAAAATACAGGAAATTGATGTGTGCAGAGATGGTCAAATGTTAAAAGTACAACTGTATTCCTACAAATGATTACCTGAATCCTGCAAGGGGCGACTGCTGACCGGCTTCACTAAAGTCACTGTTGCTGCTGCCACTGGCTCCTGCTCCATAATCTCTTCCGCTACCACTGCTGCTACTGCTGATAGCACAGTCACCATCACTCTCATCCCCATTAGTCGCTTCTCCAGCCGCCTGCTTCATTTTCAGCAACATGACTTGCGCAATGTCGAGTGGAGAGAGATCGTCAAACACGAATACTCGTGACACACGCCGCTGAAACCCTTCATTCACCGCAAAAACTCTCTTCATTGGCTCAGCATAGCCTGGAAATGATGGCAAGGGGAAAATAGAGGCAAGGTAAGGAATCGCAAATAAATACAATCGATATACATGAGAGCCAATCACAACGTTACGCTTCAATCACAGCCAACAATCGATGCTCACCAGCAAAAATCACAACAACGCTGCCCGAGTCCATAACCGACATGATCTCCTCCAATGCCTCCGCGCCGTAGTCTTTTTCATCTGACCGTTGCTGTGGCACCAACCGGTACGCCTCGTCAACAAAAAGAATACCCCCAGCCGCCTCCAGAATTTTTCTCCGCGTTTTGGGGCCCGTGTGCCCAACAAACTCGCCCACCAAATCCGTCCTCTGAACCTCCACCACCTTATCCGTGGGTAAAACACCCACTAGATTCAACAGCCGCGCAAGCGCGCGCGCGACGGTGGTTTTCCCCGTGCCCGGGGAACCTAGGAAAGCCATGTGGGGGAGTTTGCGCGGCTGCACGCGGATTCCCAATTCCCGCCGCTTCTGGTCTAAGACCAGGCCCTTCGCCCACACGCGCAGTTGCTGCTTCAAAAGCGGGAGGCCTATTAACGAGGATAACTCGTTTTCGAGCGTCTGCATGACGGCGAATGCGGAGGCGGGGGAGGTTTGGGACGAACAAGGGGAGGGAGCGTTGAGTGCCACGTGGCGGTCGAGGATTCGCCGAAGGGAGGCGCGGATGCTGCCGTTGTTGCTAGTGCTTGTAGCAGAAGAGGTGCCTAATTGACTGTGACTCAATGGGGAGTTTCCGTCCTTGTCCTGCGCTGCCACGTCAGCACCGTGTTTCAACAGCAGCTCCACCACCTCCAGAATCTTCGGTTGGCCCTTGCCAGCCGGATCCTCTCCCGCGTTGCTATCGGCTGCCACGTCAGTAGTGTTGACTGCCGCCCAGACGGCGAGATGGAGCGGAGTGGCGCGATTCTGCAATGAAATAACAACCAGAAAGAGGGAATGAAGCGACTCTGTGGACGGAGATTAAAGTGGTGAAGCGGGTCGAGGAAGCAAGCGGATAATTAAGCGGGTTGAGATCAGCAAGGTGGACAAGAGGGAGGGCAGCCAGATTGCATGAACGGGATGAAAAGACATCGCGGGCGGGCACATGATTATCGACCTTCACGAGACAACCTTCCGAGCAATCCCGGTAGTACTCCCCATGTGCCCAAATGCCCTATCCCTATGTGCCCCAGCCTCACCCCGCGTTGCTCACTCCAGAGCCCTATCAGCATCTCCTGAAAGCATGTCCCAGCCCTATCCCCAACATTCCGGAAGTCCAATCCGCGTCGCCTCGCCACTCACCGAAGCAGCGACGTTCACGGCCGCGCCGCCCTCTAGCAACGCCTTGACGCTCCTCGCGCTGCCGATCTTGGCAGCAATGTGAAGAGGCGTCTCGCCAAACTGCATTGGAGCGACGGGAAGCAGCGAATGCAGGAGAGCGGAGGGGCGGGAGGAGGGGAGGAGTGGGGTGGCGTGGGGGAGCGCGCGGGGAAGCAGCGGGAAATGAGGAAGAATTGAGGAGAGGAGGAACATGTAAATAACGGGGCTGAAACGAGGCGGAAGGGAGGTGAGAAGGGGAAGCAGGGAGGAGGGGAGGGGGAGGGGGGAGGGAAGGGAAGGAGGGGTTGCGGAGCGGGGACATGGGGAGGGGGAGATGGCGGAAAGAGGAAGCATGAAATGTGTTTCGCTCACCATGTTGCGCGCCTCGACGTCCGCGGGAACCGCGCCTGATGCCTCCTCCCTCGTCTGCTCGTCCCCGCCGCTGTTCCCCGCATCGGACGGCGGTCGGCCGAACGACAGGAGCAGACGAATCGCCTCTACCGCATCCTCCGCCGCCGCCTCGTGCAGGGGGGTTTGGCATGTCTGATGGCGGGGTGGGGGGGGTCGGGGTGAGGGAGGCGGCCGGGAGGGAGCGGAAAAAAATGTGGAGAGATGGTTCAGGGGGATGGGGAGGGGAAGAGAAAAAGGGGGCGGAGGGGGAGTTGTGAGAATGGAGAGTATGGTGTGCGGAACTTGCGGTGAGTGTAGATAACATTAGACGCGAGGAATAAGCGATCCCATGCCTGAAACCGTGCAGCCCTGGTTCCGCCACTAACCAGGCTCGACCGCGCGTTGATCAGCTCCGGGTTTTCCGCCAGCAGCGCTCGAAGCTCCTCCACGTCGCCGCGCCGGGCCGCGTTGTGCACGGCGCGGCTCGTGGCGGAGCGTCGCTGCATCGCGACAAATGTGGCGGGCGGGCCGGCGGCGGCTGGTGCAGGAGCAGGAGATGCTTCTATTACAGGAGCGGAAGGTACGGCAGGCGATGCAGGGCCAGCGGTATCGATGACGTCGGCAACCTGGCCAGCCGTCTCCGCCGTTTCTGCCGTATCATCCGCTGTTCTCTCCAGCTTCAACGTGAGCGCTTGCGCTTCTGCTACTAGGCCCATCCTTGCCGCATTCTCCGCTAGCTCCTCCAATTTTCCTGCGTTTTCCGCCAGTAGCAGCACTCTTTGCAAATCTGCCGCTGCCGCTGCCGCCGCATCTGCCATACCTGGACTTCCAGGGGAGGCGGCTCCAGAACCCTCAGTGCTACTTAAATCCTCCGCTTCTTCGGAGCGAGTAGAGCTTAGACTAAGTAACGAGTTAGAGCTCCACTCAGAGGTAAGGGCCGCGGTCTCCGACGTGCTTGTATCGGATAAGCTTGTATCGGAGGAACACGAGTCGAACGAGTCACTTGCCGGCGTCGTTCCCATCGCTGCAGCCGCTCGGACAACCGAGTCCTTCCACTCCATCATGGACTTGCCGGACACCGGCAACGGTTCACCGTCAGGCTCGCCGGCGACCGGCAACATGGACGGTGGGGACGACGGCAGGTCACACGACTGAAAAACCGGAGCGAACTGGCACCAAGCCATGGCGGGAGGGAGCTTGGTGGGTGCAGGGAAAGAGAGGACGGAGCTGTTATCAGCATGCGTCCCCATTGGAACAGGCTGCTGTTACCTTGCGTGACGCAGGAATTAGTTTGAAGTTCGGCGTGTACACTTCTACGTGTGGGTGAAAACGCGAAAACGACTGACCTAAAGGGAGCTCGAGTTGAGTTACGAGCTTTCGGATGTTAGTCTATCTTATTCTATCTGCGGGCTGAGCATTGAATCGAAGGGAGACGCCCATAAGCACTAGAGAGCGAGGGCTTGAGAAGATGAAGCAGATAAACAGGATTCTCGTCGTGGTGTGGCCAAGACGGATCAGCGTTGAAATTTGGCTAGCACAGTGACCCTTGGTGGTGGTAAGGGCAATAAGAACCCAGGCCAGGAACCAGAGTGGTTTTAAGGGTGTAGACTAGAGGGCTGGGAATGCGACTGCTGCGGAGCGAATGGCGACAGTGAGGAATGAAGAAAGGCACCCCAGGGTGGCGCCTGGGAAGACGGGGCGTTGATGGACGTGAAGACGGGGGCGGAAATGGCGGTTGAATAGACGGGACGGAAGATAGGTCAAGAAAGACGAGACAGTCAGTGTGGGGAATATCACAGCACAGCATGGCGAAGGTAACTTCTGTGGGGAAAATAGCTTTGGGTTGTGTGTGTGAGCTGGGTGGTAGGGAGTGAGTGGTAGTGATGGGATGGGGTTACTGAGGCTGAAAAAGCGTTTTCATACGGTTAAGCTAGATTCAATCTGGTATCGCTTGGCTGGTAAGAACTTGTGTGGAGGTACAGTTCTCTGGCAAGAGCTTGGATCCGGATGGGCAGTGCGGGCAGGCAGGAGAAGTATGATGTGGCTATCGCGTCGCATCAACGAGGCCGTCAACTCTGAGTTGCGCCTGGTTACGATCGCAGCTCGTCGCTGATCAAAGCTTACCGTCGGATGGACGGATCGGACGAGAAGCGCACTGTGAACGAAGTGGAGCCGCGGGGAGTTGATATTCGTGCGATCCGGTCCGTCGTCTCACTGTACAAGTCGTGGTCTACAAGGGAGACCCTTGTGACGCAAAAGCAGGGCAACCAGCGAAAGTGGTCGGGCTGCCCGGACGACGTCGCGCGTGGAACAAGCCCAACAAAATGACCTCCATGAAAGATTGAATAACAACCGTCAGATTACATCCTGTGGTTCAGCGCGGTGTGGTAACGAGACCATCACGGGGCTAGCGAAGCAGTTCGATTGGCTGTCATTGTTGCGCAAGGTTTTCAACGTGGAAACGCGGCCAGCCCTCAAATTACTGTGGCGAGCTTCCAAGCAGCCCAAGATGGCGGTCCGGCACTTCCACTCGATGGTGGCGGCGTGACGGCCCGCATGTGTGCTTTGAGCGCATGGTGCCAAATGAAGGTGCCTGTAAAACGAGAACGTGAGAAGCGCGAATCGGAAAACTTCGCTATAGCATCCAGACACTTTCGCCAAAGATGTGTACTAGAAGAAATGGCTACTCGTAAATAGAAATAAAAACACCCTGAAGGAAACTACATATTTACATGCCAACCTTGTTGTCAGCCGTATGCAACAAAGCAGGCATGCTCTGTGAATGTGATTCTGGCCCTGCACGCTATATGTTCAAGCGGGTCTGTTGAACGGCCACCATATTGAAATGGACCCTACTTCAGAACAAGTTGAATCGCTGGAAACAGTCTGTTTGAATAGCATGTGTTCACGCAATGTGCTGTGCCCCCTTCAGCTTCACGGGCCAAGGCCCTCAGATATCAGTGTAAAACACACTGATTAGGCTGATTTTGTAGCTGTGATTTTCGTTTTCCCTGGAAATTCAGCATATGCTTCAATTTTGCACTGAAATTTCAGTATAGACTACCTTACCACACTGACCATTTTCCGTGTTGCTGTAGAAGTAACACTGACGAATCAGTGTAGTATCGTGAGTCACACTGAAACGGACTTGACCGATTGGGGGGGGGGGGGGGTACGCGTGTGTATAGTATGTACCTGGCCCGGGATGCACGAGACCCCACCCACACACTTGGAGATGCCATGCGCTGTACAGCAGATTGTCAAATGTTGTAGCCTGTAGTGAGGTTTGTCTTAGGGGGTACAGAAGTTAGGGTTTGTTATATGTACCCCAACCAACATCAATGGAACATCCATTCCTCATTCTGACATGGTATCAGCTAGGTTAGGATCCTGTGGGATCCCGTTCCTCCGTTCTCCGTTCGTACCTCCCGAGCCTGATCCTACCTCTCGTTCGTACCAGTTTCGTTGTTACCGCGCCTAGTACCGAGCCTAGCGCCATCTCCCCCGTCGCGTCACGCCCGTTCCCCCCCGTCGCGTCGCGCCCGTTCCCCCCCGTCGCGTCGCGCCCGTTCCCCCCGTCGCGTCGCGCCCGTTCCCCCCGTCGCGTCGCGCCCGTCCCCCCCCCGTCGCGTCGCGCCCGTTCCCCTCGTCGCGTCGCGCCCGCCTGTCGCCCTGCTCCGTCCCGTCGCCCTGTCCCGTCGCGTCACCCTAGGCCCTGGCCCGTCGCCCTCCCTAGGCCCTGGCCCGTCGCCCTCCCTAGGCCCTGGCCCGTCGCCCTCCCTAGGCTCTGGCCCGTCGCCCTACCCTAGGCCCTGGCCCGTTGCCCTACCCTACGTCTTGGCCCGTCGCCCTAGCCCGCTCTTCCGCTGCGACTGAGTCCTCTTCACCCCCGGTTGTTACTCGCCTGTTCGTTCGCGTTGGTTCTCACTATGGCGACTCCGCGAGTTCTTCGTTTCGACGCCGACGGTAGACCCCTTGACTTTTCCGTCTGGCTTCTTCGCGCTCGTCGTCTGTTAGAGAGTCAGGTCCAGGGGGGCGAGACCCTCTGGTCACACGCTACTAGTGACCTCCCCGAGCCCCCCGAGCCTACAGCTTTAGGCCCTGCTCCTGACGACGCTGCTACGGCTCGCTTTGCCCGTCAGCGCGCTGACCGGACGGCTTGGACGTCGCGTGACGCTGCGGCCTGCATCGCACTCAGCAGCCTCCTCCCTGAGTCTGAGGAGGTCCACTTTACTCAGGTTCGCACCGCTGCTGCGTACCTCACTGCGATTAAGGCCCGCTACTCTACTCCCGCTACTGTCTCTCTCGGCCGTCTTTTCCTCCCGTTCCTGTTTCCTGATCTTGCCTCGTTTGAGCGCTCTGCTGACTTGATCGCTCACCTCCGCTCGCTCGACGCTAGTTACCGCGCTGCTTGCACTGAGGCACAGCTTGCACTGCTTCCTCCCCCCATGGCGATTACTGTCTATTTCATCGCCACTAGCCTCCCTGACCGCCTTGCCTCCGTTCGTGACGCGCTTCTGCTGAAGCACCCTAGTGAGCTGACTATCGAGGTCCTTGAGTCTGCACTCAAGGACGTCGAGAGCAACCTTCGTTCGGTAGCTGCCGCCTCTGGTACTGTGTCCCCCCCACTCTTCCACGGGTGCACAGTCCCGCAGTTACCCACTTTCACTGCCTCTCTTGCCACTGCCGCTACTGACGCGACTGCGGCTGCTGTTACGACTGCGTCGCGGTCCCGCGGCAGGGGGGGCAAGAAAGGTGGTTCCGGTGGAGGAGGAGGCGGAGGTAGCGGAGGTAGTGGGGGTGCTGTTGCGACTGGCGGTGGTGGGAGTGCAGCGTCTGGAGAGACCCCTCGTGCAGCGGCTGGTGACTCCACTGCACTTGCTGGTGGCGGCGACCCTCGAGCTCGTCAGTCGCCTCCTGTACTGCCGGCCCCGCTAGGTGGAGCAGCGGCGTGGTACCAGGCTCAGCGTCAGCAGCACCTTCAGCAGCAGCAGCAGCCCCTTTCCTCCCAGCAGCCTCAGCAGCAGCAGCGTCAGCAGCTGGCTCCGGGGTCGGGGCTGCGTCAGCCCCAGCGCGATGCTGCTTACCCTCCCTGCCCCTACCAGGTTCAGACAGGTCCTCGTCGGGGCCACCCTTGTGGCCGCTTTCACCCCCCTGGTCAGTGCTTTTCTCAGCTCACTGACACGGTCCGGTTGACCTACGGGGTTGGCGGTCCTGCTCCTGACTGGCTTCCTCTGGTTCAGCGCTACGGCTCCGCTCTGTGGGGCATGTCTACTGAGCAGTTAGTTGATCTGATTAGTGCTCCTCATGCTATGTATGCTGTTGTTGACTCTAGTGTTTCTGACTCTATTTACTCTGGTGTTGTTAGCTTAGGTGCTAGTCTTGCTGAGTTGCCTGTTGCTAGTGTAGGTACTTGTGTAGACTCTAGACCAGCGACTACCTCAGAGGACGCTTCGCTGTCGTTCACACTGGACTCTGGAGCCTCCCACTGCTTCTTTCGGGACAGCACGACACTTACACCACTTCCTGCGCCTGTTTCTGTAGCGTTGGCTGATCCCACTACGGGACCAGTCACTGCACGTCACACTACCACTTTACCGTGTCCTGCTGCTCCCTCCGGGTCTCTCACTGGGTTTCACGTCCCCTCGTTCTCCCGGAACTTGGTGGGCGTGCGACCCCTCGTGAGTCAGCACGTGGGTGTGTGGTTTGAGCCTTCTGGAGAGACTGCGGTGTGTGTTGACGGAGACTCTTACCAGCCTCTTGCTACCTTTACTGCTGAGCCGGGCTCGGGTCTCTACACTCTTCACACTGGCCCGCGTGCGCCGCAGCAGCAACAGCACCAGCGGCCGCACCAGCAGCCCCCCCTACTGCCACTGCCCCCGGTTCCCCCCCCCCGTTCGGGTCCCCGCGTCTCACCAGGTTGCTTCGTCCCCCCAGGTGTCTGTGTCGTGTCAGGTTCCTACGTCTGTTCCAGTCGCTGCGTTGTGCTCCTGCCGGTCGCTTGCCCACCCCACCGTTCTGTGGCACCACCGGATGGGGCACCCGTCCCTTCCACGTCTGCGCGCTATGTCTAGTCAGCGTCTTGTCCTAGGCCTCCCACGTGTCTTGCCGTCGCTGCCGCCTTCGCCTGCGCCGCCGTGTGGTCCCTGCGTCGAGGGTAGGCTGCGCGCCACCCCTCACTCCTCCTCCCTTCGTCCGGCCACCGAGCCTTTTGAGACGCTTCACTTGGACGTCTGGGGCCCAGCCCCTCGTCTAGGCCCTGAGCGTGAGCGTTACTTTCTGGTGGTCGTTGACGACTTCTCCCGCTACACCACAGTGTTCCCTCTGGCGAAGAAGTCTGAGGTGACTTCTACGCTGATCAGGTGGTTGCTCACCACTGAGGACACTCGTGGTCGTCGTGTCAGCTGTCTCCACTCCGACCGTGGGGGTGAGTTTCGCTCCGGCATTCTCGCTGGATTCTGTCGCGAGCAGGGCATTCGTCAGTCCTGGACGCTTCCAGAGTCCCCACAGCAGAATGGGGTTGCTGAGCGCCGCATAGGCCTGGTCATGGAGATCGCCCGCACCTCCCTGACTCACGCGTGTGCCCCCCATTTTCTGTGGCCCTACGCGGTCAGGTACGCCGCGCACTAGCTGAACCTCTGGCCACGTGTCTCTCGACCAGAGGTTTCACCGACCAGTCTTTGGACAGGGTCCCCTGGTGTTGCGTCGCGGTTTCGTGTCTGGGGGTGCTTGGCTCTTGTCCGCGACACCTCCGCGGACAAGCTCTCGCCTCGTGCCGTCCCCTGTGTCTTCCTTGGTTTCCCTGAGGACTCCTCTGACTTCACCTTTTACCACCCTCCCTCTCACCGGTTCTTTGACTCCCGTGACGTCCGTTTCGAGGAGTCCACTCCGTACTACGTCAAGTACCCCAGTCGAGGTCTCCCGGTTCCTCCTCCCCCCCTCTTCCTGACTGCCGTTCCCCCTCCTGCTCCCCCGGTACAGCCTCCCCCCCCTGGTCCAGCCCCGTCAGGTGTGTCCCAGGCTACCCCTCCTCCTACGGTAGCCCCTCCGGTACAGCCTCCCTCCCCACAGTCCTCCTCGCAGCGTGCCGCTGGTGCTAGCTCTCGAGAGGTTGGTGCGGCGCCTGTTCCTGTACCGGTTTCTGGTTCTGGGGGTGCTGGAGTTGGAGCTGGAGTTGGTGCTGGAGTTGGAGCTGGGGTTGGAGCTGGAGTTTCTGGTTCTGGAGTTGGAGCTGACCCGATGGGTGCAGAGGACTCTTGTCGTCCAGGAGCTAGTGCTGGCCGCGCGGACACTGGGGGTGCTGCGTCTGGGGGTGAGGGTGCGCCTCCTTCGGGTTCAGGTGAGCCTGGTTCTGGAGCTGGTGTTAGTGCTGCCTCTGGGGGTGGTGCGCCTAGTTCTTCTGAGGTGGACTCTGGAGCTGCCGCTGCTTCGGACACTACTCCACCCCCCCACCCCTACCCGACTAGGCACCAGGCTCGTGTTCGCCGTGCCCGTTACGAGCAGCTGGCGTTGGAGAGAGAGGAGAGGGAGTTACAGCGGCTGGAGGAGCAGCAGCAGCAGCTGGAGCCGCAGCAGCAGCAGCAGCAGCAGCTGGACCTGCAGGAGCAGCAGTCCCAGCAGCAGCCGCGTCCGCAGCACCAGCAGTCGCAGCCGCAGCAGCAGCAGCCACTTCCTCCTCCTGTCTCGGGTCTTCGGATCCTTGGTCTCCCCTCCCCTTCTCCTCCCTCCTCCGCCTCTCCTCCTGTCTACGGTCCCACGTTTCCTCCTCCTGACTCCTCCCCCGCTGTTTTCCCCAGTTCTCCGCCCTTGTCCTCTTCTCCTCCGTCTCGTTCTTGGGCTACTCGTCGCTCCCCTCGTGCTCGTCCCTCGTCTCTTGTTCCCTTCACTGACCTTTGTACTGCCTTCCTTCTTTCTAGTCCACCTCGTCCGTCTCAGTCTGTGCTTCCGTCTCCTCCTGAGTCGGCCCTCACTGTGTCGCTCCCTACTCCTGTCACTGACTACTACCGCACGTACCGTCCTGTTCTCTCTCGTGTTCTCGCCTCTCTTGTTACTCACCCTCGTGCCTCTGTGTCCTCTGTGTCCGCTCTTACTGCCGCAGTTACTGACTTTGCCTCTACCCGCCGCCTTGACTACGCCACCATGCTTGTGGCTGCTCCTCCTACCAGTCCTCTGGTCGTCGGGGGTGTGTCTGCCCTTGGCTGTGACGCCCTAGAGGACAGGCAGTTTGAGCTAGAGTTCCTGGCGGCCGCTTCCCCTCATCTCTGTGCCATGCTCCTCGCCCCTGAGGGTGACCCCGACGCCCTTGACATTCCGACTCCTCGCACTTACGCTGAGGCAGTGTCAGGGCCTTGGGCCTCTCAGTGGAGAGCTGCCATGGACGCAGAGATGGCCTCCTACAGATCCACAGGCACCTACGTCGATGAGGTTCCCCCCCCTGGGGCGAACTTAGTCGACGGCATGTGGATCTACAGGGTGAAGCGGCCACCGGGATCTCCCCCGGTCTTCAAGGCGCGCTACGTGGCTAGAGGTTTCTGTCAGCGCGAGGGAGTTGACTTCTTTCAGACCTTCGCACCTACCCCGAAGATGACCACTCTTCGGGTGTTATTACACGTAGCAGCACAGAGAGACTACGAGTTACACTCTCTTGACTTCTCCACTGCTTTCCTTCAGGGCAGTCTACACGAGGAGGTCTGGTTGCGTCGTCCCTCGGCCTTCACTGGCACTTTCCCTCCTGGGACCCAGTGGAGGCTGAGGCGACCTGTTTACGGTCTTCGCCAGGCCCCTCGTGAGTGGCACGACACTCTGCGTTCTACCCTCTCTGACCTTGGGTTCCAGCCGTCTTCTGCCGACCCGTCGCTGTTCGTTCGTCGTGGCTCCACACCGTTCTTTGTTCTGGTCTACGTCGACGACCTCGTTTTCGCCACTTCGGACAGGGTTGCTTTGGCAGACGTGAAGTCCGAACTGCAGAAGAGACACACGTGCACTGATCTTGGTGAGCTGCGCCACTACCTTGGCCTGCAGATCACCAGGGACAGAGCCGCTCGCACCATTACACTCTCACAGTCACACATGGTGCAGCAGGTCCTTCAGCGGTTCGGGCTTCAGCACTCCACTGTACAGCGCACACCTCTAGCTGTTGACCACAGACTCACTGGTCCCTTTCCTGACGAGCCGTTTGAGCCTAGTGGTCCCTACGCAGAGCTTGTGGGTTGCCTGATGTACCTGATGACTTGTACTCGCCCGGACCTCGCCTTCCCTCTCAGCATCCTTGCGCGCTTTGTTGCGCCAGGGAGACACCGTCCTGTTCACTGGACGGCAGCTGTGAGGGTGGCGAAGTACCTAGCGACTACATCAGGCGTGGGGCTAGTTCTTGGAGGGCAGCAGTCTGTCGTACTCACTGGTCACTGTGACTCCTCTTACGCTGACGACGCTGAGACTCACAGGTCTACTCAGGGGTACTGTTTCAGTCTGGGTTCTGGAGCTGTTTCCTGGCGTTCCACGCGCTCCTCTTCTGTCTCGACCTCTACAGCTGAGGCTGAGATTTACGCTGGTGCCATGGCGGCACAGGAGTTGCGGTGGTTGACCTTCTTGCTCGCCGACCTTGGTGAGCGGCCGAGCTCTGCACCGACCTTGTTTACTGACAACAAGGTGTCGATCCTCCTCTGTCGTGAGCCGCGACTGGAGAGCAGAGTGAAGCACATTCACGTCAGGTACTTTCTTCTGCGAGAGTTGCAGAGGCGTGGACAGGCTCGCTTCGAGTTTGTAGAGTCCGAGGCCAACACTGCAGACATCTTCACCAAGGCGCTTGCGCCTTGTGACCACCAGAGGTGTTGTGTGCAGTTAGGCCTTGTTGACACAGGTTCTAGTCATGCGTAGACTTGAGTTTATTGCCTGCTTCGTCTGTACACTTACTATATATACTTGTGATCTCTTGGACTGGCCTTGTGGCCACTGTTGCTTGTGCTCAGAGTGTGTGGTGACGTTGTGATCCACCCTGAGCTTTGTTTTCTTTTGGACTGGTCTTGTGACCGTACTCTTTTTTTTTGATTTTGCTAGACACCCCTCACTTAGGCTATGGGGGTGTGTCAAATGTTGTAGCCTGTAGTGAGGTTTGTCTCAGGGGGTACAGAAGTTAGGGTTTGTTATATGTACCCCAACCAACATCAATGGAACATCCATTCCTCATTCTGACACAGATCGCGTGCCGACGTGCTTTGCATCGCTGGAAGGAACTCTCACAGCGGCAAACTTTGAGTTGAATTGGTGATTCAACTTTGTTTTTCTTTTTTACACTGATGGTTCAGTCTAATTATGATTTTTACACTGGCAAAATCAGTATTAAAAAAACCATGAACGCTGATTTGGACACCTGGGCGACCGGGGCACGCTGATCGATCAGCATACCCTCAAACCAATCTGAGGGCCTGGGCCATGGTGTCATCAGCCAAGTCTAGTCTTAAAGCAACTACACTCGTATAGTAGTACCATACAATTTCATCCTAGATCACAAATCCGTGTTTTGGGAGCCCCTCTTAACAAGCAAACACGCAAGCCTATACGGGTAACCCACAATACGCGGAGAGCAGCAGAGCACATAATCAGGCTTGTGTGACGTCAGATTGAACACCCCCGAGTCAAGCTCAATAGCGGTAACATCTAGCAGCACATGCCAGCAGGTGCGCTGAGCCTCAGACACCCAGTGCAGGGAGAACGTTTGGCCATTTGCACACATGGGGTAGGCGAAAAGGCCCTGGAGAGTGGTAATACGGGAGGGAAAAGGGGGTGAGGAAAGAGGGAAGGGAGAAACATCGAGATTTGTTGGGTGCTGTTATTCCTGTCAGGGCAGTCTTGGATTATATCAGAGAGCCCGACACACACTCTCTCTCTCTCTCCAAAATCTGCAATAAGCAACATCAACAGTAATGACAATTCGGCTGCTAAACTGGCTGCTCAGCTTCTGCAGATCCAACCAAACAAGGCATACTATAAATCACTGCGCTAGTCACCTTGGGGTTGGCTTTGCTCTTGCGTCGGAAGTTGGTGCTGAGCTGGCTTCCCGGCTTCTGCAGGTCGAGCCATGATAGGGGCGCCTGGATCACCTTGGAGTCCTGCAGAGAGGGAGTGGAGGAGGAAGAGAGACTTCAAGGCGCCATAATGGTTTACACACATCTCAAAAGGCTGTGCAGGTCGAGCCATGATAGGGGCGCCTGGATCACCTTAGAGTCCTGCAGAGAGGGAATGGAGGAGGAAGAGAGACTTCAAGGCGCCATAACGGTTTACACACATCTCAAAAGGCTGTGCAGGTCGAGCCATGATAGGGGCGCCTGGATCACCTTAGAGTCCTGCAGAGAGGGAATGGAGGAGGAAGAGAGACTTCAAGGCGCCATAACGGTTTGCACACATCTCAAAAGGCTGTGCAGGTTGAGCCATGATAGGGGCGCCTGGATCACCTTAGAGTCCTGCAGAGAGGGAATGGAGGAGGAAGAGAGACTTCAAGGCGCCATAACGGTTTGCACACATCTCAAAAGGCTGTGCAGGTCGAGCCATGATAGGGGCGCCTGGATCACCTTAGAGTCCTGCAGAGAGGGAGTGGAGGAGGATGAGGGTTTTCAAGGCGCTAAGAGGGTGAAGTCAGGTGAGGGTTAGAATGGGGAGGGCAGGAGCGGAAGAGGCGGTAAGCGTAAGCAGCGAGCACCATGGCCTTGCGCACTGAGGGCATGAAGGCATGTGGCACTCCTCGCTCTCCATGCCCTCCTCCCTCCTCTCCCTCTCCTCGCTCTCCATGCACTCCCTCCCTCCTCTCCCTCTCCTCGCTCTCCATGCACTACTCCCTCCTCTCCCTCTCCTCTCTCTCCATGCACTCCTCCCTCCTCTCCCTCTCCTCGCTCTCCATGCACTCCTCCCTCCTCTCCCTCTCCTCGCTCTCCATGCACTCCTCCCTCCTCTCCCTCTCCTCGCTCTCCATGCACTCCTCCCACCTCTCCCTCTCCTCGCTCTCCATGCACTCCTCCCTCCTCTCCCTCTCCTCGCTGTCCATGCACTCATCCCTCTTCAACCACTAAGAACCGTTGCACATACCTTGTGCGTTGCAAACATGCTGATGCTGTCATCGGTCTGATCCAGAGCGGTGAGGAACACGATGTGGCGGTGGAAGGGGTATGCTTCAGCCACGAGCACCATGGCCTCTTGCACCGAGGGCGTGAAGACAATGTGGTACTCCTCACTCTCCATGCACCGCCCTCTCCTCTCTAACCCCCCTCTCCTCTCTATCCTCCCTCTCCACGCCGCACGCACGCAAGAAAGCAAGCATCTGCCAGAGAAACCCACCTTGTGCGTGGCGAACATGCTGATGCTATCATCGGTCTGATCCAGAGCTGTCAGGAACACGTTGTGGCGGTGGAAGGGGTACGCCTCAGCGACCAGCACCATGGCTTCCTGCACCGAGGGCGTGAAGACAATGTGGTACTCCTCACTCTCCACACCACACTGCTGCAGAATGCGCCTCCTTGCGTGTAGCTCCGTGACAGAGACGCTCATTGAGAGGTCCAGCACGTCCCGACTCTCCACCAGGATGTCCTGCAGGGGGGAGGAGGGAGGAGAGTGGGGGAGTGATGGCACGGAGAAATTGAGAATCAGAAGGCCATCTAACAGGCTCCGTCACCTCACACTCGTTGGGAGGTCCAGCACGTCCTGGCTCTCCACCAGGATGTCCTGAGGAAGAAAGGTAGGGTGGGGAGATGGGGCAGGGAGTTGATTACGCAGATGGATCATGGAAGCAATAATGCTCGGGCAGACAGACGCTCATTGAGAGGTCCAGGACGGCTCGGCTCTCCAGCATGCTGTCCTGAGGGGCAGAGAAGGGGAAAGGGAGGAGGAAGCGGAGAGAGGAGTGGAGAGGAACACGGGGGAGGGGAGGTGGACAGAGGTGAGAAGGCAGAGAAGAGGGAAGATGATGTGGTTGTCCTCATCATCACTCCCCACCATCATGTTCTCAAGGCACACAGGAGAGGGGGGAGGAAGCAGAGAGGGAGGGGGGAAGAAGGTGATGACGCAGAGGGGAGGAGGCTGCAACCTTTCGCTCACATCGAAGACGTTTCGACGCTTCCCTTCCTTTTCTTCCTATTCCGTCCAATCTCTGCGCATTCATCCAGAAACTGCTCCTTACATCCATTTCTTTAGGGTTCTGAAGCACGCGTCCGAGTCAGGAGTTTCGACGATCCCACTTTGTTTTCTCTTTCGCATTCTGCATTCACCCGCATTTTGCTCGTTAAAGAAGCTATTTCTTTAGATATCTCAAAGATGAACATCTTTCACGTTTTTCAGCGCTCCCACTTTGTTTTCTCTGTGCACTCACCCGCGTTTTGCTCGTTACAGTCATCCATCTCCCTCTCTCTCCCTCTTCCTGTCAGTCTTCCTCTCCCGTCAACTCACCCGCAGTCTGCTCGGGTTCAGCAGCGCGCGCCCCGGCTGAGTCGCGGTGACCGTTCCCGACGGGACGAAGCGCGAGAAGAGCCGCGACTTGTTTTCCGACGGGGACGACGCGGAGAACGATGGAGGAGGACCGTTGCGCTGCATCATCTTGCGCTGCTGCTCCATCTGCTGTTTCTGCTGCTGCATCTGCTGCTCCATCTGCTGCTTTTGCTGCTGCAGCGAGTCGCGCATCAGCGGAACCACGTTTCCTCCCCCCGCCGCTGTGGGACTGGTGCTGTGTGCGCGGAACTGCGGAGAGGCCGTTCCGCTGCTGCTCCCCCCCGCGCTTACGGTGCTGTTACTCCTTCCGAAGACGGCGCCCGGTCCGCCCATTCCGCCGTATCCCCCTTCCCCCTCCGCGTCCCCCTCCTCGTCATCCATCGCGAGTAGCTCCGCCATGGGGGACAATCCCCCGCCGTACCCGCCGCCATTCCCGCCGCGATACCCGCCGCCGTCCGGCTCCTCTAACACGCACGGCATGGGGAAGCCAAGCCCCACGATGCACTCCGTGAAAATCGCCGGGTAACGCGCTTTGACGTAATCTTCCACGTAGCGCATTTCGTTCTCGGAGATCGGTGCGGACCAGCGCACGTCGAGCGCCGGCTCGCCCTTGTTGCCGCGAAGCGCGGCCATGGCTTCCGCGACAATGTGCGGAGGGATTTCGACGCGGCCTTGGCTGATCTGCGGGGCGGGGGAGGGGAGAGAGGGAAGGCGTGAGACTTTTTACAACACGGTAATGTGCGGAATGCGACGTGAAGCGCGGCCATGGCTTCCGCGACAATGTGCGGAGGAATCTCGACTCGGCCTTGACTGATCTGTTCGGCGTGACGGACAGCGGGAGAAAGAGGGGAGAAGAGGGGAGGGTAAAAAAAAATATAGCAAAAACTTATTGACTGAAAAATTCCCAAGTTACGATTGAATCTAAATATTCGATTCAGAAATGGCCTCCTTACCACGTCGTCCATCATTAATAGCTTGTGACAATGAACCGCCTCGACTCTTTGAATAAACAATCGTCTTTGGTAGGTACCAACGGAATTCGTACGTTTTCGACCGCAATGCATTGCGTAGTGCTGCTCCGAAAACTGCAATGACGACCCGCCGATATCGCGGCGCAACTGTCGAATTCGCGGTTTAGTCTGCTTTGCTTGGCATTACTGTGCGACTAGAATAATGGCGAACACCGATCGGGACTCTCTTAAAAGACCAGCGACTCGAGCGTCGGGCTGCGACGGACTGTAACGTTCCGCCATCACGTGCGCTGCTAGCGTCCCGTAATGGCGTCGCATAGGCGTCACGTATTTTGAATTGCCGTGTACTTGCGTCGAGTACTTGCCTGGCCTGACGAGCTCTTGTGTGGATCCGCAGCCGCCATTTCAATCGATCATCCCCTCGTGTCGTGTCTTGTCGTGTCGTGTCGTGTCGTGTCGTGTCGTGTCGTGTCGTGTCGTATCGCTGGTTCGTCGACAACGCTTGCGCGAGACGCCGAAGGGAAGAGTCGAGAGATGATTCACGCTAGTTACCTCACTTAACGGGGGATACCACAACCGACCCTGCTTCGAGAACAGCACTACGCAAAGTAAAAGTAGAGAGCGATGGACAAGACTGGTCAGGAAAAGGCAAGGAGCTTCATGTTGTCACATTCTGTTGGTGCAGGAGGAGGTTCAAAAGAAATGAGGGCGTGTCATATGAGTTCATTCACAGTTCATTTCGACCTAGGTAACCCTTTTTTGCTTCTGTAACCCTTAATGCTGGACTCTTGTAGACATGTGTCTTCAATGACGCGTGGCATTGACGCGCTGAATGCGTCAAAAGGCTCGAATTTAAAACGTTCAGAAACAGCTGTCAATGTACGTACCATCACCTTGAAAAGGTCCGCGTAACCCTAATTCCCAAACCCAGAATTCGCCCAGAAATAGCGACCGGCCAGTTTTGGCACTATAGATTCGCAACCGGTCCGGGTTACCTTTCGCGAACCATTCGAATGTGATTCGGGATCGAGTTTTGTGTGAACGGGGTGCTGAGTCCGCATGGTGCAACTTCGTTCGGTGGAGTGCTGACGCGATGCGTTAGTTTTTCGTCATAGTGTACACTACGCTGCTTTGTCGAGGTTACGTAACAATTACAATTGTTTCCACAAATGAACTTGCTGGACACGCCCTGAAGGACACCTTCTGTAGACAGAACTGTCTATGATGACTTTCCTGATGCATGTACCTGTCGAAGGTTTCAAGAAAGAACGAGCTGGCTAGCAACTCGAACAAAGTGCATTCGAACGGCGCCGTTGTCTCACACCCCACCACTTCACGGCTCGTCATTTTGCTTGGCTGCATTCAACCTTGCTGCGCCCTGACCGTTTTTGGTAATCAGAAATCACGTTCCGAGGTTTCTGAGGTTTTTGTTCTGAGCCCAATCATGCGGTTTATTATAGTGTTTGTCGCTAAAGACTTCTCGTGAGGCACGATTTTTTAGCTTCGTGCCAGAAACCCCAGCGATGAAGGTCAGAGCAGAGAGGGTGACTAGACATAAAATCTGAGCTACTGGAAGCCCGATGTGTGCAGGTAACCAGCAAGAGAAGTGAAGGGGGGGGGGGGGGGGGGGGGGAGGGGGGACTCGAATCGAAACGAAACCTCCAATCAAATTCATCGATTACAATTGATGCCTGTTTGAGCCCCTCCCGGTTGCCTTGTGAAGGGGGCGTATAAACTGAATCAAAATTTCGCATACGTTTCATCAGTTCGCAGCTAGCTAAAAAGGTTTCGCATGTACTTATATGGAAGATCTGTTACCTCATCCGTTGACATTTTGACTTCATTCTTTTCTGCTTGACTTCAGTCTGTTCGTTTCTATTGGTTGATAACCACGCGACGCGCCTGTAACGTAGGTGCAACAGGCTGGGGAAACAACCTCGGGTGCAGCGTATCTATCCGGCGCAAGGCAAATGCGCGTGCACTGGCTGGGCATCAATTGTAGCACCAAAATACGCTGTACACCCACCACGGACAAGTAACCACAGTGCACACAGTGTCGATTGGATCGGGTGTCACTCCCATCAACGGACGCAGGGGGGGTAGCGTATCAAGTCTCCAAGAGTGACTGCCACATCCACTCCACCCTGCACTGAATCAGCACTTCAAACTAGAGTAGTCCAAAACTTCTGGTGTATTTAGTACATTTACCCTGAACGTTGAAGGGTTGGAAATCGTTCCATATCAGTTCCAAGTCTCTTTGGCACATGGGAGCAAGTGGGTGGGTTTTGTTGGAGTGGCTGTAGTTCTGCCAGATCAAGTGAGTGGCAAAGCGGCCAATCAAATTATCCAACCAAGCAATGAGCATAGCGTTTGTTGCACAATTCAGTTTCAGGTAAACAGTCAAACAGCTGGATTGTTGTCAAATGGTGGATTCGTTTGTGTATTGTCTCGGGAACAGTGTGTAATGGGTCGTTTCTCCTGCCCCCACTGTTATAAAAAACATGATTGTAAATTAACAATTGGAACATATGTAATAACGGTATAGGAACAGTGGGTAATTGCGCGTTTCTCCTGGCCTCCCTATTAATTTATTGAGAGACACAAGAGTTCACATACTGATACGATGGAGTGCAGATACATGTATTTATTCAAGTAGCATGGTAGCATGTATTTGTTCACTAATAGCATGGTAGCTAGACATAGATTTTCCTGCTACTTTCAGGAAATGGAACATACAGTGTCGGTAGCCACATAGTGAGATCAAGTTTCTTAACCTACGGTCGACTTATCTCGATTTTTCCCTAAGGGAGTAGTTCACCACGTGGCACTCGCTTGGACATACCAGCGCTCTGCCGTCGGATGAACATCGGAGACAAAGGATATCCTCTATTCAACCAACCAGCGAGCGTTGGATTCCACGACCACACGTCAAATACACTGCATCCGAAGCACTTTTTCACGGAGCTGATCACGTCACCAGGTCATTTAGTTCCTTCGCCCTCATCACCCTACTCAACCGCTTTGCATTACCAATACACTGCTTGAAAACTTTGAGAAACGTGCAGGACCGCAGCCAACCTAGTGCCTGAATGATGAGGTCCGAATCTGACCAACACTTGATTGAAGTGAGAATGCTTTTTCTCAGAGCCAGCACAGTACATGTTCTTAGTTCCTAGTCAGAGCCAGCACGGTATCAACATCGTTCTCCAGCGACATAATTCTCAGTCATGGCGTTGTGCCTGCGAGGAGGCCTTTCTGCTGTCACTGTTTCCGTCGATCTCGCAAGGTACGATGAAGCGGACACGGACGTTATGCAACCTTACTGAAACGGAATGTAGGTGCTACTAAAAAAAATCTCTATTGTCAACGTTGTGAATGATGTGAATTACGACGAAGCGGACACGGACTGCAATGCGTCAGCGCGAGCTGACATAGGCATATACAATTAGAGAACGCGTCGTCTATGCAATGTGCACCTGCTTCCCTAAAATGTATTTCTTCTTAACACGTAATCACCTACTATATTGTACTCGCCTTGTAAAGTTTGTTCACGTTTACTGATTATTGTGACTCCTTTCGCTTCTTATTCTCCTTCTCACACCAGATATGAGCCTGCCAATCGCCTCTTCTCGTCTCACCAGCGGCTGCATTCCTCACGAATCTGCAGAACTCACCTGCCGAATCCCCTGAGAAGTCGCCTGATGAGCCACGCGACAGGTCAGCGCACGGCCAGCTGGGTCAGAAACGGTTTCATGACTGAAACGGGGGGTGGAGAGTGGGACGAGGAGGACGAAGAGGAATTCGACGAAGACGAGGAGGAGCATTGGGAAGAGGAAGAGGAGGAGGTGGAGGAGAGGGTGGAGACGGTCCAAGTTCAGGCGAGGTTGTATGAAGATTCCTCGGGATACAGCGAAGGAGATGAGCAGGAGGCCAAGGCTCATGCGGCGCATCAGGCGGAAGAAGAGAAGAAGCAGGAGAACCAGCATCAACAGCCGCTGCAGTGGTTGGCGGAAGGAGCTGCTGCTGCGTTAAAGGGAGCTGTGGAGGGAGGTGTTGTGGCTGCTGCGGTGGGGGCTGTGCTTGAGGCGAGTCAGTCCGCGGAGGAGCATTCGGAGAGTGATGCGCGGGAGAAGGGCGAGGAGTATTCCGCCACCATGCAGGTCGCCATGGGGAACACAGGTGCGTGTTTAGCCTGATGTGCTGGAGGCGAGTCAGTCCGCAGAGGAGCATTCGGAGAGTGATGCGCGGGAGAAAGGGGAGGAGTATTCCGCCACCATGCAGGTGGCCATGGGGAACACAGGTGCGTCTTTGTTTCTAGTTAGAATCCAGCGTTCAGGTGGCTACGGGAACCACAGGAGTGTGTGGACGCAAGAGCCACCGTGCAGGTGGCCATGGGGAACACAGGTGCGTGTGTGTGGTTATCGCACCTCGTCCTTGTCAGGATCGTTGACGCCTCAATCGACAAAAGTCTGCTTGCTATTGTCGATGACGTTCTCCTCGTTCTCACGATTCCAACGATATGCGCAGCAGTTAATTCTGAGAACGTTTCACTAAGTTTTCAATCTCACCAGTGCTTGTCTTGCACCTTCAAGCAAAGAATTTCCAAGTGTATATTTCAACTGACTGGTACAACTAACTTATACTCATCCCAATGCACCCACGTAACTGAACCCAAAACGTGTTCCACAAGCAACCTCCCTTGTAACCAAACTTACCCCACACTCCAAGTTTCACGTCGCGTCGCACACGCAACCACGACTCCTTCGTCGAACACTCCCGAAGTCCGAATTTCAGAAACTTGTGAACCACGCCATCGTTTCAACCCAAACTCCTACCCCGTCAAACCAATTCCTTCACTTTCCCATCTCTATTCCCCCGTAACTTCCTTACGTTCCCATTTCTTCCTTACGTTTCTACTCCTTTCCCCTCAGCGTAGACCACACGCCAAGTAATCTTAGACGCTTCTTAGTAATTCCTTCTCGCTTCTTCCACACGTCACCGCCATAAGTCGCCGTAGGTCCGCATTTCTCGCCGTCGTTAGTGTGGTTCGTAGAAACCACTCCAACAGTCCTCATCCCTCCCTGTCCTCCTCCGTCCCTGCGCGTGTGCCCTGTCTCACTCCAACATCCCTTCCAACGCTGGCACCCGCCACGAGCCTGCGCATGAATCATGACTTGGTCCTCACACTTACTCCTCCCCTCCTCTCTCTCTCTCTCTCTCTCTCTCTCTCTCTCTCTCTCTCTCTCTCTCTCTCTCTCTCGAATGGTCCTTGCATTTCTTTGGGGGGTGGTACAACGGAAGGTGCAAAACACACAAGCACAAGCTCAACAGAAAACCGGCATCCTAACTATTCCAAGTCCCCTACCTACTCTGCCCCCCCCCTGTCCGACCCTACTGGTCGAACGGGGCCTCAATCAACTGGTGCAGCTGTCCCTCACTGAGAGGGATGATGGGTCCTCTAAAACCGAGCTCGTCCGCCGCCAAGGCCTCATTGGTCTTGGTGCGGAGGGCGTTGGCCTGTGCCCGCTGGAGGCACACGCTCCAACGCTGGCGGTACTCCGTCAGAAGCTTCGCTGCTTCGTAGGAGGTAGGGGCTGCGTTAAACCGCAGCTTTGCCGCCAGCTCCGCGCATTGCCGCAGGTAAGCCAGCACCCCCGGCGAGGGGTAGCCGTATGTTTCCACTGCGAGCGCGTGGAACCCCACCCACGTGTTCCGCCGTGCGTACTTCTCCTCCTTTTTTGCCGCTGCCGCCCTAGCTGCCCAACCAGGAGCTCGGTTGCAGTTCTCGTCCTGGTATGACATCGGGTCCGTCACGGTCACGTCGCACATCCAAACCTCCCCGGTCAGTGGATGACGGATGGTGACATCCGCCTTTAGGTTTTCAACCAGTGAGTAGACATACGTCTCCTTATGAACCGTAAAACCCGCCTCAGCCCCGATATTTGCTATCTCATCCCGCAGAGCGTGATGGGTAGCGGTCCTCCCTTTCCCCTTCTCGCAGCGCATGAGGTGGTTGGGGAGGCGGTCGTCGGGGAAGGTGGTGCGGTAGCGGCAGTCACAGCGTCTAGGCACTGGGAGGGGGAGGCCTAGGCGGAAGGCAGCTGCAGTTGAGAGCTGGGAGGGGCCCATTCGGAGCGAGGGGATGAGCGGGATCGCCAGCAGCCAATCCCCCGCTCCTGGGCCTAGCACCGACTGCATCCGTTGCGCATGGCCTGAAAGGGGGTTGGGGCGCATCCGCCTTGCCTCGCGCATGGCCCTCAAGAAGCGGCGGGAGTGAACCGCCAGCGCTAGGCTCTGCTGCAGCTTCAGTCCCTTGGGGTCTGTCTTCCCGGCCTGGAGCACCTCGAGAGCCTCAGGTGGGAGAGCTGCCTCAGCCGCGGCGAAGCGTGCAGGCAGCGCGTGCGGGGAGCCGTGGGTAGGGTCCAGTAGGGGGAGGAGCGCGGCGACAGCAGGGTGTAACGACTCCTCCAGGGAGTGTAGAAGGTGGCCGGCGCTGATCACTGAAGCGAGGTAAGCGTAGCTGCCTTCAACGGCGGGGTCAGTGATGCCCAGGCCTCCCAGAGTCACGGGCAGGGCCGCCTGCCGCCAAATCCTCCGCCTCTCCCGGGCACTCCTCGGTCTCATGATGTGGGCCGAGTCCAGGAAGGTGTGTAGGAGCTGCTCCCCCCAAGCTGACCATTCCGCTTCAGGGAGAGCTTCCAGGGGGGTGGTTCTGGCCAGAAAAGAGGCTCGGCGGCTGACACAGCGGGTGAGGAGGAGGAGGCTAAGCTGGGGGTCCATCTGGGCCAGCAGGGGGAGTGGGGATGCTGCTACTGCCAGTCTCTCTCTCACGGCGCCCGCGCACCCCCGGGGTGTGCCAACCGGGCTGCCGAGAATCTGCAGTCCCTCATCAGAGATAGTAATTCCCGGGGGCACTGCAGAGGGGTCGATTGGAGCGGCGGACCACGCCGCGCATTTGGCCGGGTTGTGTACCAGTGCCGAGGGCGGCAAGTGCGGATGTGAGGTGGTCGAAAGCTGCTGTGCAGGCCGAGGCGTCGCCGAGCAGCGTGATGTCATCGGCGTATGCCAGCAGGACCACCTGAGGGTGTGCCGCCGCCGTGGCAATGAGGCACAGGTGGATGCTTGCCGCGAACAGGAGGAGGCCGAGCGGGTCCCCTTGGCGAACTCCTCTGGCGCTCTGCAGCGGGGCTGCGCCGAAGTCTTGGTCGAGGTAGAGCGAGGAGGGAGCCCCGTAGGATAGGCGGACGAGGGGGATCGGCTTCTTCAGCGCCTCGTTTCTCAGTCCTTCGAACACCGCTCTCCTTTCTACCGCGTTAAAAGCGTTCGCGAGGTCGATCTGCAAGGCCACTGCAGCAGGGTGCGCTTCCAGGTACGTGCGAGCGGTGTGGATAGCCGCTTCGATCCCCCCTGCTACTGCCACGCCGAATTGAAGGGGGGCAAAGTGAGTACGGGCGGCTGGCGCGGTCAGGAAGAGGGCGGCCTTTGCTATAATCCGGAGGAGACACTCCCCCACCGCTATTGGCCGCGTCCCTCCTTGGGGTTTCGTAAAGGCTAGCAGGCGGGAGGCCGTGAGAAGATCCCCCGCGACTGTTGGGAGTTTCCCTGCTAGAGCTGTGTTGGAGAGGGCGAGGAGGTGGGAGAGTACTTCGGCATTCCCTAGGGCTGCGTCGCGGATATGCTCGAAAGTGGTTCCTGAGGGGTCGGCCCCGACTCCGTTGGGGAGCTTGGCGAGGAGGCGCCTGAAGTCGCGGGCTTCGATAGTGGGTGGGTCTTCAGCCGAGGCAGTGTGGAGCCAGTCAGGGAGAAGCTGGCTGGCAGGTGGATGTCTCGTCGCGAGGGCTTCCAGCACTTCAGGTGAGGCAGGTGACACAGGGGTGGCCTGGAGGGATTGGAGTGATTTTGACAGGTTACCCCGTTTTGCCAGACCTTCCGCCCGTGCCAGTATTCCAGTTGTGTCGAGTGAGTGGCGAGGCTGCGGAGGCAAGGAAATCGCCTGGACAGCTTCTTCGTATAGGTCCGCCCAGAGCCCTTGGCGAAATCGCAGGAGCCGATTCATCATCGCGCTCCAGTCAGGTTTACGGGCTGACGAGGTGCGAAGGAGTATGCGCGGGAGAAAGGTCAGTAGTTTCCATCCTGGCGCGGACTCGGGATTGGCCGCCAGGTGGAGTAACGGCGTCAACATACAGATCGCGAAGGAGTCGCGAAGGTCTTTGGGGGGGTGGCGAGCGAGAGGAGGTTGGCGACTGTCACGCAGCGGGTCGAGGTCCCAGACTGCAACCTGAGCGAATAGCTCAGAGTTTTTCGCCAGGTCGTCAGGTTTGAGCATCGGGGGGGTTGGACTCGGGGCTGCGGAATTTTCATTGGCTGTTGCAGAGTCAATTCTTTCTTCTGGAGCGGCTCGATTTCCCCTCCTTGCTTGAATTCCCCCCGCGGTTCGATCCCGAACTGAGGTTTGGTTTGCAGGTTCACCTCTGGCCTGCTGGTTTGGGAGCTCCGCTTCCCGCAGCAGCTCCAACTCTTCCTCGTCCTCCTCGGCCTCTGCTTCTAACATCCCCTCGCTTTCAGGGTTAAAGGCAGGGTCCCCCTCTTCACTTTCCTCATTCTCCGCTTCCTCCTCTGCTTCCTCGCTAAGTGGTTCCACGTCGCCCTTCGCGCCGTTTCGCATCAGCCTTTCCACATTCCTCGCGTAGCCGCTTGCACCAGATCGGCGCCTGTTCGAACCTCGTGCTCCACCACCTCTTCGTCCTCTCTCGTTGCCTCGTCGTCCGCGGCGGCTGCCGCGTCCTACGCGGATTCCCCGCGTTGCTCGTCCCACAGCAGCTCCCTCGCGCCCTGTCTGCGGCGCCGCGGCCGTCTCGTTTTCGCTTCGTCGCCGCACTGGCGTCGGCTGCGGTAGGATCGGGGGTGATGGACCCATCCGTGAGACGGGATCCGGAGCTGGAGGGTTCCGCGGAGAGCTCGCTACCGCAGCCTGCGCCTGCCGGGCCTCGTCCGCGTCTCCCTGCGCACCCCTCCGCGAGCGAGCCCGTGCACCACTTCGAGCGGGTTCAAACGCTTCCCCATCGTCCTGCCGCGCGCCCCGCCTCGCCAGAGTATTCGTGGGCGCCTGCTCGTGTTGCGTCGAACCGCCCGGACGGTCAGCCGCGGCAGGAGCGCGGGTGCTCGCCTCTGCGGCACCCTCAACAGCCGCCCTCTCCTCGCCGCCCTTCTCCTGAGCGTCGCGAGCACTAAGAGCGGGGGGAGGGGGGTAAGCGTTCTCCTGCACGTCCTCGCTCCCCTCGCCGCCCATCCCCTCGTGGTCAGGCAGGCCAGCGCTCACCGCGAGCGCGATCCCCCGCGCAACGTTCTCCTCGGCGATCTCCGGCGACGCCGGGGAGGGGGTCGCCTGGTCGTCGCTGGGATTCGGGTCGCCGCGAGCAGTCCCCCCCGCGTCCACATTCGGCTGGTTCCGGGGGACGGCGGGGCTGGCGGAAGGGCGGAGGGCGAGGCGGGAATGGCAACCAGCCTGATCCAGCCCTCGATCATGCTGCGGACACGTTCGTGGAGGTGGTGAGGCAGGCCCGGGCGAGTGGGGCGCCGACTCACGTCCATATTGAGGTGACCAACGGTCCCCCCTTCGCCGCGGACCCAGGCCAGGTCGCTCCTCTGCGTGCGCCGACGCTGCGCGAGTATCAGCCCGCGCGTGAGGGGAGGGCTCAGTTCCGCACCCCCCGTCAGGTTCCCGGCTTCTCTGCGCCGCGCTTGGCTGTTGGCCGGACTCCTGGCTGGCCGGCGGCGTTTCCGCGCGAGGCGCAGACTGCACCTCTCCCCACTCGCGCGGGGAGAGACCCCATGCTGACCATGTGCCGGGTTCTGAATCTGGCGGAGGCGTGCGAGGTGGTGGCGAACTTGCAGCTGGCGGTGTGTGGGGCCATGAGGAGCTTTCCGAGCAGTTTTGGTCCAGGGACCCGAGGATCCTGCGTGACTTTGGCAGAATCACTCGAGTCGCCGTTGGCACCCGTGTCGGACGCGCCCGCCGGGGTAGCTCCCTTAGCCTGTACTTTCCCCCGCCACGTGGGGGATCTTGTAGGGGCTGCTCAAGCCGGGACCCCCTTGGACACACTCCAGTCGTCGGCGCATCTCCTTCTTGCGTTGTCGGCGTGCATGCGCTCGATGCTTGAGGTGGAGGGGGCGGAGCCGTACACGATGTAGGCCTCCGCCGTGTGTAGAATTGCATGCCGCGCCTCTTGCTCCTGCCCAGCTCCTTGCCTTTGTGTGTGTGTGTGCCCTATATAAGCCGATCCTCCGTTTGGTGTCTTGCCACCAGAAACGCGCGGCCGAAGGCCGCCGGCGCGAGCCGCGAAAAACTGAGAACACACGAAATAATGAGGAGAAGAAGGCACCAAGGGCCCTTAAATAGGCTCAGAGGAAGAGGGCCGAGGGAAGAGGAAGAGGGCTGGGTGCTAAGTCCTCTCTCTCTCTCGCTCTCTCCGCCCGCGGAAAATTGAGAACACACGAAATAATGAGGAGAAGAAGGCACCAAGGGCCCTTAAATAGGCTCAGAGGAAGAGGGCCGAGGGAAGAGGAAGAGGGCTGGGTGCTAAGTCCTCTCTCTCTCTCTCTCTCTCTCTCTCTCTCTCTCTCTCTCTCTCTCTCTCTCTCTCTCTCTCTCAAATGGTCCGTTGTATTAATTCAGCAGGGGTACAGACATGCAGTTCTATCCATGATAACCTCAATCCCATAAGCCCATCAACTCACCCCTCTTCCCCTCCCCTCCCCCCTGAGTGACCCTCTAGCCTTCCAGCGTGTGGAGGATGTCCCCCAGGTGCAGCGGCCAAGGGTCCGCTGCCATCTGGGGGTGTGCTGCCTCAATCCCAGCCCTGGCCTTGGTGTGCAAGGCGTTCGCCTGGGAGCGCTGGAGGGCCACTGACCAGCGCTGGCTGAAGTGGCAGGCCATCTTCTTGGCGGATTTCGCCAAGGGGCTGGCCCTGAAGCGGTTCCTAGCTGCTGCTGTGGCCAGCAGTTTCAGGAACGCCGTCGTGGGGGGCGCGTTTGCCCCATAGGTCTTGACCGCCAGGGCGCAGAACACCACGTGTTCAGTGTGTCGGTAGTAGTCCCTCTCCTTCCGCTTCTGTGCCTCCCTTGCAGCCCAACCTGGGGGTTTGCGGGCCGTAGGGTCTCGGTTCTGCAGCACAGGGTCAGTGATCGTGGTGTCTGTGATCCAGGTCTCTCCGCTGTTCGGGTCTTGTACAATCACATCTGCCTTCTTCGGGTCATCCGGAGGTGAGTACATCGCATTCTCCAGGTATACCACCAGCTGCGCCTCCCTCGCCATTTTAGCCATGGCGAAGGCCAGCTGGTTGTGTGTGCGCGTCCTGTCAGGGCCTGTGCTGCAGCGGAGTAAGTGGTTGGGTAGGCTGCAGTCGGCTACGAGTTCTCCGCACTCGCACACGGTTGGTACATTCTGTCGGATGCCCATGCGGAAGGCCAGGGCCGCTCGGAACTGTCCCGGTGAGAAGCAGAGGTCCGGGGTCAAGGGTAGTGCCTGCAGCCACGCTCCCGCTCCCTCTCCTCTCAGGCTGACTAGGCGGAGTGTGTGGCCCATCTCGGGGGCTGACTGTATTGCGCGTGACTCCTCTCTTAGGGCGTCGGCCTTTGCCGCGTGCACTTCCTGGGAGAGGGCGCGCTGCAGCTGGTCCTGGGACGGGGTTTGCTGCTCCTCCCGTAGGTTTTGTAGCGCCAGCGGTGGCAGTCGCCCCTCCATGTCCTGGATGGTCACGGAGTGCGCTGCAGACGGCTGCAGGGCGTTGCTGTCGGCCCCTAGCGGCGCGGTTGCCGGTAAGTCCAGGGAGCGGAGCAGGCGCAGCGCCTCTGTTGTAGATGCCAGGTAGGCCGGTGCTGCTTCAGTTGTGGGGTCCGTAAGGCCCAGTCCGCCTAGGGCTACTGGGAGAGTTGCCTGTCGGAGAAGGAAGTTGAACTCGGCTTGTCGGCGTGGCGGTTGAATGCTGGCGGCGGTCAAGGCAGTGTTCAGTAATTCGGCGCACCATGTATGCCATTCCGAGAGCGGTAAGACGTCAGCTGGGGTAGTGCACAGCAGGTAGCCGACTCTGCGGCTGATGCAACGAGACAGTAGCAGGTAGTCGACTCTCTCTCTCTCTCTCTCTCTCTCTCTCTCTCTCTCTCTCTCTCTCTCTCTCTCTCTCTCTCTCTCTCTCTCTCTCTCTCTCTCTCGAATGGTCCTTGCATTTCTTTGAGGGGTGGTACAACGGAAGGTGCAAACACACAAGCACAACAAACATCCAAACCGGCATCCAAACTATCTCAAGTCCCCTACCTACTCTGCCCCCCCCCCTGTCCGACCCTGCTGGTCGAACGGGGCCTCAATCAACTGGTGCAGCTGTCCCTCTCTCTCTCTCTCTCTCTCTCTCTCTCTCTCTCTCTCTCTCTCTCTCTCTCTCTCTCTCTCTCTCTCTCTCTCTCTCTCTCTCTCTGCGTATGTACGCCCCGATCTGATCTAATTGTGCTTCCCAGCGCTGGTGTACCGTCACGAGCTGGGCATGAACTATGCGCGCGTGCTGCCCAATCTCATCGTCGGCTCCTGCCTGCAGGCAAGTGCCCTTGCTTGCCGCCTCTACTACTACCTCAAATCTCTTTCCCCTACCACCTTTGTTCTCCCCCCTTTCTCCCTTACTGCATGTCCTTACCCTTAACCCTCCATGTATCCTCTTTCAGCTACCTCATGGTCCTTTCTCGCCATGTTGATAATCCTTTCCACTTTACTCTCTTGGCTCCCTCGCTCGCTACCGCCTCACTAGATGTGCGTTCTTTATATTTACACAGCCCTCACTCTCTCTCTGCTCTGGACCCGCCTCATAGGAACTTCCTAGAAACCATGCCCCTCACTCTCCCTCAGCCTAGTCGCGTTATCCACACCACCCTGCCATCAATCCCCACAAGGCCTGTACCCTTTATAAGCCCTCTTTCTGCCTTTGCTGCACTCTGTTTTATCCCGGCCACCTGGTACAGTCCCCCTTGGATCTGGACCACCTTCGGGACGTGGAGGGCGTGGGGGCGGTGCAGTGCCTGCAGCGTGACTCTGACCTCGAGTAAGCGGTGTTGAGAGGGTCCAATGGTCGGCCTTTTTTCTGGTCGACTGAAGAGACATAATCAGTCGGCCTAGAAGTTGGAATCAGTCAAGGACTTTCGTGGTCGACTCAAAAGTGAGTTTGAGTCAACGCCAACAATCATATTGAGTACATGTCATTCAGAGCAGGTAACTCACTCTGTGCAGTGCATGCGCATGTGCTATTCACAACAGGTAACTCACTCTGTGCAGTGCATGCGCATGTGCTATTCACAACAGGTAACTCACTCTGTGCAGTGCATGCGCATGTGCTATTCACAACAGGTAACTCACCCTGTGCATGAACACGTGCTATTCCCCAACAGTTACTTCGATCTGGATATCAACCCGATCATCGAGCGGGCGGCAGAGCGCGGCGACATTCGGCACTTGTGGACGGAAATCAGGTGCGTCCAGCCAGACTGGAGCAAATTGTTCGTCTACTAGCACGTGCTTCTTCGTTCCGCCCCTCGTTCTCCACACCACACTGCACTCTCCGTTTAGCCCTTTTCTCAACCTGACCATCTCCCCCTCTCCCTGGGAGTTTGATTCGACCCCTTTGTCCTGCGCATGCAGCTGCCAAGGGCTGCTCCACGCCACAGCACTGCATCTTGGCTGTCCCATCTTCCCATCTCGTTCCTCCTTCCCTTTCTTCTCTCTGTCACTTGAACCATCCCAACCTTCCCACCCGCCCCGTTCTCCCAGGGACTTTGACCCCTTTGATCTGCGCATGCAGCTGCCAAGGGCTGTAGCAGCGCTGCACAAGGCAGTGATGGAGTGTGGAACTGCGTATGTGCACTGCACTGCCGGCCTCGGCAGGGCCCCGGCTGTAGCGGTGAGGCTTGGCTCTAGCGGTGAGTCCCAGCTTTAGTGGTGACTCCTAGCCGTAGTGCGAGTATCGTCAGTGGCTGTAGCAGCGCTACACAAGGCAGTGATGGAGTGTGGCACGGCATATGTGCACTGCACTGCTGGCCTTGGCAGGGCTCCGGCTGTAGCGGTGAGTCCCGGCTGTAGCGATGAGTACTGGTTGTAGCACGAGCCTAGCCTCAGCTAAGGTACCCTCTATCTTACCGCCGTCAAGCTTTCTAACCTTCGAGCAGTTTGTTATCATTGCCATCTCCGCCCTCTCCGCCCTATCCTCTTCTCTGCCCTGCCCCTCACCCCCCTTTCTGCTCCTCTCCCCATCTATGCTCTTCTCCCCCTTTTCTGCTCCTTATCCGTCTTCACTCCTCTTCACCCCTCTCCACCCCTGTCCACGCCTGCCCCACTCCAATCCTCACAGCTTGCCTATATGTGGTGGATGCGCGACCTTCAACTGGAAGAGGCAAATGAAATCCTGCAGGTATGTGGGGCAGATGGGGGATTGGTGGTGGTGAGGGGGTGGTGGAGGAGAGGAGGAGAATCGACAGGGTTAGGGGATATAGCATCGAGCAATGAGGGTGGGAAGAGACATGTTGGCTAAAAGATTGTCAGATGTGTGTCCTTCGAACTTTCCATCTTCAAGTTTCGTTATGTCCTCCCGTGGTTATTCACGATAATTAATGTTTATCTATGTCGATACAATGTTTCTGTGTGTGTGATTGCGCGCACAGAAAGTCCGTCCATGTGGGCCCAAGCTGTTTGCCATCCGAGCAGCTGCATGCGATCTGGTAAGTCACCCACGCCTCTCCTCGCCATAAGCAACATGCATTCAACGACAACACAGGCAATGCTATAAGGAACACATGCCTCGTTCGTCAATGTATCTCGTATGATTGCCAACTCACCATCTTGAAGCATGGAGGGGGGCATCATGCATCAACTTCTCTTGGATCAACTTCGATCGATCACCATGGCAAAATCGAGAAATGAAATGGCGCCCCCTTTTTGAATTGGCTTCTCAACTGCCCACAATGTTTCTCTCTCATCCTTGATTGGCCATCCCTCGTCTCAGCTAACGGGCAATCCCCTGGAGCAAGTGGAGATCAACTGGAGGAACCGAGGAGTCAATGAGACCGTGGAGGTGGCGGGGCTGGATGTCGGCTGGCACCATGTGAGTGGCTGGTAATTTTTCCAGTGGCACCATGTGAGTGGCTGGTGATTTTTCCACGTGGCACCATGTGAGTGGCTGGTGATTTTTCCACATGGCACCATGTGAGTGGCTGGTGATTTTTCCACGTGGCATCATATGAGTTGCTGGTGATTTTTCCACATGGCACCCTGTGAGTGGATAGTGATATTTTTGTCATGTGACACTATGTGATAGGCCAGTGGCTGCCTTGTGCCATGTGCTGGCATGCCGGTGGCTGGCATTGTGCCGTGCTGTGGTATGTGGCCAGAAGAATCATTGTACACATGGTGTGATGTTGGCGAACGGCGGATATGGCAATTTCCACTGGTGACCCTTTTGTCCATCTGTAACCCCTTCCCCTCTGGAGCTTATCAATCTTGTGACTTCGTTTTCACAATGTCATGCTTTTTTTTTTTCCCTTCCTTCGTCTCTCAACCACACTGTTTTCCCTTCAAACCCCCACCCCACTACGTCCGCTCCCAGCGCCTGCCATTGACTCGTGAGCCGGCGTCCAACACATGGACACTCACAAGAGAGCTGCCGGTGCGTTTTAAATTCAGTTTGGTGTCACTTGCGTGTATATTCCAGCTTCAGCTGCTTGGGTGCTGCATTTAACGCATATGTGTGTTTGGATTCGGCCAATAAGAGGTGGCAGTAGCCGCTTATTGATACGTGGAAACGTTTCAACACTGCTTCTCGTGTGCAACGCTGTGTGTAGTTTTGTTTTTTACTTCTGTTCTGAGGTTTGCAGATCGGCACATACTATTACAAGCATATCGTGAACGGCACACACTGGTCATACAACCCCGATGCGCCTCTCACTCCACCCGATCGTGACTACAATGTCAACAACTACATCGAGGTATGGGGCTGTCCTTTCAGGAACCGTCTCATGGATTGAAATTGTCTCACAGGTGTTTTCTACCATAATTTGCCTTCATTTTGTGATCATATGGTTCCATGCCCAAGTTTGCAACAACTGAGCACACCGCTGACCATTCTCGCACCCTGTTTGTCATTTTTCATCGGTAACAGGTCGTGGGCTCTTCGCTTGACCCAGCAGCACGTGACCTGCGGAAGAGGATTATGCAGGAAGGGGCTCCTCTAACCCAAGAAGATAGAGCAGCAGTGGTTGCCAAGATTATTGAGATTGCAGGGACTTGGTAGGTGGTTGAAAGGTCAGTCTCCTCTGAGTACACCGTGGTCTCACCTACATTTGGAGTTATGATTTTGCTAGTGCGATGTTTCTTTGCCTCAGTTCCCATTGCTCCAATAATAATGATCCACAACAAGTCAGACAAGCATCCCATCCCATCAGTAACTGCAGAATCCAGATGCACTGTGCAAAACATAATGATGGCCTTCAGCAGTAAGAACAGCTGGAATAAAAGTCTACAACTCAGAACTACGTCAGCTAAACACTAGCATGCAACGGGTTAACGCGCGGCAGCTCATGAAGCAGCAACTACAGCAATGCTGCAATGCAGAAGTATCTGTGCTCTACTCTTCATCATCAGTGATTGTATCGAACGAGAAAGGTAGGAACTTGTATCCATCACCAGTGTAGAACTTGTTCATGAACTCGACCCAGTGCAGACGGAGTGCGTGGAGGAAGGCACTGAGAGTCTCCATGAGTAGAAGCACACCAACGGTTGCTGATGCAAAAACAAAGAAGCCAATGATAATGAAGATGATGTTTCCAGACCTGCAAGAATACGGAACGTCAAGATGAGACTGAGGTGTTTTGTCAAGCAAACTACGAGAAAGAGAAGCAAGGCGCAGATGTGATTCGGACAAGTGGACAGAATGGCAACTTACTCAAATGCTGGAAGCAGCACTCGCTCAAAGAAGACAGCCGAAAGCTCCGCATGCGCCAAGCTGTTTCCATAGGTGCAGGTGACAAAAAAAAAAAGAGTCATTGATCGGGGAATCAGGTGAAAGGAGCCCCAAAGTCCAACCAACATAATGTAAACGTCTGAGATGACTTCAGAAAAAGCAAACATGTCCAAAAGGGTGGATGAAAAGCACACCTGAGAGCCCACAGACGCAGGTAGGAGGCTGTATTGGAGACGGCGCCCAGCACAAACTCAATTGTGTGAATCATCTGATGCACCATCACCTCCCCGAAGTCAAACTCCTCCTCATGATGATGATGGTGCAATTGGCCCTCCTCTCCTGGGTGCAACGCCTCCATCTCATACAGTTCATTGTCTGAGTTCAGTGCTGCGTACGCTCGCCCCTGACGCTTCTGTGAGTAGGGCACGGATGCAGGGTGAGTATGACATGAAGGGGGAAGGAGGGAGAGGGAAGACAAGAAAGTCAGGAAAGCGAAGTCCAGGCATTGACTTGCTTCGTAAGGACAAAGTGATGGGAGAAGCAAAAGAATACTGTAGCTTTCATAAATGTGTGTTGCAAGTGAAGAGGTCAGGTGAGACGAACAGCAGCTTTAGCAGCTCACTCACCTTTAGGTGCTCAGCACGTAAAATCAGAGGTTTTGGAAAAAGCATCCATGGAACCGAGATGAGAGCAATAAGCAGCAAAACGATCTGCAAAGAAAACAACGAATGCGCAAGAGGCGCAATAATTAATAAAATATATTCTGAATGTAAAATGTCAACTTGCTATGCCAAGAGAAGTAATCTGACCAGACCTGAAAATCGGTGAACTGACCTGAAGTGTTCCTTGCCCCCAAAAGAGCTCGTTCTCTCCCAGTGGCTCAGTGGGGTTAAGGAACATGTAGATCATGACATGGTAGAGATCAGCTTGGGAGGCTGTGATCCACTTGACTATGATCAGCAGTGAGAGATAGCCAAACAAAGAAGCCAAGAATAGGACCTGTGGGATGAACTCGTACCTACAAGTGGTGAGGAGACACAGATGCATGAAGATGGACGAGAGTGAAGGCACAGGAATAAGGAAAAACCAACGGAAATGGGCATGCACAGAAGCAGGACAAGACTCGTTTGAAACATAATGAGCTCGGAAAGTGTGTGAAGCACCCACCAAATGTTGAGTGGCAGGTCAAAGAAGAGGGCGTTGCAGAGGCTGAGAGCAAGGCCCAGAAACATGTGAGTGACTCCCAGCACAATGCTCATCTTCATCTTGAGTGAGTTCAAGAAGGGCAGCTCTGTGCGAGAGCCCTTCCACCGAGGGTCCACTCCAAACAGGTACGTGTTGCCTGTCTTCACTAAACCAGCAGAGGCTGCATCACTGAGAAAATTGGAAGGGGAAGTGAGGAAAGGAAAATGGTGGGGAGAGAACGAAGGAGGGTGGACAAGAATTTTGAGGGGCACAGAAAAAGATGAAGAGGAGTGGAGAGTAAGTCAGGCACCATGAGTAAAAATCGAGGCGTGCCATGGCACAAGTCAAGAAAAAGAAAGAAATTATTCGAACCCGCAGGAAAGAATTGCCAAGAGAAAATATGGGTGACTGTACCCGCAGTCTGGGGTGCGACAAGTGTATGCCGAGCCACCAAATATGGCAAAATCAAAGGCAACAGCGAAGAACTCGTTGTAAACGAAGCCAGTGTAGATGGAGAAAATAGACATAAGCAGGATGAGGTAGCGGCCTCCATAAACCATCTCCATGATGTCACCAAGTTTCTGCAGCATAGATTTAAAATTTGGTGAACAGGTAAAGAAATTTGTGAACATGGCCCATGTCATTGTCAGGTAGATTTGGACAAACATGTAAACGAATCTCCAAAAATCACCTGGGAGCCCAACTTTCTCTCGTTCTTGACAAGCCAAAGGGACGCAAGGAGCATCAGGATGCCATGACCCCAGTCACCAAACATGACAGCAAAGAGGAACGGAAAGGTGATGATGGTGAAAACCCCAGGGTTGGCTTCCCGGTACCGTGCCATGCTGCCACAACAGAAAAAAGTGGATGAAGCAAAAAATGCAAGCAGTGCTCCTAGTAATGACTTCCACAAATCAGGGTCTTCATGTTTGAATTTTAAAATACTCACCCGTAAGCATCGATGATCCCTTGGAAAGCACCAGTGAACTTGTTGGTCTTGAAGTATGTTGGAGGGGACTCGCCAGACCGAATCGTCTGAAAGATAGTACCCACATCTGCCTTGCTCATGGTCACTGCACGATGAAGAGCATCTTGAATCTGCAAATTGTCATGCAACCCAGTTTTGGCATTAACAATTTCATGGAATGACATGTCGTTCTCCTCAACGCTCTCAAATCCAAATCATGATCAGCCATCTAGCAATGCTCATCATCAGCATACCTCTGACTTTGCATACACGGGACACCATGCCTCAGCCAAAAGGCACTTGCGAGTGACATCGATGGACAGCTGGTTCAATATGTGGTAGATAGCCTTTTCCCTCCGAACCTGTTGATGCATTATCAACGCTTTGTGTCAGGTCCAAACAAGAGAAGAAACAGGATCAATGATGCGCAGTTAATAGTGCTGGGGAGAAACAGCACTGCTAGGATTCTGTACCAGGCTTGCCCAGTTTTCGATCTGGTAGCTTATGTTGTTCAGCAAACTGTCTCTGTGTCTGTTGCCTGCATCAATGGTGGTCTGCAACTCTGATAACCGTGCAATCACCTGCCATTCAAAAAGGGCATTCGTTCAGACTATGACTACGAGAGGGACCACGAGTGGATGAACAAGAAAAAACTGGCGGACAGAAGCTCACCTCAGAATGCATTTGCCTTTGTTTCTGTGGGTCCTCTGGAAACGGGTAACGATTTGCACCGAATGCCTCACAGATTTTCATGATCTTGGTGCGAGCTCGCTCACCGGCAAAGAACACAACGAAGACAACCTTCTCCACCTGCAAACAGAAGACACATGTTAATGCCAGCAGTACCTGAAAGACTGATCTCAGCTTACGGAAGAAAACTCATACCTCTTCTCCTGTTGCAGGATCCACTACTGGCTCGTCAAGCTCCTCCTGCTTAAGGTACATGTTCCCACGAGTTGCTCGAAACAGAATTCTCTCAAATGTTGCAGCCTTGACCTTTGGGACAAGCCCTGTAACGAATCCAAGACGCATCTGCTTGCCAGGTTCTGAGACCATCTCCTGCAAGGAAAATCAAAGTCATGCATACTTGCATATCAGAGCTTCTGCGAGAATGATATAGGCTACCTGTGGAAGGGACTGCTCAAGTGAATTCGTGTGACCAGTTTCATGTACCACCTGCTCCAATAGCAACGCAGTGTCAGAGGTTATTTCCCGACCGGAGCTTGCTTCTTCAAACTCCCTCTGGTGAACAGCAGCATCCATCTGTTCCAAACAAGAAGAACGGTTAGCATGGCAAGGTTTGACAAACTCAAGGTCAGTGCAAAAAGACATACACCAGCGTGATCAGTTCCAGGTAAAAACGAAACTATTAACCTTTTCTAGGACGAGCTGCAATTCATTCAGCTCATTCCGGCTTCGTAGAAGCTTCTCAGCGTTAGCATTGATCTCCAGTAACTCCGCTTCCAGCTCCGCCAATTTGACCTGCATAGAAGGCCATCACAAGATATGAAGCTAACAGAGGGAATGGATCGACAATCCCGCGATCCTAGCCATTGTCAGTAACTTGTTGCATCGCGTCATGATTGCGCAGTCATACGCCCATATGCAGTTTAGGTCATAATACCTCCAAGTCGTCTAGGTCAAAATCCTTGTCCAATGGTGCTGGACTACTTGGTAGAATTCCAGCCTTCACGGACTGATCCTTGAAATAACGAAGCTTTCGTGCCATTTCCCCGCATCGCTTAACCTGTACGCCGTCATTGACGCATAAAGAGACGGTAAGAGTACTACATGGTTGATCTCGTTCACAACGTGCAGCGTAATCCGCGGTCCAAAGGAGTTTCACAAGAACCATGGCGGGAGATATTGCAATCGGAAAGCGTTTAAATTACTCTACCTGATTTGCATAGGTTCGCTGAAATGGGCTTTTGTCCGGATTTAACTGCATAATGGCAAATTTGGAGAGGATTAAGGTCAAATGTTACAGTCGAATTCCATGAATATTGGAAACGGAACCCCATCAATCGAGCAACGGCTTCGATTCAATAGTTATGCAGATACCTACATCCTTGAACTGCAGTAGACCGAGTTCCCCAAGATGAGCGACGGTGTTATGTGCAGCTTCGGCAGGAATGATTAGCTGCACTAACTGCATCTCCTCGGACCTGAAAAGGTCCATCGGTGTGTCTGGAAACATGGCTACGCTTAACAAACGCCGGAGCCTACACCACAGTAGCCAAAGCTTCCTTCTAAGCTTGAACCTGAATTTCGACACGATGACAAGCTCGAAGCCTCTAGAGGCCTACACACAATTCACCAAACGGCATTGCGAGCAGAACTCTCCTATCAGTTCGTCAAGCAACAGCAACTAGCCGTTTCAGCAGCAGCCAGTGACCAAGTAGCTTGAATCAGGATGAAATCTAGGTCAGACCTGATGAAACCAGGGAGGAAAGGTTGTAGGTGAGAAGTTGGTTTGCTGCTGTGAAGCTCGGAGATTTGGTAGACAAATACATTCCTCGGTTTTGAGCGGTCGCGGCGAAGCAGAGCCAAGCAAATGACACCGCCTCCAAGCCACGGAAATGGTTTCAGGTGAACGACAGAACTCTTCGCTCAACAATTTGAACGAAACCGCCACGCCAGCAGGAAGACGGTTCACCCCTCAAAGGCTTGGCGGAAGGAGAGAGAGTTGTGAGGTATAGCGACTTTCGCTTGGCCATTTGCGAACGCGAGGCATGAAAGTGACGTGGGCGGACCAATTACAAGCCGAATATTGCATCCTCCAATGTAATGATTGTAGGAACCACCAATAATATTCAAATCATAATAAACAAACATATGACTTGATACTAGCCGAAGCATTTAAGACATTGCCGTGTTCATGGCTTTGTGGCACACTACACAATGCAATTGTTCGTCACCATCCCCTCCCTCTACCGTCGATTCCTCTCGCTCGGGCCAAACCTTAGGCTTATCCAGCCTTCGATCCAAGAAGCTGCTCCCAGGGCCACTATTCAGTTCTGCTGCCGAACCTGTATTTGAACCTCTGGTTCCAGCCTTCTCAGTGCTGTCCATAGGCTTCTGAGTAAGTCGTGCATTATTCCCTTCCATCTTAGCCCCTCCTGTTTCACCACCACTCCCCCTTCCTCCCAGCTTCAATGCTACCTCCAAACATGGCACATGGTATGCATGCGTGCAGAAAAAACACACAATTTCCTGCTGGTGCAGATGCAGTGCATCTAGACACAGGCAGCACCGGGGAGGACCCCCACCCAGCAGCTCCTTTTTCTCAACCTCCCCCCTCTTCAACTTGTTACCCTGCACCTCTTGCCTTCCCTCCAACCTCACAACTCCCCCTCTCTGTGCATCAAACTCACCCATGCCTTCCTCTTTCCCTCTTGGCATTTCACTTCCTGCTCGTCTCAGCCCGTCCTTGCTCCCCACAATCCCCCCTCTCTCTCCCTCAAACACCTCGCTCCAGGCTCTAAGCAGTCCTCCTCTACCTCTCTCCCCCATCCCCCCGTGCCCCACGTCAACCTGGTTACCACCTGTTCTGCTATCACCCCTGTAACCTTCACCAGCCTCGACAGCAATGGTAGCTATTTTCAGCCCTCCAGATGCAGGGAAGAGTGGGGCAGACGACCACTGCTCACTCCACATAACCTCATCCTCCTCGTCCTCCCCATCACTCTCTCCCTCCTCATCCTCATCCTCTTCCTCTTCCTCTAATTGAGATATGGAGGGAAAAAAACTGTCAGAACCAACAGCTCCTGGCAATCCATTCGATCTCTCACCACCTCCTCCTCTTCTCCCATCTCTCCCCTCCAATCCTCCTCTTCCTTCCATCCCTCCATACTCACCAACTTCCCCCATCTCCAGCTGTCGAAACGCCAAAGCCACAGCTCTCGCCTCCTCTTTCTCCTTCCTCCTCCTCTCCCTCTCCTCCCTCTCCCCAGTCGCCTGCTTTCCCTCCTCCTGTCCAGCCCTCCCCACCAGATCACTCTCATCACCCTCGTTACCCTTGCCAGCAGACGTTCCGATAAATGTCTTCCTTCGAAACGGCTTGCGGGAGTACAGACTGAGTAGGGAAGTCCCAGCAGCTCCACCAGGAAAGAACCCAGAGGTGGCCTGAGGGGAAGCATATGGAGAGAGCAGAGTGCTGGTTGCTGCTGTCATAGTGGAAGATGGCAGTGGGAGAAGGGGGAGGTGGGGTGGTGCAGTGGAGGAGGAGGAGGAGAAGCGGGCAGCGAACTGCGATTGGAGGATGAAGAGGCAGAGGAGGTCGATGCACTCGGATTGCAAGAGAGCAATGCAGCCCTGACGAAGGGACACCTCTGTTGCTGACGCTGCCAGCACTGCCAGCAGATGCTGCCGCAACCTGTTGATTACACAGGAGGGACAGGAGTATAACAAGAGGATGAAGGGGGAGAGGAGGACTGTTGCATGCATGGCAATGCAATCTTGGCTCTTGCTCTGTTGCTCCGTAGAGATACCTCTGTTGCTGACGTCGCTACCAGCATTGCCAGACTGAAGAAAACGTGAAGTGCTCAACGTACTCTTTTAGGTAAGTGTTTGGTGCGACTCCAGCAAGCAGCTGCTTGGGAGAGAAGATGTCTGATGCTTGCTCCATGAGTGCTGCCACCTGGGAGAAAGAGAGCAGCACGGTTCAGGAATTAAACAGAACGTGCTAGAAGATGGAACAAGGATGAACGATTGGATCCATATTGTTTGAAGCACGGCTACAAATTACCACGATAAAAAACGGGGATTTTGCAGAGTTGGACAGGTTCTGGGACGTATAGGCATACCAAGCGAGGATTTGTAGCAGATCGTTTCAGGAGGAAATTCCACACGTACTGTTCTTTCACCTCTCTGGCCAGTATTATTGCCTGGTAGACGCAAGGTGAGGAGACGATTCAGGAAGAAAGGGAGAAACTGTGGAAGTGGTAGTGCCAGTGGCAACACATTTCAAGTGGCTTGAGTCAGCCTAGCAGGAGCGATAGTGCTTCATTACAACAACCGAGGCAGGTGTGCTGGTGAGGGGAGGGAGGCAAGCGAGGGGAGGCAAGCAAGCGGAGGGAGAGAGGCAGGAGCAACTCACCCGGTTCACATCCTTGAGTCGGTCCAGCAGGAGTGATAGTGCTTCTTTGTAATCATTCATGCGGGTGGGCAGAAACAAGGGTGCTGGCAAGGGGAGATAAGCAAGCGATGGGAGGAAGGCAGGAGCAGCTCACCCTGTTCACGTCCTTGAGTCGGTCCAGCAGGAGTGATAGTGCTTCTTCGTAATCATTCATGCGGGTGGGCAGAAACAAGGGTGCTGGCAAGGGGAGATAAGCAAGCGATGGGAGGAAGGCAGGAGCAGCTCACCCGGTTCACGTCCTTGAGTCGGTCCAGCAGGAGTGATAGTGCTTCTTCGTAATCATTCATGCAGGTGGGCAGAAACAAGGGTGCTGGCAAGGGGAGATAAGCAAGCGATGGGAGGAAGGCAGGAGCAGCTCACCCGGTTCACGTCCTTGAGTCGGTCCAGCAGGAGTGATAGCGCTTCTTTGTAATCCCCCATGCGGGTGAGCAGAAACACCTGCTCTTCCACCAGGCCCCTTTGCATGCACAGGTTTAGAGCCTGGAGGAGGGGACAGGGAGGAGCTGGTTTTGAATTTGCTGATATGGGATGAGCAGAAGCACATGACTCGCCACTAGCCCCATCCAGTGGACTGAAAGGGAGCGGCTGAGGGAACAGTAGCAACCAAGCAGAAAGGAGGTCAGACTGATAGAGGTTAGCAACCTATGTCCTGTCACTCATGCCTGGTACGGGATAACACTCGTGCCACTCATGAAAGCACAGAAGATGACAGTGTGTGCCACTCACGCAGTGACTTAGACTACATTCTGTGTCGCTCACAACTTGCAGTCACTCACATCTTGCAGGGGGTAGTAGTCGGATGACTGCAGAAAGGGCAGCAGCAGGCGGCGGTCGAAGTCTGCATACAGCTCAACCTGCAGATGGTTGGGAAGAGCAGGACGAGATAGCAACTTAGCAACCAAGAAACGTCTTATACATATGTGTGATACCTGAAAAAAAGAAGGCAGTGAAAGGCAGTGTGTCTTCTTGAGAGAGGAGTGTCCTCCAGCATTTACTAGAGAAACTCATGGTAGCAGTGAAGGCTGGAGAGAGCAAGCCTCCTGGAGAAGCAATAACTTCCAAACAGACCTGCATGGGATGAAACGTTGATGCCACCTCTGGCATTCGCTCGAACACCTCATGCAGGTAGCAGTGCAGCGCCATGCGCCTCTCTCTCCCCGTCAGCACCACTTCACTCCCTTCCCCATCACCAGCCCCATTTACTGCTCCGTCCACCAGCGTCGCCGAACCGCGCGGCGACAGCTGGCGCGCAGCAACCGGCTCGGGCGGCCCCAGCATGGCCGGCGAATCGACGCCCAGCAGCTGGCGGACGACGGTTTCAGGCGGCGCGACGGCGATGTGGTCGGCGAGGAGGGCGGCGGCGCGGTGTGGGTGGATGAGGAAGAGGGAGGGGAGGCGGTGGTGGTGGTGGGGGGCGGCAGAGAGGAGGTGGCGCACGAGCCGGTGCTCGCGAATAAACTCAAACAAATCCGGCCCTGGCCATTTTGCACTTGTTAGTGACTCGTTAGGGAATGAGACATTTGATTCTTGCGCTGGGTATCGGCGGTGGTCTTCCGAGGATGGACAGGCAGCCCTTCTATTGATGCCGTCTTTGTGAGATGTCTCACTGCCTGCTGCGTCTTTGCCTGCTATATTGCCGTTAACAGGTGATTTCACTGGTGAATGCAACTGTTCTCCATCCACGTCAGCATGGCTTGTCACTCGCCCTTGAGAATCCCCATTCACATCAGCAGAAGCAGCAGGAGCCTGAGCAAGATTAGCCATGCGCCCGTGGGAATCTGTTAGGCCAGCAGCAGCACTCGAGTTACTGTGGTGTGCCCTGTGCTGTGCCACCAGAATCCGCAGATAGACATCGAGAGCCTCGATGAAATCCCTGTTGCGCACATAGAGACCCGCCAGGAGCTGATGGGGGGAGTGGGAGGAAGAATGGGATCAAAGGATTGGGATCGGCGGTGCCATGCTGCAACAGGCGCCCTTCAGTGGCAGCAATGACGGCCCCCAGGTTGTAGAGAGAAGACGGCCAGCGAGCCACAGTGGGGAGAAAATAAGGGATCGATGGGTGATACAGTGAGTGCGCCCACACACCCACCCACACACCCACCCACCCACCTGCAGCTGGATGGCACTGCCATGCTGCAGCAGGCGCTTCTCCGCGGCAACAATGACGGCGCCCAGGTTGTAGAGGGCAGGCGGCCAGCGGGCTAATGTGGGCGGCAGCTGGCGGTGGTACAAGGAGTGCGGGGAAACAAGCAGTTCCACTAGCACGCCCTGCGCGGGGGCAAAGGAGAGAAAAGGGGAGAGATGGAGAGAGTATGTGAAACAAAAGTTGCGCCACAACACTATGAAGTTGGGCATGATGATCACACATAAAGTTGGAGAATTACCGTGTGAGACAGTGCGAAACGCAATGAGGTGGATCCGTTTTTACCTCGTAAGTGGAGGGACTGAGCTTAGGGTTCGAGACAGGGACGTAGGGCAGCAGCGTATGCAGCTGCTGCAGCCGAGAGAAGTTGCCAATCCACCTGGTGGAAGGGACGAACAAGGCATCACAATCGCCAGATGAGGGGACAGACGGACAGCAAACAATAGCCGGCGGCATGGGTGACTATGATTAGTATCTATGGTACAGTAACCGGGTCTAGCCTACTGGGATTTCCACATTACAATGATATTCCCATACTGGTCACAGCCTGAGGGACCTTCCACCATCGCCTTCCCTGCTGTGTCTCTCACCATTGCCATGCAGTTTCGGAGTTCCCGAGGGCCGAGGGGCACAGCGCAGCAGCCTCTGCGAAGCGACCATGCATGAGAAGGTGGTCCAGGTGCCGCTCACTTCCCTGCCACGTGGCGGACGACAAGAGGTTGGTGTGGAAGGAGAAACATTGGAAGGATGGCTGGTGAAAAACGGCATTTCTGGTGATGAAAATGCATGTGCCTGATCAGGTCATACGTCATTTGTTGGCTGAAAAGTTAAGCTGGAATGCTCAGGCATCTGAGGTCACAGAGCCTCGTTCGTGCCACAACACAACAATTTTGACCCCTGTGGCACCAACGATGTAGTTATGCAATGGCAACGAATGTTCAACTCATGGATGAACACAGACGGTCGCTGAACGCTGGAAATGAAAAAGGAACAAAAATAGAAACAAGGAACTCTTTTGACTACCATCATCGCGAAAGGAAAAGGCGTACCAGGAACCTCTGAAGCAACTCCATCGCTCCTGGTGACTTTACCAAAAGAACAGAAATTGCTTCCAAGGAGCGGAATTAGACGGCTTGACGCGACGCATGGATCACTTTAACTCAATATATCGTCACTGTTGCTGGCTCAGACCCATTTTCAGGGATGCCGACTCTAGCTGCATGTTCCCCTCGCGTCGACAGAAATCACAGCAAACGGACGATCAGAATGGTCGTTGATCATACTTCGGACGAGTTTCAATTACGATGGATACATCAGAGAATAACTAGCAGGCCTGCACGTGGGTGACCTACATGCAGCCGCGTCGCCGCCAGCCTTCATAGGTTCCTGATGCGTACTAAGGGCGGGTCCAACTTTGCACACTCCCGTTTTTTTCGTTATTTTTACGTCAATGCACTACTCAAAATTGACTGTACCCCAGGGTGAACTCCAAACATTTCCTGTCCAGTTCCGAGTGCACAAGTCGGACTTTTGACAAGGTACAGTGACGCTGCGGGGTACAGTCCCTGGGATGAGGGGTTACCCAATAAAGCGAGGTTTTCGCAACTGTGACAGGAGATTTATTGGCGACAACAAATTAGCGAAAATAGGTGTTACTTTTTGGCGTGTTTGAAGCGAAACGAGTTTGACGTGAACCTTCGGACGCGTTCTGCACGTCCCCGGGCACGTTTCCGTAATGTCATCATACATGTACAGTCTCGCGTCAAATGGATTCTAGTACGTTTGCAGTTCTGTTACATGCGGTAATGTGGTAACTGAGCTGAAAAATTATCGTACATGTGCAAAGTTGGACCCGCCCTAAGTAAGTTGAGTGAAGAATTGAGGGAATGCGACGATAGTGGTCAAGAGACAAAGAGAAATAGTTTGTGTGTGAGTGTTCTAGTTACACAATTCTGCTTACAGTTTCTTCTATGTTATAGAAGCATTGCTAGAGATTTTTGATAATTTTTACACCATGATGCTTCTAGGATCATCACAATGATTTAGTCGATATGTATGGTTCATTATAGAGGTTTCTTAAGATATTGAAGCAAGATTCCCGGAATTCTTGTGTGGTACCGTATTAGGGGAAAAAAGGTGACCTAAGACAAGGTTGGGTGAAACATGAGACAGCAAAGATGGGGCAAACAGAAGACAGTAGGCGGAAGGGAGGCAAGAGGCAAGAGACAGGGCATGGGATACGGGGGAGGTGAAATACAAGAGGATCTAGGAGTAGGGGGAGATGGAGATGTATCATTAAGTGGTCCGATCATGCATGATTGATTGGTCATACTCTGCAAAGCATAGCCATGCAAAGTTTGACTTGAGTGTGTTTACCAAACTTCAACAATGTGCTTCTGGCAAGCTTCCCTCCCCTATTAGCTAAGGGTTTCCCAAGACGGGTTCTAGCCAATTTCAGCAGCTGCTCCAGCAGCTTGGGTTGTCATGTCCACACCTTGTGGCCATGCATGCAAGCAAGAGATTCTACGCGTGAAGGAAATATGGAAACAGGCCTAAGTCACCACTAAATTTAGAGGAGGTTACCAGGCCAAAAGCATTTCAGATTCAGATTGGAAATTTCCTGATGCGAGCCCAGCCAGGCGTCTAGAAGTCGATGCATCTGCCACCCTTCTCCCAGTCCCCGTATCTCGTCGGCTCGGGACCGCTTGGCCCTCCATATTCCCCCACAGACTCGGGCGGGGGACGCTGCTTACACCCGCCATCCACAGCGTTCGCCGCTTCCCCGCCGCCATCTGCGTCTGATCGTATCGGCTCCCCGTCGGGTGCACTCCGCGCCCTGTTCGGCGCGCGATCCGTTTCGCGCCGCGCTAAAATCGGGTCGTCCTCCTCATCGCCGCTTTCGCAAGCCGCCAGCGGAGCGCTGCGCGCGCCGTCCGATCCTTCCGCCGGGGTGGCGCTAGAGGCGTCGGCGGAAAGATGCTGCGGCGGAGCGGAGTCGATGCGCTGACTGGCGGAAGAGAAGGCGGGGACAGGAGCTTGGATTGCGCAGAGCAGATCCGCGACTGCAAAAGACTCGACGCGGAATCGCGACGCTGCGGGGTTCAAGCCGGTTGGGGGGAGCGCGAGATGGCGGGAAGTGCGTGCGGTGGGTGCGCCGAGAAGCGCCGGCGCGCACGGCGACGACTCTACCGTTGCCCTATCTGACAGCGACGCGACGGCCGTTAAACATGTAGGCCTGGCGGAAGCTAGATTCGCGGCACGGTGCGGCACGCATCCCGCGTGGGAAGGCGCGGGGAGGAACGATGCAAGGAGGCGCGCGCAACGTCTAGTCGCAGCCATGAGCGCGGTTCTAACGAGGAATCGCTGGTATAGTGAGTAGCTGGGAGGAAGAACGTGGAATGGGATGCTCACTACCAGGCCAGTGACGTCGATGGGAGGGAGCAAATGATCGGCTCGCTTCAGGGATTACCCGGTATGGGACGACTTGGGTAGGGTTGGTCCGACTACACTTGCTTGAGGACGTGTAATATTCCATCCTGCTTACGAGTGCCAGGAATTCTGAGAGCCAAATTTTTGAGTGGTACAAAACTTCCTAAGGCGATGTCAAAAAATAATAAATACAGCCACTGATTGATCCCTCCATACCATGAAGAAAAAGTGGGTGAACAGGCGAATAAATACATACACGGAGCTTTGCCCCGGTCCCTCCGTCTTTGGCAATGACTGCTGGACCATCGGTGTGACTTTATTAGCGCCGCCATCTCTCTGCGCGAAAGCACCGTAGGAAAAACCCATGCGTGCACAGCTCAAACTAATTAGTTGCACGGGGCATCATGGGAACGATAGGTACCCATGTGCAGACAGCCAGAGGGGGTTAGTTGTATGGGGAGAGACTTGGGTTAGTGTTAGAACTAAGCAGCAGCAGCAGCGAGGTGGCAGCAGCAGTAGCAGCAGCAACAGTGCGTCATCAGCTGCCCCGGTGGAACGGCAGCAGGCAAGACAGACCCCCTCCTGCACCTCTCCTAGGAGCCAACCCCAGCCTCGCCTCCAGCTCAGCCAGTCTCTTCCTCTTCCCCTCCATCTTCTTCCCCACACCCGCCCCTTTACTCTCCAACGCAGCCATTCGTGCCACAATCCTCTCAGCCCGCTCCACCAGACTCTGCCCCTCCACCACCTCCTCCTCCACCTCTGCAAGCATCTCCCCCACTGCTCCCGCTTCCGCCTTCCTCCCCGCCTTCCCTCTCCGCCCCTGACCCCCCGCTGCCCTCTGCTGCGCCTCTGCAGCCAGAGCTGCTCGCTCTCTCACTCCCCGCATGGCGATTCGCAGCGCGTCCCGGTTCGCCTGGAGTTCTTTGAGTCCAACTGCTGCCCGTGCCTGCAGGGCTCCGCTGCTAGCAATAGGGGTGGCGCCGGAGAGAAGCAGATGGCTGTCGGAGCGATCTGTGGTTGAGGATGCACACGACTCGCCTCTATCTCCTCTCTCCCCTCTCCCTCTCCGCTTCGTGCTCCCCCGCTGCTTCCTCCCCGTCATCTCTGCAATCTCGTCGCCTTCCTCCTTCAACTCCTCCTCGTCACTCTGCCCCTCCTCCTCGCCTCTCCCCACACCACCCTGCGTTCTACTCCCAACGGCTTCACTAGTGCTTGCACCACCAGCGCCCGAAGAAGAAATCTCAGCAGCACCTCCCTTCCCTCCACCAGCAGAAGACGTTTCAGCAGCACCAGCAGCACCACCACCAGCAACAGTGGCAGTCGCAGCAGCGGCGGCAGCGGCAGCAGCAGAGGCAGCAGCAGCTTGCCGTTGCTCCATCAGCTGAGCCTCCATCTCTCGCAGCCTCGTCTCAGCCCGCCTAGCCCTGTCCATGGCCATCTCCATCGCCCTATCCTTCACCTCCACCACCTTTCTAGTCAGCTCCAGGCATACTCTCAGCTGCATGATTCGTCTCCGCATCTTCTCATAATTCCCCACGAGCTTCCGCGACTTCCCCACCTGCTCCTGCAGCCGCGCTACCTCCTCTGCCAGCCGCTCATTCTCCTCCTGCAACAAAGCGAACTCCGCCTCCTCCTCTTCTCTCTCCAAATCCTCGTCTCCTGCACCTCCCGCTGTGTAGTAGAGGGAAGCGATTTCCTTAGCCGCCCGCCACGCGCCGCTGCGAGGGACGGGCACTGAGAAGGAAAACTCCGAGTCGGTCGCCAACCCCTCCTCTTCCTCTTCCTCCGCGCCCTCCTCCCCCAGCTCGTCCTCCTCATCCTCCTCGTCTTCCTCGTTTCCCCCTGCCATGCACGACGGTTGTTGCTGGTATGGGTACTGGTGGTGCAGGGGGGAGTGCTGCGGGGGGGGAGTGAACGTGAGTGTGGGGGACGTGCCTGCTAACCCGCTAGGGCTCTCCCCCTCAATCCCCCCCCCTGCCAGCCCATACGCGCCACCCATGCGCTCGTTCCCCCCTGCTACCCGGTAA